CATGTTAAAAAAGATAGGTCCACCCGGATTGTGGATTATGGCTACTAGTATAAGTACAGGGAATGCAAGTCAATTCACGTGATGTTTTAATCTCTTTTAGCTATTTGAAAAACATATTGGCCCTTAGGATTTCAATTTGCGCATATAAAAAAGAAATAATATGAAAGTTTTTTTACAGATTTTTTTTAAAACATTGTCGTAATTTAAATGTGCTAAAAAGACTAAACCTTGAATCACATCCAAAAAAGTAATCTGTGCCTGTAATGCCCACAAATTATAAATACCTCCAGTATTGTATCCCTATTGTACACATACATGATTTCTGTCTTTGTTTTGTACTTGTAATATGTTGGATAAACATGTTGAGACAAAATTGCACGAATAAATGTTAACCTGCTGTTCCTTTTCATGGTTCTTATCTTTTTCATGGTGATCGGTTGACTTAATGTAAGTGAATTGTGGCACCACGAAGGCATGATATTGAGTGGATTAGAAATAGAAAAGTTATGGCAACAGACATTCAATATAAGTATTTTATTTAGTAAATCCAAATCATTTTGATCCAGATATTTAGTAAGCTTATATCAATTTCACCCAGACAATTAGTAAATGTAAATCAATTTCACCCAGATCATTAATAAATATTAATCAGATTCCACCAGATATTTAGTAAATCTAAATTACCATTGCTCAGATATTAAGTAAATATAAATCACTTTTCCTTGTAAAATCTATTTGGATTAACACAATTTTTTTTAGACTATATAACTCATCATTTGGAATCCTATTACTAAATACAACACATTTTAACTGTTGCTTTTATTACCATGTACTTATTTTTTATTATTATTTTTTAGTTAATTTATTCAACACTTTTTATTAAAAGTTGTAGTGCTTAAAATCTACTCAATTATATTACGTGTCACTTTGTTGCCATAATTTTTTTAAGTAACAATGTGTCACATTTTTTACAGTGTGTATGAAATGAGTGTTATCATAGTGAGTGCCAGTTTGTTATTTCATGGAATCACACGTAGGTTTTGTTGATTTAACGTGCACACTGTCAAATTACATGACTCAAGGTGTTTGTGGAAAACGGCACACCAAGTAGGTTTCTGACAATTTTTTGCGGATTTGAGTGTTCTCCCTTCCTTCGCATACATTTTCTCAAAGGATCCAGATTTTAATGCACATGTAAAATTATACCATTGTGTACAAACCATCATAATCAGCCATGTATATATGTTGCACTTCTTTCGCACCGTTCATAACCAATCATGCTAATCGGAGTGCGGAGGAAGGACAACAAAAAACACGAAAGCCAGTCAATCCACTGCGGGATGAAGGCCTCCCAAAACCTCTACCACCTCTCACGATCCTGCAATTTAATAGTCCACCTCACCCTTACACACACACTGATTTCACGCACATACTGTCCAGCACATCATGCCGATGTACAATTCAAAGTACATCTACTGAAACATCTCCAAAGCACAATGCGGCGCTGCTGCATCCCACATGGTCGGTTACTTTATTTAAACCCAACCATCAAAGCGAGGCAGATTTCCCCTTGGACGCTAACACGTTACGTTCTCTGAAAACATCAATATGTTTAGAATTGTTCCTTATATTGTGAGGTGGATAATCCATTGAGTGTATAGCCCAGATTTGTTTTAACACATCTGCCTGCATCATTTACGGTAAACCGTAATTCACTTAAAAGATAGAGTATATTACTGTCAAACTGGTTACTCATATCGGGAGTACACGTTAGCACAGGCAGAATAAAAGTCAACATTTTACAATGACGGTTTTCCCTTTCACTCTCCCAGTGGTAAGGGGCCATCCATTTAGTACGTACGCTTGCGTTTGGGTGATCTACTGGCAATGTACGTACGCATAGGAAACGGGGAGGATGGGGGCGGTGAAGCCTCGATAATAATTTGTCGACATCGACCTTCAAATGAGCCACAGTTCGGTTTCTTAAGCTGTCAGACAACAAGTACTACCGGGAGAAGTGGGACTGTGGGAGAGGAGTCACTTGTATGCCACCGTGCCCCTGTCACGCAGCTGTGCTTCAAGCCCGACATTGCGCGTGTTGACGAAATCCCGAGAACACGTCACCTGTTCGACTGGTTGAACACAGCGGACACCAGACAAACTTTTTAAAGGAACGCAACTTAATTATGTAATGCAGCCGGCGGTGGACTATCTGCTGAAACACGTTAATAGTATTCATCCTTGATGATCGTTTCTGCGTCGATTAAATAACGACCGTTCCATCGGATTCGGGAGGGGGGGGTGCGTCAAGCGTGCGTACGCACGTGGGGGGGGGGGGGGTCAAGTTGACAGATTTTTGCGCACCTCGTAAATGGATGGCCCCTAAGGCCCTCATATGGCCGCAGACTGACATGCAGTTCTACAATTGTCTCCCTCCGTCTTCATTCTCAAGTAACCACCGCCTCAAAATTTCCCTCTGGTCTCTAACATTCTCATCCCCTACCCTCAAGCAGAAAAATAAAAAAAATCCCACTTCTTAAAACCCTCTTAACATATACCCATATGTTTTGTTCAGCGTCTTGAGATGTGGTGGCATATGTTTTGGAAATCCAAATTGTGTTATGAGACACACATCAGTGCTCAGTGTCTCTTGTTCGATCATTATATAAGATATTGCAAAATAGATGCACACAATGCCGTATTCACCTGTGTAAATGATATAATTCTGTAATATGTAAATATGGACCTAACTATATGCATATACGAAACATTGCAGGCTTCTCAGGCAATTCTTCATCTGAGATAAGATAAAATGCCGGGAAGATGCGAGTGAAAATAAAGAATCAGAGAAAGGGCAGCAATGACATTGCTTGAATATACAGAACCAAAGATATTAATAAAAAACATAGCTTTTTTCTTCTTTCATAGAAAGACCTGAAACATGAAAAAAAAATATCCCCCTTGACCAAATCATGTACACACATACAGCTTATATGCGTTCTCTCCCATATGGAGTATCACTATCTGAACTCCCTCTTCTCTATATATTAGCAGAGCTAATTAATATAGCTCTGCTATATTACAAAAAAAACCTTTTAAAACCATCCACGTTATGCTCGTTTCACATAATTGTACTGCGCCATTAAATAGTCAGATGTAGTCGACACTTCGTCAACCCAAATTGTTTTTGTACATTACGAATGGGATGTAAAGTTAGTTATTCCATATATACAAATATAGTACATGTTAAAACCACACGCAGTGTGCACAACACACTTGATCGACGACACATAACCATCTGAAGCCTCTGTAATTGTTCGTATTTGGGCACACAAAGCATCATAGTCATCGGCAAAGAATCAGCAGCAGCAGCACGCCTGGGCACGGTGTCGAACTTGTCTGAGAGGCATCATCCATCCATCAAATCTCAACCTCATCCATCACCACCACTCGGTCTTCGTCTGCCACCATTCTCTCACCTCGCCCCCCATCCAATCAATTGCTGAACCTCCTCCAACAAGCATCTGCTCATCATCCTTCGGTGGCACATTCACCACCAAATTACCACGTCCTTTTTCGCCTTTTGCTGGACATTCTATGCTCAACCTCCTCTATTTCATCCACGTCCCACAGATTCTGATCATTGGCTGACCGCCGGCTCCTTCATCATCTCCCATCGTCTCAATCTCCATCACCCCCCCCCCCCCCCATAGCGACCCACATTGACCTTCGACCTCGACCACGTCTTCCCCACCATCAACTTAACCTCCTCCTCTTCAGCCATCCCTCTCTAATTCATCTCTAAGGTCTCCCAAGAAATTCCCCCACGCGATGGCGCGACACCCACCACAGGCGTCCCGTCGCCACCCCGGGTAATGGGCAAGAGGACGAGGAAAAAGAATAACCATAACAACAACAATAAGAAAAAGAAGAAGAGGGCGGACACTTTGATTAATAAAGGGCGGCGGTGGTGTTAGTGGACACGGCGGTGGCGGCTGCTGCTGCTGCGGCGTGCGGCAGCGATCGCGGTGACTCCTCGCCCGAGGGTCCCGTGATAACTCCATCATCAACCACCATCTACAGCTCGACCACAACAACAACCACCACCACCACCACGGGCTCGTGGCGCTGAGGGAGACTGCGACGAGGGGGGTCAAAGCAACCGGGGATCACAAGAAGACGAAGAAGAGGCGGCGGCAGCAGCAGCAGCAGCTGGGCAACACGCGGGGCGGACAGGCGGGGAAGCCGGCGACGCGCGACTTTCGCTAAGAGCACGGGACGAAGATAAGAAGGAGGAGAAGAAGAAGGGGAGGGGGGGGGGAGTTTCTGAAGGAGCTAGAAGACGAGGAGTGAAGGAGAAGGAGGAGGACGAGGTCCCCGTGGTCCCGGCCTCCGCTGCTCTCCGCACGCGGCGCCATCTTGGCCGTGGGGGCGCCCCGCGGCCCCGGGCGCCGCGGCCCCGGTGAGGCCGCCCTCGACCCCCTCGTCCTCCTCCTCCTCGACCCCCTCGTCCTCCTCCTCGACAACAGTCGTCGGGGCGGGGGAAGGCTGCCGTGCTGCTGCTGCTGTTGTTGTTGTTTTAATTGGGGGGGGGGGGGGGGTTTGGATGATCACTCAGCAGCAGCGACGGCGCATACCGATATCGGCGGCGTGACCACTGCCCCCCGCGCCGTCTCGCAGAGACATTGTTAATGTTGTTATTGTTGTTGTTACTGATTGTTTAGAACAGACTGGGCCTCGTGGCGACGAGGAGAAGAACGCACGGGAGGCGAAGTAGAGGCAGGGGCTGGTGGTGGTGGTGGAGAGGAATCCCGCAGCAACTTGACGGCCGCGGGGGGGGGGAGACGAAGCGAAAGCTCCGTGGGTTGGTGACCATTACCACAATACCACTCAGCCGGCCACAACAGTGAGAATATTTGTTGCTTTCGTGATATATTTGGAGTTGGGGGGGGGAGGGTGTTGGGTTAGGGTTGGGGTTGGGGGGGCAGCAGCAGCAGACGAAGAGGGGTGAGGGTGAGGAGCCGGCTTCCTCCCCGCCATGGGTCCACCAGCATCGTGAAGTGGACGTGAACACGAGGGGAGAGGCACGAAGACGTGAACACAAGCTCGGGGGGGGGGGGGACGAGGGGAGAGACACGAAGACGACGACGAAGAAGACGACTGGGGGGGGGCATTGCTTTCGAGGAGGACACGGGACGAAGGCAGAGGGCGGTGAGAGCTCGCATCACACCGCCTCGTCTGATGCCGCTGATTGATCGGTGAGTGCGATCACTTCGCTCTTTTGTCTCGTGGTTAGTATCTCCGTGTTTGTTATACAGCAGCAGCAGTAGCGATGGTGGTGGTGGTGGTAGCAACGATGGTGGTCAAATGTAGTCGCAGGAAGTGGCCGAGTGAGGGCGACCGGGGAGGCCGAGGCCCTCCCCAGACCGCGACCTCTCCTAGCGCCACCGCGGGGCCACCTCGGCCACGGTGACCATCCCGACAGACCCCCCCCCCCCCCATCATCCACTCCATTGCCTTACACTCCTCCCTCAAGCAATCACAACCACCACCACTCATCAGAACACCCAGCCTGTGAGCCCCGCCATCATCACCACACACACACACAGCTTGCCATCCCCTCGAATTAACCGGTGAGCCATAGGCGGCCTGGGCCCCCCTTGCCTGGGCCAGAGCCAAGTAGCCATCGTTGACCCCCTTAGGGGGCCTCGGGCAAAAGGGCGGAGGCCTCGATCTCTTCTGACCCCGACCTCCCTGCAAGCCTCGACCCTTGTGTGTCCTTCCATCGCTGCGATGTCCCCCCCCCCCCCCCCCCCATGTCGTCGTCACTTTTGCCGTGGCCGTGAGGCCCCCCCCCTGGACCACGACCCATCGTGGTCCAAGTTCAATCGATGCCGTGTGCGTGACGGACAGGGCACCCACACACTGGTTCCCATTGCTCCTCGTTGTTGTTGTTTGTTTTTGTTTTAACTTTACACGAGATGTAGTGCAACGCGCGTTAATAATGCCACTGTAGCTACCACTGTAGCAATTGTGCCATGCACACGTTGAGAGCGGTGGCATCGCCATTAAAAGCCCCCTTCTGCACTGTACGTGGTTGAAGGATAATTGGCACTTATTGAACTGTGTTGAATTGCAAGGCTATATATATTCACGCGTTACACTTGAACACGTATTTTAAAAAATGCATGTGTAAATGCGTGTGGCATTTTATGTGGGGTACAGTGTGTACAGTGCAGCATGCATACGTGCAACTTTAATTAAAGTGCACGCGTCGTACGTGTACACATGCCAGTGTCTCCAAACACTAATGCAGTTGCGTGTACTGTATTGTATACACTATGCATGGAAAAGTGTGACTGGGAGTAAAGGAAGAACGCAATGACAAGAAGATTGCGCAAGGCATGTTTGTAATAGCTCGTATATTTTTTTTATTGATGTTGCCATTGCTAGTTGACTTGTCACTGACGGCCAAGAGGACATTTGCATGAATGACTTGGCATGAAAACTAGGGGCCCTTGATGTGCAGTCGTCCACAAAAACATGGCGCCCTAATTTATTGCTGTGGTTAACTGAACTCAAGAGTATAAAAATGAAACACGCATGTCAGATTGTGTGGGTTTGCAGTGTTACGACATGCTCCATTAATTGGGGAGTGGTATTTTTCATGATGTTGTAATTGTGATTACCCATCCACTGTAAATTACCTCAATGCTTTCGTTTGCAACACTGTACTTTGTTACCTATGTAACAGTTTGACGGTAATGATTTTATTTGTGCATTTGCCAAGGTGCCATGGAAGAACTGCACAGTCTGGACCCTCGACGACAGGAGTTGCTCGAAGCCAGATTTATCGGAGGAGGATTCAAGGTACATTACACATCCCAACCTTCTGAACGTTTTGACAAACCAGCCTCATCTGATATATGGTATGCGCTGTCATGCTCACTATGCTAGTATTGGAGCCCCTGATAATGATTGCCTGCAGGTTCAAGAGACACTGATTGTCATTACATACAGTGCACTGGGAGCATCAGAATCTGGCATTGCCCTGCTCCCTGTGCCGCCATTTTATTACATCTGCACTTTAAGACAGATTTGCTTACCTCAACTCAGTGGTGCCACCACTGCTGACTCATTATTTATCCCCCAAGAAAATCAATACATGTACTACAATAGCATCCTAACCTGTACCAGCAGCATTAACTATTATAGCACTTCCCGTTGACATTGAGAACAAAGGTTAATGCGGTAGTGAATGCTAGGATGGTTTATTTTCATTGCATAAATTACCTTTCACGTACAAAACTCTTAATTAATAGAAAAACTGGCACGCACAATATCTAGAGTTAATGTTTTGCTCACGGTAGTGTGATGTGTGTGTATATATATGGGTTTGCTGCATTAAATTTCAGGGATTTTGCTCTGGTTATGTTTCTAACATGGTTACCAGAGGTGGTGGAGCTTAAACGTTAGTCCATCAGTGCTTATTATTTCCCTGATAATGCCCCCTAAAATTTACAGTAAGGAACACTATGATGTGTAGTCTACATGTAATATCCATCTCCTGTCAAAGACGATGGAGCCATGTCATTTGCAGTGTGAGTAATACGGCCTGCAGTGCAACATCAGCGGTGTGAGTTCAAAGACGTGTGTATTTGTATTGCTCTTCCAAAACAATTTTGTTCTGCCACTTTTCGCATATTCTATACTGTAATTCACTTTAATCTCCTTTAAAAAGGATATATTTACAGATATTTCATATGTATATGTATATCTCAATTTACCTTCTGAATGTATATATTGTCTTTGTGCTTGAAAGCACACAGCACAGTTCTTAAATAATGTGTTTGAAATTGCCACTGCTTAGCATTAATATATCCTGTTGGAGTGATGCAAATATGTAACAATTAAAGTGTTGATGTATGTTTCATTTGGGTGTTGAGCTGAACATTAGACCCATAAGCACTAAACAATGAAAAGAAAATCTGTTTCATCTGAAGGTACAATATGATCTAACTTGTAAGGCTTTAGGTCAGTGGAAAAAAAAATCGAAATCTCGGCTACTTAGGGTTAAGCCAGGATTTTGAAATGTTAAGTGAATTGCAATTGCCAACAATGTTTGTCTTACAGCAGACTGCACAGGTTAACAACGAAGCTTCCAACCAAAGTTTGGGGAGCCATGGCTCTCTAAGTGACAAGGAAACAGAGGTACATTGCTCATAGACAGACAGCACTATGTGTTGAAATTAAGACATTCTCAGCAGTGTGTTAAGCAATGCAAGTTGGGAAATGTTAAATTTGTTTATCATTCATTTAAAAAGATCCTTAAAAAGCTTCTTTAAGATGTTGACATATCTTCATTATAAATTTAAATAGTGTAATTTTATAAGCAATTGGGGTTTGCAGTGTGACGTTTGCTTGGTTTTAGCAGTGCTTTCTGGTTTTAATGTCTCTTTTCTCTTAGCAAACCCCTGAGAAAAAATCACAAGACAGCAGAGGGAGAAAGCGCAAAGCCGATGGTCAGAGTGATCCCAATCAAAGTAATTAACCCACAAGTCCACTAGTACAATTAAACATATACATTCACATTTTTTGGGCAATGGTATGCACATGTTTTTGGAGTTTTGCAAATTGTTAAGGGATTTTTCTTCTTTTTTACAGACAAAGGGTCTTCAAGAGGACCGAAAATAAGTGATTATTTTGAGGTGAGTTTTTAGGCACGAAAGGTGTTTATGTGGCTTGGGTTTTCGTGACCTGCATGGTTTTTTCTTTAATTGCTCTACCCTTCTTGTCATTTAGTTTGCTGCAGGAGGTGGTTCAGGAACAAGTCCGGGAAGAAGTGGCCCTGCTCTGGCCAGGATACCTTCACAACATTCTCTGTCACAGCCACCTGTAAGCACCACATCTCTTTTGCATTGTGCCAACTAAGTTCTAAATGGTAGGGCTTAATGGTTTTATTTATCATGAGGTTATACCATCTGGGCAGCTTAGAAAATACTGTACATCGTATCCAAGCAGGAAACACCATCTAATACGGTAATGGCTGTGCTTTGTTTTGCTGGGCAGATGGCCCAGGGAAGCCCACCATCATCTGCGTCTACTCTCGGGGAGCATTCTGTTGCATCACACAGACATTTCCCAGTTTGCGTCTCACAAAAGAATATCCAGGTGCGTTGGCTTTTCATTTGAAAAACCTGCAGTAGCTAAGCTGCTTCAAATCAACCCTTTTACAAAATGTACTCTAATTTTCTCTGCATTGAAAGTATTCCAATAAAATCACCCATTAAATTATGAGTTACCCATAAAACTGGGAATTAAATATGCATGCACAATTTAATTAAGACAATCAGTCGTTTTGTAAGTAGTTAATCAAAAGTCTATAATTTATATGCCTGTTTGTTACTGGCCAATATGTACTGCAGGGCAGGATAGTGAGCATCGTGAATTTGATTTTTGACAAATTTCAAAGAAAGCCATGACATTTGTCCATTTTCAATCTCAATAGGATGGCACGTATTAAAGATATGCAATAGTAAAACTAAAGTTTGGAATTTTCCACTTGACCTTTTATGAGAAAGGAAATAGTTATTGGTTATTTTACTTCATAATGTTCATGTTTATAATTGTGATTTGTGTCCCATTACTCTGTAGACTGAAATAACAATGGACAAGATAAAGATGCTGGAAAATAACCAGAGCTCAGACCTGGAAAAGAAGGAAGGGAAAATCGATGACCTCTTAAGGGTAAGTTGAGTTTAAGCTTCCTGAATCATTTCATGAATGCACTTGCCCATAGGTTTTTTTGGAAAGTCAATGTACTTTAAGTGCTAATGAGAATGTAACAAATACATATTTAAATTATCTTGACTGAATATCTGACTGTTTCTAGGTCAACTGTGACCTGAGGCGACAGATTGAGGAACAACAAAAGTTGGTGGAAAGGTACAAGGAAAGGTTAAATAAGTGTGTGGTCATGAGCAAGAAGCTTCTCATTGAAAAGGTAATAAAGAACCAAAGGATAATTAACCTGAGACAGAATTTAGATGCAAATTTAGTTGTGTGTATGGCAGATCTTGTGAGGATGAAATCGGTTAATATAGTCGCAATCATCATTGATGAATTAGTAGCCTACGTGTTTAGCACTAACTGAATGAAACATATATTTACTTGAGTGCACTACAATAGTATAACTTGTATTATCCCTGGGTAACATGAATGCCTTGGTGGGTTGCCAAACACCGTGACATCAGTGTTGTAATCGCATCAAGATTAAATTACATGTTCTAACTGTATTGTACAGGAACAAACTGACCTATTAGCCATCCTTATTGTTTTTCTATTTAAACTATAAAAAACTTTTCTTTTTATTTTACCAGGTAAGCTCCACTGAGCTATATATCTCTTTTTCAGAAGCAACCTGGAAATAAATTATAGCTCAACTAAGTGGTTCATTATGTGAAAATTTATATCAACCAAATACTCTAAACATTTATTTTTAAATGTTAAGAGAAAAACCGGAGGACCTGCAAAAATCCACGTGACCACGGGGAGAACGTGACTCTTAAAGTTGTACAGTAAAACCTTGGATTGCGAGTAACTTGGTCTGCGAGTGTTTTGCAAGACGAGCAAAGTTTTTAAATAAATATTAATTTGATAAACGAGCGAGGTCTTGCAATACGAGTAGTACGTATACGCTTTGTCTGCCGAGCGTCACGTGATCACAACTGATATACGAGTGCTTTGATATACGAGTGCTTTGGATTACAAACACATTTCCGGAATGAATTATGCTCGCAATCCAAGGTTTTACTGTATTACCTAATTTGTAAGCTAGTAAACTGGTTATCGGTATGCTGTGTAATCTGCAAGGCATATCACAAAGTATCTTTTTTTTACACCAAATATAGCTGACTTCTAGTTTCTTCTATTTTCTTCCGCATGATAAATGATGCCACAATTAGCTGTGCTTAAATTATACATTTTGAATCTATAATTTCCTAGGCAGCAGTAATTAAATCGCGACAAAAGTACACGATTGCAAGATTATTAAACTCGATGGCTGATCCATGTACAGTGCGGTATATTATACTATCATTTCCATATTTGCACGACCTAAGATACTAATTTGTGCAGCACACAACCTTTTGTTCTGACATTTTCATTACTGTAAAGTCTATTAATGTTGGTTACATTTTGGTTTCAAGTATGATCTTAAACATATCTTAATAAGGAAATGGATCCCTTAATGTAGTGTTCATACCACCTTAAATGTCAAGGATCTGCAATTTGATATTTTTGTAGAATGTTTTAGTTGCTATGTTTAGTATTTTTTTTTCTAACCATTGTAATTTATATCTCTTGTGGCACGCGAGACGACGCCATCATCCAGGACTGCACTGTAGTACTACAGGAAATGCATTACATTTGTCTGTCCTGGATAATATCTAAAACATATTTCAAATCAACACTGATGCACTGGTGAAAGTCACATATTTAACTATCAGTGGCGTTCTGCAGAACTGCTGTGCAGCATATTAGGAGTCTTGGGATGACATAGTGTTGTGACTCCCCCACAGTCAGAGCAGGAGAAGCAGGCTTGCCGGGAGAAGAGCATGCAGGACCGGCTGAGGCTCGGGCACTTTGTCACAGTGCGGCATGGGGCCACCTTCACCGAACAGTGGACGGATGGCTCAGCTTTCCAGAACCTCATCAAGTGAGCGCTGTGTGTGGTCATGAGCCAGTTAAAATAATACAGTGGACCTTGTAAATGCACTGTAGTAATTTGAAACATATACAGTGCTGGATTTTTTTATGCAATGTTTATAAAAATTACTTTGATTTATCAATAAAAGTCTTAATCAATAGAAATACTACCCTTGCTATACTAAATACACATCCCGTGGAAGTCAAGTTATCAAATGATACTGCGTGTTTTGATATAGTGTTGATGCATACCCTACACATTTTTATAATGTCACAAAGGCAGCAAGAGTGGATTAACCAGCAAAGAGAAGACATTGAGAGGCAGCGGAAGCTTCTGGCCAAACGTAAGCCACCCACTGCTGGCCACTCAGCCAGCCCAATGCCGGCTGGGGAGCAGAAGCAGCGGAAGACCAAGGCTGTTAATGGTGCTGATGAGGGCTTCCTCAAGCCTGCCACACCACAGTTGTAAGTGCATCCCTCTTTGTTTCCAAAGAATAACGCACCAAGTGGTCCGAATATGCATAACGTATGGTGAAGGGTTATATATCGTCGGTTAAATATGAGAGATATTTTGTCACAAGCTGTATTACCTTATTGACTGGATTAACACTTTACATCACATGTTTCACTAAACAGATTAACAGTTGCAGAGTATCACGAACAAGAGGAGATCTTCAAATTGAGACTGGGACACCTCAAGAAGGTGAGACTGCTTATCCTTTACGTATTTTTATTTTGCTGTCATGTCATAAGAGGTTTACACAGATATTCTAAATTATGATGTATGTATGTTGAACCTCTATCGCACCGTACATAACCAACTGTGCTAATTGCAGGCGCAGGCGAAGGACAACAAACTAAACACAAAAAGCAGTTATAAGGAAATTACTTTTCAATCTAGATTTAAAAGTGTATAGCTCTAGTGGCTTCCTAATATCAGAAGAAGAGCATTCCCGATGGCTGCAGAAACGCTATGGGTTTATTCTACATTTTTAATGTGTCTCATGTGTTCCTTTGTGTGCTTGTACGATTGCGGAAATGAAGGAGGAGGCAGAAATCCAAGCAGAGCTGGAGAGGTTGGAGCGAGTGAGAAACTTGCACATCCGGGAACTCAAACGCATTCACAATGAGGACAACTCACAGTGAGTGGCCACCGGTGTCCACAACACATACAGCACTGATGGCAACTACCACTACACTTGCAATGTCACAAGCAGCCACATTATTATTACAGGGTCTTGTTGCCGTATTATTGACACATTTCCTGCTTATCGAACATTCATAGGGAACAGGATTACATGGGTTTTATTTGCAGTATAATGTTACATGTATATGAGAATTACATTTGCAAGGTTGCTGAATGCACGTTTTGAAAGTGTATTTTTTTTCTTTTTAGGTTTAAAGATCATCCCACGTTGAATGAGCGGTATTTGCTGCTCCATCTGCTGGGTAGGGGAGGCTTCAGTGAAGTATACAAGGTATAATTTATATTTTAGAGAAAGATTTGGAAATGTTATTGAATGTTTTATTTAAAATGTTTCAGTTCAGAATTGTAGTCAATTGAAAAAGCAAAGTGATCTGATTTATTTGCACAGCAATACAAATCAAAGGTTACAATTCAGCATTGTTATTAAATGAGGAATTCTATTCACTGGCGGAGCCAATGGGGTGGCACGTGCCCCCCCAATGAGCCAATCAAAATCCCTAATTTCGATTGGATCATTGGGGTTTATTTGTAATAAATCGGCATTTTGCGACCCCCACTGCCACTGTGTAGCATGTTATTTTGTGCCAGGGACTATGAGATGATAGGACAATAGTCTTGAGTCCATCATTGGCAATAAGTAACGGCAAAGCAGTTGTAAGTGACTCAGAATTGTGCGCAGTTGCGTATATAGTACACAACTTCCCTGAAGGCATACCTTCAGCGAGCGCGATGCCGATCACGCGGTTCGAATTCGACCCTCGATCGATGGCTGCGCCATCGCCACACATGCGTCGAATAAAAAGCAAGGGGACAAATCCTTACTTACTAACAACTCGTATAATTTTTCATTGTTGGAGGGGTTGCCTCCCCTACCTGAAAATCCTGGCTCCGCCCTTGATACTATTGCAAGCTGTTTAATCAGAGTTTTCATTACATTAGGCCTTTGACTTGCAAGAGCAGAGGTACGTGGCAGTGAAAATCCATCAGCTGAACAAAAACTGGCGAGATGAAAAGAAAGAAAACTACCACAAGTAAGTCATCGGGGCATTTTCAGTTCACACATTTTAATTGTAAGGTTTGGTGACTTGATTTCATTTCCAATTCTTCTGCTTCCTCCAGACACGCTTGTCGAGAGTACAGAATACACAAGGAACTGAATCATCCAAGAATAGTCAAGCTCTATGACTACTTCTCACTGGATACAGACTCGTAAGTACAGTAGGACCGGTGATATCAGTCAATTTTTATTTATATCAGTTTGCAGACCATGTGGAGTCTCAGAAAGCATGTTAGGTTTTATGCAAAATCTCTATGCTTTAGCCCTTAGACTTAAAGACATTTATGTGTATGAGTTCAGGTTTTGCACAGTGCTGGAGTACATCGAAGGCAACGACTTGGACTTCTACTTGAAGCAGCACAAGCTCATGTCTGAGAAGGAGGCACGCTCCATCATAATGCAGATTGTCAGTGCTCTCAAATATCTCAACGAGATCAAGCCACCCATCATCCACTATGACCTGAAACCTGGTACGTAGGGTTCGAAGTTGTGAAATTGATACACAGATATAATATAATATTGTGAGACACAGTCGATATAACTTATCCCCACAATTTAGTTTTGAAATGCAGCTAATATAGACAAAATTAAGTAATTGGATAGGCCTTCACGTGCGCGATGAATGTAATTGTGGTTTTGCACACTTATTGCAATATTTTACTGCTGTACCCTTAATTTTTTTTACTAGATTTGTGGAGAATTGTGAGCCTTTTGATGTTCCATGAATTATCTCCTTTCAGGTAACATCCTTCTAGTGGATGGCAAGTCATGTGGGGAAATCAAGATCACAGACTTTGGCCTCTCCAAAATCATGGACGACGATAACTACAATGCCGTCGATGGCATGGACCTGACGTCGCAAGGAGCCGGAACATACTGGTAATGATAGCAGATGACCGCTTTATACGTTATTTGTACAATTTATGAATTTACATCACACTTTCTTCATTTGGATACAAATACTCCATATTTGTACTTCTTGTTTTCAGGTACCTGCCTCCTGAATGTTTTGTTGTGGGCAAGGAGCCACCAAAGATATCCAACAAAGTGGATGTGTGGTCTGTAGGAGTCATCTTCTACCAGTGTCTATATGGGCGAAAGGTGTGTAAAAACAAAACCTGGCATTTACATAAGTGGTACAATGGAGACTGGACGGACAGACAGCTGATCAAGTAATTGTACAGGGTGAGACAGTTGTGATGGAAGCTGCAGATGGCGAATCGGAGCCAGAAATTTGAGAAGAGAAGCGAGACAGAGATCTCTGATACTGTTTAACATGCATGTGGAGGCAATGGTGAGGGAAGTGTGGATGGAGTTTGGTGAAAGCAATAAAGTTTGGAGCCAAATGGTATAAATCGGCCAACTTTTTGATGATAATGGTCTATTCTGAAGAATGGTTACACATGCTGGTCGAACATTTTACAAAATGGTATGAGATCTTGGAATGAAAATGAATATACAGAAACAATGAAAATCGAGCAGATTGGTGGAAGCAGGTTGTTACTGGTGAGGTAGTTCATGTATCTGGGAAGTATTCTGACAATATTTGGGAGATGGTTTGAAGGAGTTGCGAGCTAGGTTTTCTGTGGCAGGTGTTAGTGGGTTCAGGAAGAAATACATCATATTGGAACAAATCGAAAGCAGAAGACCTAGAGTAGGATTATTGTCAGATGGAAAGTCTTGCTGAAGAAAGCTCTAAAAGCATGTAGGGAAATGGACAAGAGGTAGAAAAGACACTCTAACCATCTTGAATAAAGGTCTTACAAACAAAATGAGTGTGTTGCCTCCGAAACGTCGTGATTTTTTATTTTATTTTATTTTCATTAATTTGGATGTTTTACCTACGTGACTTTACCAAAAAAACCTAAGAATATAAGTGAGCAGAATTTCAAAAAAATATAAACTTGAAAGAAGAACTAGACTTTAGGCAGAGAACTCGAGAAATATCAATAAATGTACCATTACTACACGAAATAGGTCACATAAAATTTACACGTGGCAGATTTATTTACTGCAGGTGCAGGGAGCAGTTAGTATTGTGAAGTGGCCCTGCTAATGCTTATATTACCATATATTTTCCTACCTTCCCAACATCTTCACTTCCCCTCCCACACACTACCCCATCTTTCACAGCCAATGTTCAGTTAAAATGCTTCATTATGCAAAATAATCCCCCTGGTTAATACAAAGTGTACTGAAAATATTCAGACAGAGTAATACCCTTATTTCTGCTTGCCTTGTTGATTAAAATGTGCATTCTCTTTTACAGCCATTTGGCCACAATCAATCGCAGCAGGACATCCTCCAGGAGAAGACCATACTGCGAGCCACGGAGGTGCAGTTCCCCGTCAAGCCTGTGGTATCAAATGAGGCAAAGGTATGCATGTACTGCATGCTATATGACTGGATGCCATATATGGTGTGATTTATGTGAAAACTAATGAACAAGATTACTGAATATCAAGAATAGCTGGCATGTCAGTTACACTTCCATTGCCAAGCATGCGAAATTGGATCTAAGCTGTAAACCACTACAAATTATTTTCCATTTGATCATTTAACTTTGTCTTCATGGTTCTTTCGGTAAAGTCACGTAGAAGGGAAATAATAAAATAATAAAACATAATAAAATAAAATTCTCACAACGTTACGTGAGAATTTCCCTTCTACGTGACTTTACCGAAAGAACCAAGATGAATCTCTGCAAACACGAAAGCTTTAAATCGAAACATTTAACTTTGCTTCGACTGTAAAATGGACTGTGCCAACTCCCCTCACCCCCAGGCCTTCATCCGCCGCTGCCTGGCCTACCGGAAGGAGGACCGCATCGACGTGCACCAGCTGGCGGGCGACCTGTACCTCATGCCACATATTCGCAAGTCCCCAGCCAATACGAGCGCCAACACGCCCAGCTCCTCCGCTACAGCAGCATCCTCCAACAGCAACTCAAATTGACGGCATGAGGCCTCAGCGCATGCCACACGGACACGCTGCGCCCTTTGTGCTGCGCCCTCCACTCGGCACGAAGAGGACGGTGATTGGTGTGCGCAGTGCAAGACGTTGCCGAGGTGGTGGACCACTCAGTGGCAGCTGTTTTCGTGAGGACGAGCATGTGAAGACGTGTAAATTAGCGGCTTCATTTGTCCGGTGTTCCACGCCTGAAGGCGAGCCAGTAGAAACGACCTCATGGATCCTCGAGTGCTGAACGCAGCGAACTTGTCCTCGGCGCCAAAGAGCAGCCCAGGAAGAAACGTTGGAGGCATAGCTTAGCCATATGTGATGATCTAGCTTTACTACTCACAACTTGCATACATACTGTTGCTCTCCAGCTGCCGTCCCTATTTTTTTTTTAACTACGGTGGGATGTGGTAGTCGGCATATTGTACAGACTAAATGTATATTAAAGGGAAGCTTCAGACTAAAGCTGCACGTGCATGGGTAGTATAAAGAGAAACAAAAGATACTGTGTAAATTACCAACATTGACTTTTAGCTGCAAGTGAGCTAAATGAGACAAAGCTAAAAGGACGTATCACTGACATCTGTGGAATCCATTGAAATGATGTAATAAAATCACTTGAATAATAACGAAAGAAGTTGCTCTCATGCTTTAGAAACTACAAAATTCCATGTGTACAAATGTACACAGCAATGTTTTGAAGCTGGAAAGTGGTTTCCACCTGCCACACTTAAAAATGCGGTGCTTGCAGGTAAGCTACGTATGTGGCGAATTCTACACTGCACAGTGGCTAGGAATCGCTGCAGATGGGAACAGCTCTGCCAAATAAAACAAGAAACTTGCTGTTAGGTGCTGCACTTAATGTCAATGAGGGATTTTATGCAAGCAATATGTTAATTGCAAGAGCATGAATGATTTTATAATTCAGAAGAGCGCCTTTTTCGTGTGCTATGACAACTACAAACTTCGGGGGTTTTGCTGTTGATTGCTTTTGCACTGCAGCTCATACAATCGTGCCTGCCAGCCTCATGTGCTCATGAGTTGTGTGTGGGCGTTCACTACGAAAGCTCAAATCAAATTCATCAATAGTGTGTTATCCTTGATGTTTAACATTGCCGCTATATTGTACAGGTCAATGACTTTAAGAAAACCTTTTCTGCCAAGTCACTGCATGGAGCTGTGTAACGGCATGCAGCGTGTTGTATTGTTTCATTGCGAAGTGGATACATGTACGAGCGTATAACGATTTTGATTTATTGATGTTTGAACAGTGAAGCAGCATTTTTAATTCCCCTCTCCTCTGGTTTTGAGAACCACATGTTTGAGGCTGGAGGCTCCACTGCATCAGCTTTTGAATCAAAAGCGTGGGCAGTGGCGGCAGTGCCTCGACTGCCATGATTTTACATTCACTGTGAATTTCTCTAAAACGCCCTGTGTAACCAGGCGTGTAAACATTGGTTTTGATCTTCTGTTTGATGTTCACCACTTTACATAACGTTAAACAGCTGCTGCTTTGTGTGTAGGTCTGAGCTGATAAATTGACTTGTATGTCTCAGTGCACACATTTTGAAAGCTTTTGGCTTCTGTTTTGTTTTTGTAAAGGTTTCTAGTAGAATAAGTGTTTTATTAATTAAAAGGAAGTGCGGGATGGATGGATATCTTGTTGCAAAGTAATTGTGTCATTTAAAAAGGGCAGTGTGTTTTTTTAAACTACCGCAGAATTCCCTCACATTAGTGTGCCATCCAACACTTTCCGTCAGTCAGCCTATGGCTTTTCCCATGTCATTGAAAAGGAAACGGTTTCCGCCGGCTTCTTGACATTCCACACAGCATTCCGCCAGATGGCGCCACCAGACAATATCTTGCATGTGTCTGAGGCAGCAGCGCATTGCTCCAAAACACTCAAAATGAAGAGCGATTGATCAGTATGAGTGCAGCAATGTTAATAAGCATAATCTCATCACAGAAAAGAATTTTCCATTTAAAAAGTATCTCAAAGGCTGCTTAGATGAATGGTTTATGCAGTTAGGTCTGTGATAATTACCAATGGGAATGTGGAAGGATGCACAAAAGGCATTGGCAGTTGTAGTGAAGAACATTCCAAGAAAGACTGAATTTTATTCTGGAAAACTGTTTGTTTTTTGGAAGCCCAAGCAATTACATTTTATTCCCATGTTCATCCTGGGCTAATGGTAAACTGTTTATTAACACAATACTGCAATAAATTTGCAATTCTCTACATTTCATACAAGGTAGAGATATTTAAGTAAAAAAAGTACTGACATTTATACAGTTAATACATAGTGCCTACACATTAATATAATGGTAGAGATATACAACTTGCCTAATACTTTGTGTATCGAGGCTAAGGATTGAAAAAAATAACAAAATGCTATTAGTATAGCCCTACCATCGGTATTAGAATATGTAACTAATGATTAAAAGATGCAGAACCCCATTTTCAGGTAATTAAATAAAAACTAAAAACACTACAAAACCATCCTCTACATACAGAACAACCAGCCCCATGCACAATGAGAAAAGCTAATGACAAAACTGCATTGTATTCTATTCATTTTAGTAAATATGCTGGGATGATTCAAAATGAAACATCTGATTTGAGTAGAAAAAAATACAGAATAACTCATCGGCCCCAAAAGAGCCAATGTTTCAATACAGATGATCCTGAGATAGAGGTGCATGGCGGGTGTTGTATCTTGCATAACTGAGACGGCACAAGTTGATCTCTGAAAGAAAACAAACAGAAGCGTAATTAAAACATCACCATTTGGTCTAGGAAAGTATACCACTCTTACATGTGTAATGACAGGATGATACCTGTCAGCCCTGAAGTGGTAATTGTGGTTATGGGGGTATTGCGTAATGCCTCATTTTAAGGGGGGCGTATCTGGGGTAAAGGTGAAAGGCGGAGTTAGTCCAGAGGCTCCGGGAACCTGCTGTAAGGTTCTGAAAGGGGGCGTGGCCAGAGGCGGGGCTTGGTCGCGCCGGGGCGCATATAAGGGGGGCCGAACCAGAGGTTCGGATGCTGTTGCGGCTCCTGCGTGGCTGCTCGTCGTCATCGCTTCGTCTCCGACCACGTGGATGATCTTCTGCAAGACCCTCTCCGTCGCTGCGCTAGTCGGACAGCTAGCGTAACGTATGCCAAAGATGGGCTATGTGTTAGGGTCGCCTATGTGTAGCTGCGTTACGTATAGTATCGCCCCGTGTGCTCTTAATAAACAAGAAGCCTTCTACTCGACGTGTCTCGGAAGTCGCTCACTTCACATGGTTCTTAAGCTTCTTACACAAGCAAACAACATGTAAATTGTCTGTCTGAAATCTAAAACAACTGTTCTTTTGCATCAAAGCGAAGCTGTGGCTCTCTCTCTCTCTTTCTCTTGATTACCAAAAATATTAAAATGTTGCCTGAAATATGGGCATATCAGCGAATTATCCCAAATGATAGTGTCCTGCGTTAATTATGTTTTGAGGGCAGACACTGGAGGGACGCCAAGAGGAACAAAAACAAGCCCCAAATAACTATTCAAATTAAGACACCTGGGCAGGATTTTTCAACAGACCTTTAAACCAACCTCATGGAGTGGAGTTTTTACTATTTACAAAGGGATTGCGAATTTTAAGCCAAGTCCTGTCTCTGGGTATAAATAAAGTCCCGCATTCATTCAATCTTTTATATTTAAGGAAATGCATCAAATAACTGCACTTATAATATAATTCTGCCAAACAAAGCGAATGCATTAAGCTTTTCGAAAAACATAAAATATCAACAAGGTGCGATATTCACGGCAGTGGGCCACCTGTCAAAACAACATTCACTGGGCAACATGCAGCTCCACCCAGGGCATTGATACATTTCCAGGCACGTATAACAGTAATGTGCCAACGCTTTGCCGGTCACTTGGCAGCGAGAGAAAGGGGCGATGGGGGTGGCAGGGCACCACCGCTAAACTAGACACCCCCCCCACCACCCCCAAGGGTGCACTGCTGGTAACAAAGTAACTGCATTGTGTAACAGTAATGCTTGGGATACGTTCGCCGCAGTGCGTTGGCTCAGATGTATTTGCTGGAAGGCAGCAACCTTTGTGCCTCTGCTTCGCGGCGCTACTGTCGAGTCAGCTGCGCGGTGCGAGCAGAGAGAGGACCCTGCCAGGGCGGCTGTCCGGCGCGCTGTCGCTCGCAATCGCACTGCCAACCCTGCAGGAGTGAACGCATGCAAGTGGAGGATGTAGTCATTACGTACGCGCGCCGATAGTACACGCGCAAAGACGTGCGAAAATAATGGGTTCAGAAAATGACGTAAGCAGTGCGTGCGTCTGCAGATGATTTGCATGCGTGCTGTGTGTACTTGGGGGGGGGGGCATCCATTTAGTACGTACGCATGGAGGGGGGGATGGGGGGGGGTAACCCAAATATGTACGCTTGCGTATGGGGGGGGGGGTCTACTGACAATGTACGTACGCATAGGAAACGCGGGGGGGGGGGGGATGAAGCCTCGATAATAATTTGTCTACATTGGCCTTCAAATTAGTTTGATAGTCCGGCGGTGGACTGTTTGCTTAAACACGTCAATATTATTAATCCTTGATCGTTTCTGCGTGGATTAAATATCGGCCGTTCGATAGGATTCGGAGGGGGGGGGTGTAAAAAGTACGCGTGCGTACAGGGAGGGGGGGGGGGTCAAGTATTGACAGATTTTTGCGTACGTACTAAATGGATGGCCCCTTGTTGAGTGGTAACACATTTTCTTGGCGTGTGCATGGCTCCACCTGTTTATACAGAAAACCAGGTAAACACCTGTTGACTATAAGTCAATGTGTTGTCCCCCCCGCCCCGTTCTTTAAAGAGCACTGGGCGGTGTTCGTCTCCATTGGCGATCCCTGAGCGAATGGTGGAAATTCCATTCCTACATTAGGGAACGGTCTCTTCGTAGAACATTGTTCACATCCCACGAAGTTATGCTCATTCTATCCACCCTGAAGGAAAGGTGAGCTGAATTGGAACCCAGACTGAGATTTGCAATTGCCACATTCCAATTATGAGTTGAGGGAGGATTTTGCCGCCGTGCCGGCCAGGCCGATACAACAAATCTAATACACTTAAATACGAAACAGAGATCTCGCAAGCTTATGTGTGCACGTCATACGATGACAGAGGATCACATGGAAGCAGGACTGCATTATTATGCGCAGGCACGCAGTCTAGCACAAAGGGCAGCATTGTAGATGCACAAGTATGCCCATGTGTGCACAGGACAGATGTTTGCACTCAGGCATATGTTACGTGGTGAATTATCGTGTTGATTATTAATATCATTGGCAACTACTCAGGACCTGTAATAAAGGCCCTTGCAGAAAATTGGCAACAGAGCAATGTAAAATGTGAAATAACAGCTGTCAGACATAATACATCCGGACATTAAACAAATGTTCATTTTATACATTGAATGATGTTGAGTTTAAGGGTGAATTAAATGTTATTTTTCCTAAGACGAACTCTAACAATAATTGGGCACTAATGGAATGTAGAACAATTTCTGTAATTAATTGTGTACATATTGGCGACTCAGAGCTTCACATCTGGCGCTGGGTTAATTAACTCCATGTTTACACTTCCATTGTAATGTGCCGTCTAAGACTGTACAATCAAAGCCGCGCTTTCAGATGTGCTTTTGTGGTCGTCTGGAACGCTCTTCCGATATCAGGAAGCCATTGGATGCAATTTTAAATCTAGATTGAAAACTCATTTCTTTAGACCTGCTTTTTTGTGTTTAGTTTGTCCTTCCTGCGCACCTCCGATTAGCACCGTATGGTGCGAAATAAGTTCAACATCACACATACAAAGCCGCCTGTCTCCATGCCACTCGTCACAGACTGCACAATGCGACCGATCGTAAAGCTGGCCTTTGGCAGAGATGGATCAATTTGGCGTCTCTGACGAGGCTCCGTTTGTGAGGCTTTCAATGTGTTGGGCTCGAACGTAATACAAGCCTGCTTGCGCTTACATCCTCAATGAGTAACAGATCTATTTGCAATGACCCCACACGTCACTAGAGTGATCCCAGACTCTGTTATTTTGGGCGTGCTGCTTGTAATGGATAAAGAATGCAGTAACTTTATATGCATGTCGCTTGCCGAGCCGCGTTAGTCGGTGAATTACTGCAATTGTGTTCCTGTGATTAATATGGTGTGCAGTGAACACAACTGCAGTTTTCAACATACATAAGATGTTGCTTATGTTTGATAATAATTCGATATTACGTAAAAATATGTCCAAAAAGTATTTAGCACAAGAGGTGTCTTTTTGTATATGTGTGGATTGGGCCTCTCCTATTTCAAACTCAGCCTAAAGTGAGCACAGTTCAGTCGTGTTAACTTTTAATAGATTATCGCAAACATAACTCGCCCCAGAAGTCTGTAAATGACAAAGTTATATTTCGTACACACCTGTAATTTTAGGGATGCACCCAGAGATTTGGGTTCGCTAAGATAGCTACAGTGAAATACTAATGTTAACTGTAGGTTTATTTTTAATCCTTGACCATTTATAATTATACGGTGTTGAGTCGTTAATTCATCTTTCCACTGTTGAGGATTTCCATTTATAAATTCGAATTTGCAGCTGTCAAAAAGTAGCAGATGAAGTTTCTATTCCCAGCACGGCCACCACTCTTTGGTTCTTTCGGTAAAGTCACGTAGATAAAAAATTAAATAAAAAATAAATAAAAGTACATTAAATCACGACGTTTCGATTACAACAAGCAATCATCATCAGGTGTGACAACCAATCTCCACATCGGTCCTGAATTAAAGTAAAGTCACATGAACCCATACACGATGTTAAAATGCTGTTCTGTATCTGTCGATCCCGCTGTGCAAAACATCAATCAGTCTCAAACTAAATTAACCAGTGCTCATCTCTGCTGGCAGGACTGAATCAAGTGGGAATTCTACACTCCAATAGCAGGGATAACTTTCTTCGAAGTGCTACTCATTGTCAACTCTGTGGAGACGATGGACCGAGTTGACCCCCAGCTGGAATTTGACCTTGAGTCGAGAAAGAAGAAACATTTTAAAAGTAAAGTGACAACGTTATCTGTTCGCGTTTCCACCACTGGGGATTGAACCCATGGTCAATGATTTCACATATCCATAAGGATGCCCTCTTATGTTACATGTGCACCTTTTGCAAAGAGGAGCCACTTTTTCTTTGTTTTTTTTCGGTAAAGTCACGTAGGTAAAACAATCAATAAAATAAAATAAAAGAATAATTTAATTATTTACTTACGTGACTTTACCGAAAAAACCAAAGAGTATGAATCCTTGCAGTCACGAGAGCTTCAAATCTAGGAGTCACTTTATTACTCGGCTTCGCCCGGGACTTGGATTCACCACGCCCGGCCGCCAGTTACTCGTTTGAGGCCTAGTCGACCTAGGGGAGGCCCAGGACCGCTTAAAATAATCGTCACCGGTGGTGGCCGTGAGCAGGAATCGAACTCGGGTCGCTGGGTTCGTAGCGTAGCGTAGCGCGCTAACCACTACACTACAATGCGTTACGCTTCCACATGCGCGGGTCACGGGACAGATTTGACGTCACAGCTCACTTACCGTGCAAAAAATATATGCATTATTGAGCTCCCCCCCCCAAAAAATGTGTATTTTTCTAATTTTTGCATGGTGTACAGTCTGGAAAGTACCTACATGGCAAATTTAAAGTTTGTTGCATGTTGGGAAGTACGCTAAACATTTTGAACAGACACACATAATCACAACTTTGCCTTATATATGGAGATAACACCGTGTGTTTATGGCTGCACTACTGGAACCAGTTAGTGTTGATGTCGAAATCTGTAAAAGCTTAAAAACAAAGGAATATTTATAACCCTCCAGCTCTGCAAAATATGTGAATGTGACAAATCCCAAGTTGATGCAATTTATCTCGGTCACCACAAACCACTCATAATTTGTTTGGAATATGCAACCTGGATCATTTTATTTTTGAACATGTGGGTGGAACAAAACATGTTAGAACTCTTTTTAGAATGATCCAGGTGTTGGATAATGAGCTGTTTTCCAATTTTGGGTGGAAAAATACTTCAAACACATGTTATGAGGTTCTCTAACCTCACAATCCTTTACATTTCCACGCAAAAATCTTTGCAGCATTGCCTTAAAGTAGAGTGCACGTACCTCCTTCCCTCCCAGGCAGGCGCACGAGCAGGCCAAGCTCTCGTGCACCTTCTTCCAGTGCTGCCCCACCGCAAACTCCTTGCCTCCCTCGTAGCACACGCTCTCATCTAAACACAACGCGGCACAGTGAGCAGGGGCCAGGCGACTCGTCCAAAAACTCGGCGCGTTCAGGGGGCCCAACTGGGGGACAGTGTGAGGGAGAATGCAGAGGAGGGAGACATCAGCTGCGCCTTGTTTAAGTGTGGGAGGACAGACTGCAAAACGGTTCTCATGAAAGTGGTGTGGAACCCACGGGTGTAGTACACCCAACGGGAAGATTAGGACACGTGGGAGCAGACACTGACACCTGTGTGATGTTGCGCAAAGAGAGCGGCTAACCTGGTTCACAGAGTATCTCCCCACGCAGGTTGCCCAGGCACGTGCACTGGAGCTTTTGTCCCGCATGAGAGAGTTTGCTCCACTGCTCCCCGATGCGGTAGCTCTGCCGGCTGTCATAGCACCATTCTGCGGAGCAGTTACACAGGTATCGAGAACACAAGTCTCTCCAGCACCGGGGATCCGTAGCCAAGCGCCGTACTCAACGTGCACCGTGAAAAACACTTCATGTGATCATCGTACCTGCTCGTGCTGAACCTATACAAGTGTAGTGTGCTAATTCACAGACACTAGTCGGAGGAACTCTTTTATTCCGGCCTTCACAGCCTTAGGGGGATAACCACACATCGGGTTGGGATGGCCAAAATGCTGCCAGACGCCCAGACCCACAGCTTGAAGAGGGTGAAGAACACAACGACTATTTAAAAGTTTTATTATTATGTCACCTTTGAACAGTCTACTGTCCTGGACAGTCGAAAAACTCCGTGACAGCAACCACAACCCGTACAAGGGACCTTTCCGTGATACCAGGACCCCTCCACATCGAGTGCACAGAAAACAAACAAAAAATAAGAAAACTTTGCCGGCCCATCCACTACATTTTGAAACAAGAGTCCGCGGTTGTCGTAGAAACAAAACTCATTATTTATTTCCAGTGCCGTGGCGGAGAACTTTCCCAAGCACTGCTTACTTCATCTCGTGCCACATGGAGGCGGAGGCTACCACCATTTTTCTTTTGCCACTTTGCTGCCTATTTTTACCCTGTCAACCTCCACCACCCTGTCGATCAGCCTCCAGACTAGGTGGTACACCTCGGAGGGTATCATATAGGCACCCTTGATCAACCATCCACGCGCCTTCCACAGGGCTTCTCTTACCCGGGCCGGCTCCTATTCTGTAATGTACTTGTTGACCAAGGCACACAACCACCTCTGCGTCCAAGCGAGGGGCTTGCCGCACGGCAATACAGCCATCCCTCGTCTCCGCAGGAGCCATGCCAGCCTGTACCATAAATAATATGAGGCTCTCACCTGGGACTCATCGGAAAAAACAAGCGCAACGTATTACAGACAAAGATCGTGGTGAGGGCACGCGCGACATTAGGGGCGCCCCTCCCACCGTTTGCAGAGTTTTTGTACATAGTCTCCCTTTTCACCCAGTCCATCCCGCCTCCCCAGATGAACTTGAAGAACAGTGTCTCTATATTTTTGCGCCATTTGCGCACCCGGCGGGAATATGTATGCCAAATAATTGAGTGCAGGTAGTATTCACCTTCAAAACCAGGATCATTCCTTCCATTGTAAGGCTCCTGTTCGTCCACCTGGCCAGCCTGCCCTTCACCACCTTTATCTTTTCTTTCCAATTCCTTTTTGCCGAGTCCTCCCGGTAGAAGGTGACCCCCAGCACCTTAATCCCTTCTGCCTGCACTCTTATTTCTGGTGGGAGGCCCTCAAATAGCCTGGGGTCACCAAAATCATCATCTCGCTCTTGTTCACATTAATCTTGGATCCTGAGGCCAAAAGAAAACGTCTTGTGAGCTCTAGTACCTCCCACACCAAGGACACGTCCCTACAGAAAACAACGACATCATCCATGTACATAGCTACTTTTGCCTGTTCTCTGCACCCCGGGATGTGCACCCCTCTGATCCTCTGGTTATTTTTGACCACCTGGGCAAAGGGCTCCATGCACATGACGAATAAGACCGGCAGATATGGGGCATCCCTGTCTCACTCCCGACCTGATTGGTATCGCCTCCGAAAGGACCCCCTTGATCAAAAGTCTGCCAGAGAGTTTATGATATAGTTTTCGTACCCAACCTATCAATAGCTCCCCTACCCCCATGCATGCCCGCACTGAAAAAATAAATCATGCGAAATGCGATCAATTGCCTTCTCCTGGTCTAAGCTAAGGAGTCCCAGGGGCCCTCCCCCGTCTATCGTGGATTCCAGAACCTCCCTTAGTAAGACACGGTTGTTGAAATTCACCTGCCCGGGACTGCACGTCTGGTCTGTTCTTACTACCTACTCTACCACTTGCCCCAGACGTGCTGCGATGGATTTAGCTAAGATCTTATAGTCCGAGTTTAACAGGGTGATTGGGCGCCAGCTCCCAAGGTCGCTGCGGGCCCCCTTCCCCTTATATACAAGGGTTATCACCCCTCCGCTCATGGGTTCCGGTGTAACAGGCCGTAGTATACCCACAGGCCGTAGTATACCCGGGGTTAAACGGCCTAGGCTAGATTATACCCGGGTATATTATGGCCTAGGCCAAATTTTGCCGCTCTAGGCCAAATCATACCCCCATGATAGTAAGTGTTGAGCGATATATACATGAATTACTAAATTTTTCCAACATTTTATTTAAAACTGTAAACAGAGACTTTGATTGCTTCAACCAGAAAAACTTTAATAATAACCCTAACCCTAAAAATGCTTCAATTGATCAAATTGAGATTCTTACTTCCATTTATACACTTTTTAGATATTGATTGAAGTTCCTTGTCGGCTGTTCTCTGTATGGATAATTGCCTTTGAACTTTCACATGGGGCATATTCTGGCCTGGAGGGGTATGGTCTGGCCCAGTCTAGTTTAAACCCCCGGGTATAGTTTAGCCTAGGACACTTTATCCCCCCGGGGTATACTCTGGCCTGGGCCAAACTATACCCGGGTTTAATCGGGGCAGGGATTATTTTAGCCTGTTACACCGGCACTGGGCCCTCCTCCAAGATTTCTCTATACAAAACGTTACATGTCGTGTTTGATGGTGTTCCAGAATTTAATATCGAATTCAGCCGGTATTCCATCCTGCCATGGTGTTTTGTGCCGACGTAGCCCTCTTACTGCCTCTTCAGCTCCTCCATCTGAACTTGCCCATTCATTACCTCTGGAGCCTTGATCTTCTGCTCGACCTCCCCCAGGAAGAAGTCTCGGGCTTCCGCCTCCGACGTCTTACTTCCATATAGTTCTGCATAGTATTCCTGTGCTGCCCTACAATTCCCTCCGTCTGTGTCAATGTTCTGCCTCACAGCAGGAGTTTTGCCTCACGGCAGATGGGGGGGGGGGGGGGGGGGGGGCGTATGTACACAGGAATTTCCTGTTTTTATGCTAATTTTGGTCATGTGACCAGGAAGTTGCGATTTAAGATTCCCGCTCGACCACGCGGGCGTCGGCCATTACATACGTAATTCAAGATGGCGGTACACATCGCGTCCCAGTGAAGCCAACCGCAATTGTCCATTGTGGGACCTTAAGAAGCATTGTCTGCAAGTTCGTTTATGTTCTTATATTGGCAATGCTGTTATAATGTTAGAACGACCGTTATAAGGATGTAAATGCCTTTATAATGCTGTTAAATTGTTATGATAAATACGAGGCCTAGTTAACAACGAAGCCTGCAACTTTCCTTATTGTGAATGTTACTTGTAATTTAATAAGTAGAGTCAAACTTGTACCCAAGTAACTATATTGCGATCTGGAGAGCAAGGATGACAAAATGTCTCATTCATAGTGCAGTGTTATGTGTAGTACTGTACATCTGGGGTGCAGTGTGATAACACGGTGTGCCTTATGTTACACAGCAACTTATGCTCTTGTATAGCTATTCAGTGGTAATGTAGGTGCCTGCCCCCTCCAGGATCTATTGTTTAGAAACATGTTATCTGGGACAATGTTCTGGTGGTGTTCATTGTGTTGGTTTTTCCGGGTTATAACAGTTGGTCAGCCCAGTCTTGGGCTGACCAACTCTCGGATTGTGTTTTCTGTCTTCCAGCACTTAAAAAAAAGAACCATGTGCACTTTTCCCCCTCCTCCACTGCCCTAACCCGTGCCCTAAAAACGAGCTGCATAGCTTTTTCCAGCATCAAGGAGATTTTATCCCTTAGCTGCCTTACCTCGCTCATCACTGGGAAACCTTATTCCAGCAACCTATGCGCTTTTTTCAACTGATCATTCAGACCCCTCAACTCATTCCTGACACTCTTTTTCTTACCGTGTGCCTGAAAAAAACCTTTGATCTGGCTCTTAACCATTTCCCACCACTCTGTCATAGTGGCAAATCAGCACTGCAGACTTTTCCATTCCTCATACCATTTGATCAAAACCCTTGTCACCTTCTCATTTGCTAAGAGACTCGTGTTCATCCACCAAATCACTCCCCAACCTCAGTTCACCCGGAATTCGAAACCTCGCGGTACCCAGCTTGCGGTCCGAAAAAGAAAACGGTTCAGTCTCCACACTCTCCGCTTTAACTTTAGCAGAGACAAAAAGAAAATCTATTCTTGAATGCAAAGATCCCGAACTACTTGTCCAAGTAAAACCCGGGCACGTCGGGTGTCAATTAATTCGAAGTCCTTAACCAGACCACCTAGTTTCCCAGAAGAGGGGTCTATCTTCAGACTTCCGGATGCAGGAAGAACGTCTGATGGGTAGAGCGGGCAATTGAAATCCCCCCCTTTGATGACGTGCCTCCGTGTAACCAGCAGGGCCGCCATGCTATCCCACAGTTCTACTCACTCTATACTGCGTGGGGGCGTATACATTAATTAGATGAAATGCTGTTCCATCGTATGTGGCGTCTACATATTGGAGTAGGCCAGGGACCACTTCTTGGTTCTCCTGTACCTCGACGCTTCTACTTCCTAGAAGGATAACCACCCCAGTGTTCTTATTGACATTGCTCCCGAACCAGAAGCAGTGCCCGTCCCAGGACTGGTTCAGTTTTTCCCGACCGAGAGAGTACGGTAGGTGGCACTCCTGCAATAAGTATGTCTTTTTTCAAGGTTTGCAAATAATGTACCATTACTTCTCATCTGATGCTACGGAGCGTTCCATGCTCAAAAGTGTCTAGTCTGGCTCAGAAACGTCCTCCATCAGTAAGTAACAGTTTTTGTCGATCAGGTCCAGTAGGCGTTCCGCACTTCTGGGTTTTGGGGGTAACCCCCTCCCTTGGCCCATCTTTGCTGCTATTTCTTCTTTGTACGTCACCGGGTCTGTCGAAGAGCCTGACGGCTGACGTCCATGCAAGGGGGCAGATCTCGATGAGGCACTCGATGTCCTCCGTTTCCTCTTTGTTGCCCTTTTGAACGTCTCCCTCCTGTTGCCCTTCGGCTGCTCCTTTTCGTCCTCTCTCGCCTCCACCTCCTCCGCCCAGTCGGCCACGGTTGGCTCAAGGCCCGCCTCCTCCATCCCATTGGCTTTGGGCCTTCCTCCCGCCGGCTTGCGGATGTTTCCCCTTCCTCAGACGACGCTTCCCCCTCCTCCCTTTCGTCCAGCAGTGGTATTCCCGGTCTGGCCATCTCTCCACTCACATCATCCGTTGCCCGGCTGTTCGGTGCATGCTCTGACTCGGCCTCGGTCGTCCCTCTATCTCCTCCCTCAGGTCGCCTGACTCTTGTGTCCCCGGACCATATTCGCGTATGATTCCATGCAATTCCAATACAAATGATTCCCGCTTCCACAAAGATTACACTGTGCCGGGACTCTACACTATTCCACTACGTGGTCCAGCGCTTTGTAGCGGTAGCACATCCGCGCCTCACAGGCCGCTGCCAGATGGCCTCTTCCCTCACATCTCCTGCAGAGTTTGGGTTGCCCCTCGTACTACGTAGCTCCTACTACTGCCAATAAAGGGCATTCGGGATATGCTGCAGGGCCCCGTCCGCCGATATCAACCTCACCCATCACTGTCTGGCACCCGTACAGATGCCTAGAGAGTCTTGGACCCGCTTGCAACCTGACAACAATTGGCAATGCTGTCGCAACCATACCTCCACATCGTTATACAGGAAGACAATCACCATTTTCGTATCCAGTTCAAGCAGCAACAGAGGCCTCTCGCCTGCCTTTTCCTCGAACCGAGTCAGGAAACGCTGCAATAAGTTGTTAGTCTTAAAGCCAACGTCGAAAGCCTTGCTACCCGGAAAGGCTATTAAACAAAACAGGTCCATAGGCTCGACTTGTAGCATCCCCACCACCACTGTCCGTACAAAACTCGAATGGTTCATGGTCACTTCATCTGGTACGTCTTCCTTGAAGGCCACCCGAACACAGTTGTGTCACCTAGCATGGACTGGTGTGAAGCTCACCTCGGTCCACCGCGCCAACACCCCGCTCGTTCCTGGTACCGTCCTGCCCCCACAGGTTCAGCATCTACCTTAATGGTCTTGCTCCGATTGCCTTGCGCCCGCTGGCCAGCAGAGGCCTCAGTTTCCGCAGCATTCTCACTTAGGCCTGGCAGAGGCCACCTCCCTCCGCTCCAGTTCATCCGTTCCCCTTGGCAGCTGCCTCCAGGCTTCCCCCGCAGCCTGCCGCCTCCCAATCGAGGTGGCCACCGGGGCTGCATCGCCCTCCTCCAGGTAGTCATGTCACAGCCATTTCCGCATCAGCAGCAGTCGACCCGGCCCGGTCACCTTGGCTCGCCCCGACAGCAAGGTCGGTCTCCATACCCCCCGTAATTGGCAAGGCAACCTCCGGCCCGATGGCCAGGGTCCCTCGCAGGTACTCGGGCAGGTACGCAGACAGGTACACAGGCAGGCTCTCGGCTGGCAAGATGAGATCAGGACGCCGACGGCACGACGAGTTTCACTCCAGATCGCAGCAGCCCCGACTGTGAGTCGGAGCTCGCCTTATATCCTGAACAGCGTGGCCAGGCTCCACCGTCGGCCCCGCACCCCTCTGGATCCCCCAGAGGGCTCCATGCCTTGCCCACAGGTGCAACTGGTAGAACGGGCTGTTACCCCTAATTCTATTGTCTACCAATCTCCCTGCGGCACGCGCTACAGTGACTCATTCCACGTCACTACACAAGTAACTGTCATGTCACAATTCTGCAAAATATTTAAATACAGTAAGAGTAAACGTTGTTGAGGACCTTTATTTGAATTATTTATTTTGGTTTATTTATAAAAACCTCTCTGGACCCTAAAACGACAAAAGTAAGCTAATTTGTGAGGTTATTAAATGCCAAGACTCAGCAACTGCATGCCAAGTCGTGGCTAACTCCCAATGGCTGTGAGCATGCAACCATATTCTTACTCATTTGCAAAGCATTTACAGACACTAGATTTCTATTTGATAATCTGGAAATGGAATCTCTTGGTAAGACTACTGCAAGAGAACCCTTAAAACATGGACAAAATACATCTACACCACCCTTTCATCATCAGTCGTGGCCAATACACTTGTCAAGTTTAATATTGATTTATACCATTCTTATAGTTAGATTCGGAAGCCAATAATTTCATCAATGCATTACGGTCATTTTGTAATGAGGTCCATGGTATTTGATTTTCCACAATGGGGCTGCTTAGTACACACCACTCTAATATAAGCACAAGCCCAGTGAGTCTGTTTTCAGCTTCCGTGTTTTAGCTTCTATGTTCATGGTTTTGTGCCCTAGACTCTACATCCCGTGTTCTATGTGCTGGGCTCTTTACCCTACATTTTGTGTCCTGGATTCAATGTTGAGTGCTGGAGTCTGTCTCCTATGTTATTTGTCTCAAGTTCTATGTATATATATTTTATGTTGTAAGTTCTATGTCCAGCGATCTATGTCCTAGGTTCTATGTTCAGCCCTCGGGTGAGGTCCGAGCGATCGTTCACTCACTGGAGGAGTCACAGCGGACATGGCCACGTCCCTCGCCCAGGCAAGTGCACGTGAGGAGCAGCCCGTTCTGGGCGCGTTGCTCCCAGTGCTCCCCGGGGGCATACGCTGTGCCCGTGGCTCCCTCCAGGCAGCCGTCCAGGATCCTGGCCTCTCCGGCCTCTTCAGGCGTGCCTGTCAATATCATCAAGAAATCAACCCGGATTTGAACTTACAACCTTTCCTATCGTTGGTCAGCCATAACACAAGATGGTAGTCTACACTCGCATTACAAGAAGTCTCAATAGCAATGAATGCATCGATTTAATTATTGAAATGGATTTTGCTTGGGTTGCAAGCATGCAGTTGGCGCTTGTGGGAAGTAATTGTTTTCTATTTGTGCGGACGATATGCTCATGTTTCATTTAGGCTAATGGAGTGAACGAATCTATACAAAATAAACATGCAAAAATAATTATTGATTCGAGTTGTGGCTCGGAATCACAACAAAGCAACTGTATCACTGGAGCGGTGACTTGCATATTGTGCTGGGATGATTTGTCAATTTAAATCACTCCTTGACAAAATATAATGTTTGTGGTACTATCGATGACTCAGGCCCATTTATAAATGGTGGCTACCATGAGCAGCCGTGCCGAGCATGACTTGGCTGATGATGCTTAATGACATCATCAAGGCCCACCCATTACCTCCCATCCAGGGACACACATAGGAATAGAAACGAGACTCTTTTTTTTGCCCAATTACTTTTTTTGTTTGTGTAATCAAACTCATAATTGGTAGATTAATCAACAAATATAATAATCAAGACAGCCCTATTCCGGACTTTATGCACGTGATTGGGTGTCCGTGGGTGTGCCGTATGTGAGAGGGACGTGCCGGTGTTGTTCAGGCTCAGAGTCTCGTCCAGCAAGGTGCTGCGTCCGTCCAGACCCATCGCCTCCACGAGCACGCGGTAAACCGCGCCGGGCCGCAGCCCCAACAGCGTGGCTGCCTCCGCTCCCCCGGGCAGTGTTAGCTAACCGTACGGAAACAGACGAGAGATCACAAACACATAGATGCCCCACGTAGCACCAATTGTTTTTTGGGGAAAGTGCAGTTAGCGAGCACCTATCAAGTCCATTGCGGCGCATGAGGGAATTATTTGTGGCTAGTATCTTGCCTGACCACTTAACCAATGTTGAAACATCGCACAATGTAGTAATTTAAGGCTGAGTCGACCCAAGGGAGGCAAATGACTGGTTTGTATATTTCACACAGCACTGATGTTAGCGGCGGCCGGAAATTTCATTCAGGAAACCAGATTTGTCGCACAGTCTGCAAACCATTACCGCTCACTCCTCCACACTCTTACATACAAGTCATCTCATGTCAAAGACAACAACAACCGCCATTCACCACTAAGTGGCGGTGATGTCACCACGACGCTTGTGCCAGGCCATATGCACCTTGAGGCCACGTGAAGTGTCGAACGCCCGCTGGCAGGAGATCACGGTACAGAACCAGGTGCCATGGGTCGACTGACTGAGATGACTGATGCACCACCTGTGCCCCTTACTGTGCCAACTTGCTGTGCTTTAGCCACCCGGCGCTCAGCTCGTTGTTGTGAGCGTCGCTCCTCCGCCCTCCGTTGTTGTTGGAGGGCGACTGCCTCCAACTGCCCAGTAGCGTCCTTCACGAGCCTCCTCCACAGAGGCCGATCTTGACACTGCTGGTACCAGTCATCGACAAGTCCACTCAGCTCCACGTCCTCCTGTACCACATCACTCCATCTCTTCTCTAGCCCGTGCCTCGCCCATTTAGCCCCCTCAATCCGGCTGAACAAAAGCTGCTTAGGCTTGCGGTGGCTGGGCATGCGGGCTACATGAACCAGCCAACGCAGCCTTGCCTGCTGGAGGAGCTCACCGATGGGACTTTGCCTAGATCTTTCAAGGATTTGTGAGCTCCTCACACAATCCAGCCTGGTTAAACCCAGGATGGATCGTAGGCAGGCCAGCCTAAATGTTTCTAACCGGCGAAGATGCTCCATTAGGGGGGTCCATGTTTCGCAAGCATAGAGAAGGGAAGGAATGACCGTGGCCAAGAAGACCTGAAGTTTGGTGTGGAGCGACAGACCAGGTAGCTTCCACACAGCATTACGCAACCGATGAAAAGATATGACTACTCGACTGATTGGGAGTGAGACCTCTGCTGTTAAACCGGAGCCGGTTATGAGCACACTGCCCAGGTATGGGAAACTCTGCACTCTCTCCACAACTGCCTCATCATCGATTGGGAGTTGTGGGGGTGGAGTGTTCGATGGTACAAAATACCCAGGCAGGTGCTTAGTTTTGGTGGGGCTGATGGTAAGGCCCCACTTCTTAGTGGCGCGCTCCAGTTTCAGCAGCAGCGCCTCCAACTCCTCCTCTGAGTGAGCCGCAATTACCAGGTCATCGGCATACATAATGTGGTTGACCAATAGGGAGCCATCCCTATTGGTCAACCACATTATTATATCTGTACAAAATGGAAATTCCCCTGGTACAGCTATCAAAGGCTTCACGAACTATGTGGTCAAAATAGATGTTAAATAATGTGGGAGCCAGAGGACATCCCTGTCGCACCCTCAGGTGTACAGGGAATGGCTCTGACTCCCGGCCACGTAGTTTTATCTGGGCCCGCTCACCATCATGAAGGTCCTTAATGATCGTGAGCAGAGGGTCAGGGACTCCGAAAGAACGAAGAACAACCCAATGCCTAGCCCTACTGATGGTATCATAGGCCTTGACCAGGTAAATAAAGCAGAGATGTAGGTCTTGTTGGAATTCCCTAAACCTCTGCTGTAGCAGACGGACAGAAAATATGGCATCTGTGCAGGACCGCCCTTTCCTGAAACTGCATTGTGGCTCCGCAAGTCTTTCCTTGCCAGGATGTTTCCCAGCACATTGAGGAGGGAAATGCCCCTGGAGTTGCTACAGTCTGTGTGGTCCCCCTTCTTAAAAAGCCGGACCATCAGGGCATCCTTCCAATCCTGCAGAACTCATCCAGTGGTCCAGACTATTATTATGATGTCATGTAGAGCAGTCTGCGCACGAATGCTACCCTCCCTTAGCATTTTGCTTGGGAAATCATTTCTGCTCGGTGCTTTTCCTGGTCTCAGACTCTGGATTGCCTTCTGTACTTCTTCAACAGGTGGCACCTCAGCCAGCCACTCCCAGGGGGTGACGACTTCTTCCAATACTGAGGCACCGCAGCCTCAGCAGGGTCATCCCCAGTTTGCCCCATGTTTTCTAGGCTGAGGGATTTCCCCTCCCTCAAGACCTCACAGAAATGCTCAGCCAATCTGTAAACCTGTTCCTGGGTGTCGGAGATTGGATCACCGTTTTTTACCCTAGTGACGGTGATAGGTGTGGTGCTGCAAGTAACTTTTTTATGGAGCTAAAGAGTGAATTGTGATCGCAGGTTACTAAGGATGACTCCATCTCCTCAGCAACCCGCGACCACCAGCCATCCTTTCAGTGCCTCACAGCTCTCCAAACCTCCAAGCGAAGGCTACGGTAAGCCTCCTCATTCTCTGATGTGGGATGATGTAGACGGTGAGAGTGACCATGTCGCTTTGTCTCAGCAAGCCTGAACACTTCCTGTCAGCCAAAATCTCTGGGGAGGTCTGGCCCGTATACCCAACGCAGCTATTGCAGCTGCACGAGCCACAGTCCTAAACCTCGCCTATTTCATCTCGGCATCAGGAGAGGGCGGACGATTCCAACCGCAGCTGCTTGAAACTTTCATCAGCTAGCTGAGACCAGGCCACTGTGGGTTTGAATGGTGTCCTGGGTGTACACCCACCCACCGGAGTGGAAGAATGGCAGGCGCATTTTACAGGTGACAAGCCGATGGCCAGTGGGCAGATCAGCTCCACGGTAGGTCCTGGTGTCAAGGACATGGGCCCGCATCCGCTGTACCGTCACTATGTAGTCCAGCAGATTTTCTTGCTTGGACCCGGCGTGCATCCATTATGTTGTGTGGATGCGCCGATGCTGGAACAGCGTTTTGATAATTACAAGCCCATGGGCTTCACAAAAGTCTAGCAGCCTACTACCATTGTTATTGAGCTGATCTGGCCCATGTCTTCCAATCACTCCAGACCAGGTGCCAGCATCACGACCAACTTGGGTATTAAAGTCACCCAACAGCATGACTATCCTGAGGGGCCACTTTAGCTAGCGCCTGTGACAAGAGATCATAGATCACATCTGACTCATCGGCCTTGCCTACCTACATTCCTCCACTGATGTTCATCTTCAGTGGAGGCATAAATAACCACGACCACCACTCCTCACCTCTGGTTGATGGGAAGACGATCCCAAAGTAGCCTGGAGCTTACAGCTTCCTACACTTTACCGCCACGCTCCCACGTCCCCTTCATTATTTTGTTCAGAAGAGCCACTTTTTGTTATTTGGCAGTCTCCTGCCCCGAGAAGAGGACTGTTCCTCCCTCATTGTGGCAGAAACCAGAGCCGGTCCACCGGACCTCCTGAATACCACAGAGATCCAGGCGGTACTTGTCCAGCTCCTGACAGAGGAGTGTCAGCCTCTCCTCCACAGTTAGTGTTCGAACATTTCACTTGGCAACCCGCAGTGGCTTTTTGTGGTTTCTGGAGGAACCCCGAGGGTAAGGACTCAGTCTCCTGGATTCAACCAAAATGGGGTTTGGCCAGGAGACGTCAAAGACGCCTGTCCCCTCGGGGCCTCCGACACAAGCTTAGTTGGATATTTTTCACGTAGTTTTGTGGTAAATAAATTGAAGGTGGGGGGGTTACCAGCCCCTCGCACCCATCCAGAACCCCCATGCACACACACATTAGTGCACCAGGTACTCATTGCATAAATCAAATGGTGGAAGAATGCTAAAGTTACTGAGTTCACATCAGAAGCAATTGTTCAACTGATGATAATGTGTTTTTAAAAAGAAGGCATTTTGTTATAGCATTGACTATTAAACAAACATTTATGAAAAACATATTTATGATTATGGAGGCACATTCTCTCTGCCTTAGCTCTCTTTGAATCAGAACAGAAGCATGTGGCGATCATATTCTAACAGATTATTCACATTACTGGCAGTCGCTCGCATCTAGTTCATTGGCAGTGAATGACGAATGGATTCAGCGGAACCAAATTTAGTGGTTTCACAGTCATGCACGTCCTCCCAATGGCACTGCCACCACCCGCCCGTCTGTCCGTCTGCACCTTCACCACGGGGCTGCTGTCGCCGATGGGCAGGCAGGTCACGTGATGCTCTGTGCTGCCCCCACTGGGTCTCCACGTGACCGTCGTGTGAAGCTGCCCCGGGGCCGCTCCCACGTGATCACCGCGTCCATCTCGCAGGATGGTCGGGGAGGCAGCTCCCAAAAACTCTGCCACAACAACGACAACAACAACATGACAACGACAAGTGGTGCTGTATTATACACCGTCCCTTTGAAAGCCCCCTTCCCAAGTCGTATGTATGTTGAGCTTCTTTTGCACCGTACACAGCCAACCGTGCTAATCGGAGGTGCAGGGGCAGGACAACAAACACAACACAAAATATATCACCTTTTTGATTGTGTGGCATCGGAAGTAAACCGCGCCGGTTTATTACAAGTCAATGAAATGTACTGCAGAGCACGGAAATTATTTGCTTGGTGGGCTTTTATACAATTTTATTCATCACTATCATCAGTTATGTTCTATCCCCCATTGCTTGAAGCCCTCCTCACACCATTACCATCTCTCACCCCCGGTCTTGCGATGTTATAATCTATGTCACTCCTGCTAACCACCTGATCTCGATTACTCCATCTCCACAGTTGTCGTATAAAGTCGCACTCAACACACAGTGTTTTCCAAAAATTAACCATAATACCTTGCTGATTTCGTCAAGGAGCATAAACCATCACGTAAACTCTTGTCATCCTTGAAGTAGCTTTTGGCTAACCACTCAACAAAGACGGTCACTGCATCGCGTGCTTTCAGATGCGCTTTTGCGGCCTTCTGGAACGCTCTTCCGATATTATGAAGCTGCTGGAGCTATGCACTTTTAAGTCATCTAGATTGAAAACTAATTTCTTTAGAATTGCTTTTTATGTTTAGTTAGTTGTCCTTCCCCCGCACCTCCAATTTGCATGGTTGACTACGTACCGTGTGAAAGAAGTTCAACTTACATGCATATACGTCTCAGCCATTTTTTCTCCTTAGGCCGCCATTCCGTCACCAGTCTCATCTATTGGCTATCATCCCTTCCAGCGGTCTGTCCTGGCCAAGCCAACTTGTGTCTATTAACAGTCAATGATATCTCTAATTTTTACTTGCAATCCACGATCTTGCAATCCCTTATCTGTGTGTTCGTCTTCTTGTCTCTCAGTGTAATTCAACACATGCATCTCTCCATGCTTATTTGCACAATTTTTCAGCTTTTGTTCCATTATCTTCGTCAGTTTTCATTTTCATATTTCTGATCCATATTTCATTTGGGGCCATGTGCACAAATTGAAAATGCTCTAAACAAACATTTGTATTTTGATTTCCAAAATCAAATGTAGGTTCCAAAATCACTACACGCTGCTATTGTTCACTACTTTATTTAGTAATTTTAATCCTGGCCCACCTTCAATAATTCTGTTGCATTTTCCAGGTGTGTCTCTCCAACAATTATTGCTTTTTGTAGTTTATTGCATGTGACTTTGTAATGATAATTTGTATCACTTCACGTAAATTTTATTGGTAATGATGACTGTGCCTTCATAAAATCTAATATCAGAATAAGAATCTTTATTTATCCTGGAAAAACCCGATGAGCTATGAAGCTCTTTTTCACAGATGTCCAGCAGGGGTGGGTCATAAAGGTAATATGGTTCTACATTTTTGTTCATGCTTTTATTTCTCCAATCCACTTTTTTATATCTTCAAATATTGCTGTGAATCACCTTAGAGCATATATTTCCTTGACGGATTCCTCTTCTGATTTGTAGTTTATTTTTGATTTACATTGATTTATATGAATGTGGTGAGTAGTTGGGTGACTGCCACATTCCCCAATACAACTTTGAATCAACAAAAGTATGTATTTTTAAACACGAGGCAGTGCGCTCCAAAATGTTAATTCAATATAAAATATTTACAACACCAACATGAATAAGCATTGGAAAGTATCATAACATGTTTTCCACAGAGAGAGAGAACAGATGAACGGAAGCAAGTCCAGTTCTCTTCAGCATCCAGTGAATTCCGAGCCAGACCGAGCCAAAGTGGTGTGACGGAGCTGAGGAACGACGCTGTGGAGATGGAGCCTTACTTGTTGTCACGGTGATGGAGGTTGGCTGGCTTCGGGAGCCTTCTCTCATCGCATAGATGCTGATGCTGTATGTGACGCCAGGGGACAGACCTGATGGAAAATAACAACCATTCTCAATATTCAAGGAATAGGCAAATTCTACTGGTGGATTCTGGCAGTAAAAAGCAGCATGTGGTCTTGCGGCCAGATTTTCAAAGCGAATATTGGCTGCCTTGCCGCTGATACATTTTAGGAGCTGAGGGCAGTCACGGTGAACGGTGCGAAATATAAATGTTATACACATTTATACTGTACGCGATATAACCCAAAAAACCTTTATTATGGATAATATTGGTCGCGAAAGCCCATGTGCTAAACAGTGCAATGGGAGTTTGGAAAATACCAGGCAAAATTAATCCAATTTGGAAGGAGAATTTGCAGAGTGAAAATATTATCGTGTATATTATATGTAAACATTTATAGAATTTTTTATGAATAAAAGAAAATGGAATTGTATGTTTTATCATGTGGTAGAATGTGTATGAGCTCTGTCAGGTGAAATATTAAAAGTGATATGTTAATTAACAATGTTTCCATTTCAATTCAGATATCTTCAATTGAAATCCATATAATTGCATTTTTTATTTGCCTAGTATAATGCTATGTTATATTTTTAGCGCAACAACCATACATATAACTGTAGGGTTATGATCATTTACATAATAAGAGCACAACTCATACAATAGAACATTAACGACTGCTTGAATATATCTCTATTAATGTGAATGCTTTCATAGCAGATAGAAGTTATTTGAGGGTGCTTTAATATAACTCTACTAGTTGAATACATTTCTATCAAAGCGAACAGCGGTTGCCGTAATAGGAGGTAAATGGTGGTCAGGGTAACACACGTGAAATTGAGCACCCTAACAGCATGGCCTTATCAACAGGCGCCGCACACGTCTACGTGTGCAAGGGCATGTGAGTGGGTATGCATGTTGAACTTCTTTCGCGCCATACGTAGCCAACCATGCTAATCAGAGGTGCAGCACACCATTGAATGTGTGTGTTTACATGTGGGTGTAGAGCTATGTTACGAATCCAGCAACACGAGTTTGATTCCCACTGACGGCCAACACCAGTGACAATTATCTGAACCTATCCTGGGCCTCCCCTAGGTTGACTCAGCCTCAAACGAGTACCGAGTGTGATGTGAAAACATCGCCACTTGGGAGACAAAGGCGGCCAGGTGTGGTGCTGGCCATCCACCCCCTCACGTGCCGTGCCGGCCTTCATAGGTGCTCGCTAACAGCACTTGCCCCAACCGTCTGTTAAGGCTATACGGGGAATTATTTGCCTTCGTGCTTGCATGAGTGAGCAAGCGAGAGAGCACACCGGTGATTGTGCAGGCACGGAGCAGGGGGCTGAGGAAGTCGTTCGGCTGAGCGGCCCTCGTCGGAGAGCGGCGTGGCGATGAGTAGGAATGCGGAGAGACGCACGGCACGCGAGCGCCATGCCACCAGCACGGTGGAACCCGTCACACTCACGGCTCGCAGCCTGCCCGGCGCGTACAGACCTGCATCAGCAGCAAGAGCACAATCATCATCAGCAGAATCACCGTCATCAGCAGCGGGAGCATCAAGAGCAACATCATCATCAGACCATCAGCAGTAGCAGCATCAACATAATAATCAGCAGCAGCGCTAACACGTACTCGGAACTACAGTATTCCCTTGTTATTCATGAGGCATACGTTCCGGGGATGCTCGTAAATAGCAAATTTCGCGGATAATGATATTGGCCTACGAATAACGTATGCACAACCACTGCAGATGCTTCTAAAGCTTTGAGAAGCTCTCTCTCATCTCTTTATTGAATTATTTTCTCTCTCATTACTTCATCTAATCGCTTTATCTCTCAACATTTTATCTCACTTGATTAATTTCTCTCTCTTGATGTAGTCATGTAGAGTTTCATATGTGATTCACGGTTAGCCAAAATTGCAGGTAACAAGTTTGTGAATAATGAGGGAATACTGGACATGAACAAAGCTGCTCATATCCAATGGATGGACTATGAATGTCTCATGAAATGTAACTATTGAAGCTTACAATTGCAGTCTATTGTGTTTTTATTAACTCCACTACACTCAAAGATGCTATTTTATATATATTTTTCTAAATGTGCGTTGAACATTGGATATGTGTGTGTGAAAAATAGCTGCAAGTTGAATTCATATTATGATGGAAAAACACATCCAACAAGATTATGTTTCAGTGACTTACCGACGCATGTTTAGAATGAATAGTTTTAATTGTCAAAAAAAACATTTTGAAGTCACCAAAATAAATAAAATAAAATCAGAATCTGTTACAACGCCATTATTAATTGTGAGTGCAGAGACTGCCAATAACACCCCGTGATTCTGACAGTCGTTACCAACCCGGCAACGCACTCCAATAAGCCTGCCTCGACAATAGACACTTCTTCTTCTTGGTTCTTTCGGTAAAGTCACGTAGAAGGGAAGTAATAAAATAATAAAAATAAAACATAATAAAACAATTCTCACGACGTTTCGGCCACAACGCAAGCAGCCGTCCTCAGGCGAAGAATGAAGCACCACCAAGCTTGGAGCGTATATTTAAGCTGGGTTAGAGAGGGGGGAGGTGGGAAGAAGAGCGCCTAAACAAAATAATTTGCATATCAAGAGGAATTCAGCATATGGAAAATGCGTAGGAGGTGGGCGGGGGGGGTTCCAAATCAATACTATGCCCGTGCATTATGCAGGATTAGCAGCATCAAAGGGGGGGGGGGGTGAGGGGGTAGCATTAACAAAGGAAAGGAATGTTAATAGTATGTAGCTGCAGTTGCTAAACAACCACGTAAAAAACTAAAGTATAAACTGCATAACAAACTAAAGTATAAACTACATAGCATCATCAGTATACTTACTATACTCTACAATAAGTTGAGTTACGGTACCAGATCACGGATTTTAATCCGTGATCTGGTACCGTCTGTAAAAGATGTGGTTCCAGACATACAGTACCCTGGTGTCTACAAACTAAGTTGCCTCTGTGGTAGCAGTTACATTGGGGAAACCAAACGACATGTCTCGGACCGCATCCGTGAACATAAAGCTGACCTGAAACACGGTAGGACAAACACCTCAGCCGTGGCAGATCACTGTTACAACTCAGTGGGCTCACATGACATTGACTTCTCCAAGACAGAGGTTCTCTGCAAGCCATCTGGCTATCATGAGAGATTCGTTCATGAGGCAATCCACATATACAAACACAGAGACAATTTTAACCGAGAAGATGGATTCTGGCTTAGCAATCACTGGAAGGACGTAATAAACCATTTTGATACACATTAGGGTGGGTAGAATAATACATAGTGTTATATTAAAATGTATAAGGTATAGGGTGGTTTATAGCAATACAGTATGTAATTTAATGTTGGGTTTGCCTATGGCAGTATATAGTACGGTATAGACGCGTGTGATGTAAGAGAATAAAGTTTAGATGGAAGCATATTATATAATTTTTTACAACGTAGAAATTTGTTTTATGTATTACTTACTGTTAGTAACTCAACTTATTGTAGAGTATAGTAAGTATACTGATGATGCTATGTAGTTTATACTTTAGTTTGTTATGCAGTTTATACTTTCGTTTTTTACGTGGTTGTTTAGCAACTGCAGCTACATACTATTAACATTCCTTTCCTTTGTTAATGCTACCCCCTCACCCCCCCCCCCCCTTTGATGCTGCTAATCCTGCATAATGCACGGGCATAGTATTGATTTGGAACCCCCCCCCCGCCCACCTCCTACGCATTTTCCATATGCTGAATTCCTCTTGATATGCAAATTATTTTGTTTAGGCGCTCTTCTTCCCACCTCCCCCCCTCTAACCCAGCTTAAATATACGCTCCAAGCTTGGTGGTGCTTCATTCTTCGCCTGAGGACGGCTGCTTGCGTTGTGGCCGAAACGTCGTGAGAATTGTTTTATTATGTTTTATTTTTATTATTTTATTACTTCCCTTCTACGTGACTTTACCGAAAGAACCAAGAAGATGAATCCCTGCAGTCACGAAAGCTTTAAATCGAAAAATAGACACTTCTGTTCAGCAAGGCCTTGAGTTATATATAGATTAAGCTGGACCCTTCCAATACGCTTTCCACTCACAAATGTCACTACAAATCGCACCCTCCTTCTGCCACATTCCTTCAGGGGGAACGTAATGGGCAGAGGTAAAGCTGCAGCCCTGCAATTTCTTGCTCATGCCACTGCTGTTGGAAGGGCCTCCACTACTGTGGAGTTCTAGAGAGCCTTTCTACAGGGATACGTTTGCCTTCACGTTGGCCAAACGTTATGGAAGAGGTGGGAATACCCACAATTTACCTCATCACACGTGACCTGCCGATCGACTACCCGTCAAGTATAAACACAACATACATACACACACACTGCTGAGTGGACAGAAGCAGGGATATTTAATAAATGTGCCCATCGTTGCAAGGGAAAGAGCTGGCTTTAAACCACAGAGTGAGTGTTTTTGTTTAGCGTGCCAAGTCCGTGCTGGCAACAAAAGTCCACACTGAATCGGACCTCATAGGCCATGATAATTAATCTTAACATCGTGTGCCGAGGCCTGGGGCCCAAATCGCGTCCAGAAGCAGGGGTCACTCGGCCCTGCCTCTGCAAAGGAAACATTCTGGGAAAGGTTTGGAGAATGCAATCTTAAATTTATAAGTCATGAGGCCCCCTCGGCAGCGAACGCCAAAAAGTGTCCGGGTGTCTCGGAGGTCAGCGTGCCGAGCAGGCACCGCTGATATCCTGGGTTTGAATTCAGGCAGCTGCCTGTGGTTATAACTGTGCTCACGAGTATAGTGAGTTGATAATATCAGCCTAGTCACCAATGACTGCAGAAAAATATATATAAAATGTGCCTATTCACTGAATTGGGCTAATTACAGCTATGAGAATAAACATTATTGGTTTGACTGTCACGTGACAGGCATTACACTCTTCTGCAAGGTGGATTTGCCCCTACTGTGTGAACCAGAGGTCACTTGGATATAATCTCAGGGGTTTTGTCATTTTCACTTCCTCGTATTGTTCTCCAACATGAATGGCTGCACTTCTCTGTAAGAGACTCTTGACATCACACTGATAGCATAATCGTGATAAAATTGGAGAAAAAGACAAAACACAAATCTAATTTCTTCCACTCAGTGCTTACTTGCTTGTGTTTTCTGGAATGCCTGCAGTGACTTGCTGGCCAGGTAGTTCTTCAAGGCATACACGGACACCTCGTACTCGGTCTGAGCCTGGGGAAGGATGTTAGAATTGTTACTCAAAAGCTGCTGTTGCTGCGAGAGCAGGCAAGTCACACTAAGTGTCTGCCTTTCATGTGGATCGTTAGCAACCATCATCATCTCCAACGCAATGTGCAACTCACCAGTTATAACATACATCTAAACATGCTACTTCCAAAACACAGTTAAAGATGAATCTGCTTTGAACCAGTGGTATTACATAATCTTTATTTGGAAGAAAGTCAAAACCAAAGCTCCTTGGCTGGTGCTCATTTCCATTGGCGGATCCAAGCCAGGAGTTAATATTCCATATTCCTATGATGGGGGCCAGTTTATCCATAGGGACACCAATGTTGACTTCCTAATAAATAGGTACTCATTTTATAATTGCCAGAGGAATGATGGGTGACACAATAGAAACTAAAAGGTAAAGTACAATGAGGAAATGACCTGCATGAATGTGATAAGTTAACTGTGCCCTCCTCTGCCATCACATATACCTGGGTTAATGGGATTGGCACGAATCTGTAAGAGTTGTAAATACTGAAACCTTTCCATGGCCATTTCCACGAAGGCAGCGTGTACCCAGTCCAAAGAAGTTACATTTATATTTTATTCCCTTCAGATAATAAAAAGTGCAGCTTTCCAGTCAACTGGGATCCATCTATACTTCATGTGCATTTAATAAAAGTCCGTCAACTGGTATTGTGTTCACTTTTGATCAGAACACAAAAATATGGTATACAGTGTGTTTTCATATCCATCAAGTTGATGAAAATGGGCCTGAGTTCATGCTTCATGCTTACGTTTAAATAGTCTATGCATTTCTGATAGGTCCGGCATTCCAAAAAAAAGCAGCTTCTGTTCGATGTTTTTCTACAGGAGAAAGTGGAAATTTTGGAAACGTGTATGCCAGCCCTCGCTGCAAGGGCTACAAAAAAGGTCGTGTGGGGTTGCGAATACTGGCAGGTTGGTAGAGTGCTATGGCTCGCTGCGCTCACAGGCCACGGGCGATGGCGGGGGCAGTGCCTCTAGAACGACGCGTAGTCCCGGGCAAATCAACGCTAAAATGCTGTGATTGAAGCTGCACACCAGCACGCCCTCTTACGAGGACACGCGTGTGTTTGTAATCAAGCGGTGGAATGTGCCGTGTTGGTTGTGTGATGGAAAGTGTTTTGCTTTCAAAAGTCATTGCTGCCACTTCTGACCTAGATAGCAACTCTTTGATGTCTACAGAATATTGTTTGGCACGATCCTTCAGGAACTGAATATTGCAGTTCCAAAAACACATGGAATGTAACGTCAGACATGTCGCACAACATACGGTAACAACTCCAATATACATCGAAACTGTATTCTAACTTGTACAAGATGACAGAAGCCCAATGTTGAGCTTTCTGGAGTATTTGGGTTAGCTTTGTTAGAAGGCGCATATTAAGGCGACTATGGTGCATGAGGGGTGGTGTCTCCAGCACTACGTATGGCCACCATTGTCTATCCAGTCTTGATGTTTGTACATTGCTCCAGGTATTCATTTATGGAAGGACAAGGACTGGGTCATATATCACTTGCCACTGATGTTAACCATGGCCGGGAATCAAACTCAGGTCAGTGGGTTTGTTTCCACAGTACAGGAACCACTATGCCACTGCTCCCTAGTGACACACACACACACAGAACCATGATAATAAGAATCAAATCACACTCACTGCACTACAAGACGTATGACCAGGGCTTCATTGTAGCCGAGTTTGTTTGGGTCAGCGAGCCAGAAAATATTTCTGCACCCGGCACACTATATCGAGCATACCTCTCCATGGGTGTGGCTATTAGTCGTGTGCCACCGCCCCAAAATGTGTTCTTAGAGAACGACCTGGAAAACATCCAGTGAGAAATTAAGCCCTGCTTAAGGCATCCCCGATGTCTGCGATGAGAAGTGCCCTGCCAGGCATGGCCTCACCAGGAGCCCATTGATGATGGTGGTGGTGACTTTGGGGCTCTGGCTCCTCTCCAGCGTGGGGCCTTTGCGGTCGCGCGGCATAAGCACCACGCGGAATCCCGTGAGCTCCACACCAACAGGCGCCGCCCACGACACCGTGAGGCCGGACGCCGTCACAAAGTGGAACTGCAGGTCCGTGGGTGCGGGGATCGCTGGGGACACGATGCAGGTGGAGAGACTGAACAGAGTGCGCTCGTCTCCAAGGCAAACACGTTAAACACAACGAGGTGTGGCCCTGTGAGTCGCCTAGAAGTCCCACAAACTATTCGAACGCTCATGTTACAGCCGCGTAGTCAAGACACCTGGCCGGTGGCTCAAAGCCTTGAAATGGACATGTTCATGCACATAGCCAATACCTGCCTGACAGTGGTCCAATCTGAGCAGCCGCCCCGAATTCAATTAATAAACTTAATTTACAACATGGCAACAGACTAAAGTGAAAAGAGCTTAGTGGGCTCAGCCTTGTCACAAATTATTGCATGGAAAATAAATGTAATATCTGATTTCATACTCAAGTAAATCTAGCCAAGTTCATGTATAATGCATATGTACCAGTGTGGTTGTGTTACTAATAAATGGTGCATATATTCGCACTACTTAAACCTTGTGAATGTTGCTGGGTCGCGGTTGGCTAGGATAAATGAGTGGTACATTAGGCTACACCAGGGGTCGGCAACCAAAATAACAAGAAGAGCCATTTCTTTCCAATTCGGTACAAAATTCAGTATTTCAAGAGCCGCAATGCATCTGAGTACATACGTACTCATCGACAAGAAGCAGCCCGTAAAGAGCCGCATGCGGCTCCGGAGCCGTAGGTTGCCGACCCCTGGGCTACACCCTTCGTCAAATACAGGTTCGGCAGGCACGCGATTCAATTGCCAGAGTCACATGACCACTGGACAAGATATATTCCCTAAGAAATTAGAAAATAGGGAGACCTGTGTCAGGGGGCCAATCGTGACGCCAGTACGTTGATATTACAGATCCGTTGGTGTACCGGTGTGTTGGGAGCCAGACGAATAAACAGATGCCATTTTGGACCCTGGTCGACCTCTCAGAAAGTCCTTGTGGCGCACGTGGCCGGTGTTGGGAGCAATAGCGAGTCGTGTCACAGTTGACAAAGAGGATCATGCAGCAGAACCAAGGAAAACGATGCAGAGTGCTTATTGATGACCACCCTATGTCCTCGATAACGATCATGGTCAGTAAAGATCAAGGTACAGTGGGCACGGGTCACACATACTACACCAGTGTCTTGCGATACTCCTCTTTTTACAGAGCATGAAGGGGACATCGTTTATTGTTGAACAAGGCCACTGAAGAAGAGACACGCAGTGAAGTCACCAGGTTTAGCGACACCATCTTCTGGAACATTCCCTCACGCGATGTGAGGCTCCATTGACTGAAGAAACTCCATAAATATGTTTCTTTGCCTCAAACTATGCCCCCAATAATAGCACAAATGGGACGCATTTCGGATGGGATGAATATAGGATGGGTGGAATATAGGTTTGGGTAAGTGTGCAATACAATGAAAACAACAATATAAAAACAAATCCCACAAAAATTAATCTGAAGAGGAAGGTACCTGTGACTTGGCAGCCGGTGAGGGGAATACTCTCGTCTTGGCCGTACGTGGCGTAGACACGCACGGTATACTCCAGGCCGGGCGTTAGCCCTGTGATGTTCGCCTCCTCCACGTCGCCGCTGAAGAGGATGAGGGCGACCCCTTCGGGCACCGCGACGACCTCTGACCCGAGCTCCATTTCCCCTTGCTTCAGGGACGACACCGGCACCACCGAGCGTTCGCCCAGAGCGGCGAGGATGCCGATCTCGTTGTATGGACCGCGGGAGCTGGGCGGCCACGCGCGGTCCACGTCGGGCGGCAGAGTGGACGAGGGGCCAACGCGCACTCGGGGCGCGTGCGGGAATTCCCGCGTGCCTTCGTTGGAACTCTCGTAGGTGATGCGGTAGCTTGAGACGCGGCCCTCTGGAGGCTCCCACTGCACCAGCACCCAGGTCTCCGCCACTTGCAGGAACTCAAGCCCCCGGGGGCTGTCCACTTCTGGTAGGGGGGCATAGCAAGGTGGGGTGGGGGGGGGCACGTGTCTCTGCGGATTCGTTCTGATCAACCTCGCAGCTGTTTGCACTTTGACGCCGATGTCTTTGGCCGTGGCTCTGCGCTGTAAGCATTGTGATGTTCAAGGCATGAGCTGACAGCTTCTGAATATAGGAGTGGATAACGTTGGCAATACTAAAAAAAAATTGCCAAAATACGCAAAATAATACCTTGCTTGAAAAAGAGTAAATAATTAACGATATGCATAGTTGTTCGTTAGATTAAAGGCCTCCCCACTCAACGTCATTCATGGGGGTTGTTTAACCATACTTTACTAGATTGGTCAATAAAGGCTAGTGAAGAGAGACCCCTGGACCAGTTCAGATATGATGAGCCACTTATGTCACCCATGGCAGGGAATTGAACGTGGGTAACGGGTTCATAGTGCATTCACTGTGTCACTGCTCCACCCCCAAAAAAACTAAAAGTCTCAATTTGGCTGGATAAAACAATCAAATGATATAACAATTTCTGATAATAAATGTTAAACGAGGCAGACTTACTGGTGGTGAACGTGAGTGTAGTGGGCTCGCTGTCCTGGTTGTGTCTCCTGGCACAGACACTTATGACATACTCCATGGTGGGCACGAGCTTCGTGATCGTCACGTCGGTCTCGCCTGGAGGAATGGCAAACGTCGAGGGCAGGACCCATCGGAGGACAATTTTGCTCACGCACAGAATCGAGTCAGCAACTGGAGACAAACAAATCATTTTACAAAAACTACTTTTAAGAGAAGAAAATAACCCCAAGGCACTGAGACAATAAATAAGCGCACCACATGGGAATCGCTTTATACTGTAGATCTCAAGTAAAGTAAACAGCAGTTACTTTGACAAACGTCAGCGGGAGTGAACAGTAAGCAATGCAGCAGCTTTTTATTTATTGCCGTGTTTTTATTGATGTAAGTGGAGTAATTGCCATTTATTTTGAGCGAATGCCTAGTGCGGCGAGCACCATCCACTTCTCCACACGCGCGGATGCATTCCCACCACCGAGATGGGGTGGTGGGGGTTTCTCACCACGGGAGAGGTCCATGGAAATGGGTTCCCCGACTCCGTGCTGCTGCTCGATGGAGCTCACAGCTCCATCATTCCCAGCCGGGTGCGTTGTCGGGGTGCACGTGAGAAGGTAGCCTAAGATGGGGGCGCGGCATGGGTTCCAGCGCACGCGGATGCTGGACTCGGTTAGATCCAGTATCTGCATGTCCGATGGTTGGTCCACACCTGGGCAGACATGGGCAGTGAGCATGGGTCGCGGACACCCCTAAGACACTGGTCTTACGTACACAAATAAACACAAAGATCACCCTAAATGCTTTAATAGACTGTTGGGGAAAGTGCTGTTAGCGAAAGCCAGAAAGGTAAACGACGGGGTGTGTGACCAGCACCTTGCCCGACTGCCTTTGTCTCCCAAAAGGCTCTGACATACTGATAAATACACACACACGCATACACCTGCAGAATTACACACGCAGTGATGGAGGAGGCAGCTACCAAGGTAGTGGACGATGGAGACGGGCTGGGAGGACAGCATAGGCCCCCCATGCTGCTGCTGCCCATAGGTGGCGCGGATGCTCACGTTGTACTCCTGCGCCGTGGCCAGGCCCTGCAGCGTTGCTCTGCTGCTGGAGCCCGGAACGAGCAGCTCCCGCACCTCCTCTCTGCCACCTGGCGGAGAGGACCACAGCCGACGAGGCGGCGGGGAGAGGGATGAAGGAGACGAAAGGGATGAGGGGGGCAAGAAGGATGGACATTTAACAACAGGTGACACTCCTGAGAATGACCCTGTGCCCACATAAGCACGGCACAAAAGTAGAACCCATGAGCATGAAAACCTGATTTTAAGTGCCACGTTTTATTACCCTGCTAATTATGAATACAGTACGGATTTTAACACCCAAGCAATATGATTGTCTATTAAGCCTAAATGAGGGGTGGAGGGGGCAAGTGCTGAGTGAGAGTCTGTTCAGGCTGGTACAGCACTCAAGGTGCCACACAAATTCAGATGCCTGCTTTATCTCCCCTGTCCTAATGATGATGAATAGACCACACCAACAACTTAATTAAAGCTGAGTTGACTCAGAGGAGGATTAAGCCACATTGAGATACCACTTTACCACTGGTGCTGTGCATGGCTAGGAATTTAATCCAAGTCGCTGGGATTGCAGTGTAGCGTGAGAACCATTAGAGTATCATTGCCTTGTTTCTCATGTATGTATGTATGTGTAGTGTCTTCAAAAATTACTCACACCGACATGTTGTAACAAGTCACCTGCTTACACTTTATTTCACCTGTTCTTGCGCCAGTTATAGGCACTCCTATAACTATCTGTACGGTCACATATACTTGAATTCTCCCCGCTCGTATCTATTCTGCACCTCACTTATCTTGCACTCAGCAACTCTGCTCTCAGCGACTCCGCACACAGCAGCCCCACACTCAGCGACTGCACACAGCAACTTCGCACTCAGCGACTCCGCACACAGCGACTTCGCACTCAGCAACTCTGCATCTCCACCGCTGCTCTCACCGACGCTCCCTCAGACCCGCTCACCCATCTGTCCCGGGCGGGGGGTTCAGCTAACACCCGCCCGGCGACTGCATGAGGTTTGAGGTCCCGCTGACGGCTGGAGTGGCAGCGGCGAGATGTCTTTACTCTTGGTTCCCGGGCAACAACCCCCCTCCGCTTACGCACACTCCCCTTATACATCCTCCCTCATTCCGAGTCCTCACGTCCTCATGTGGCTCTCTCTCAAGCTGGCGCCATTTGTCCCATTAATCCCTTATCATCACCCCCCATCTCCCATCTCTTTGACGCCAACCTCCGGTCACAGCGCACCCTCCTGTTTGACCACGGTTGCACCCGCTTCTCCGCTTAATTAATTGCGAGTTGTCGGTGCAAACCTCATTTTGCAACGCACGCACCTGTTCGTCCTCAGTTGCACCCGCTTAATAGCGCGCACCGCGTATATCTCTCCTCTACATATGTATGTTGAAACCTCTTTTGCACCATACATAGCCAACAGTGCTAATCACAAATGGCAACTCGCTTATACATATCCGCAGACGAACACTTGCTGTTCTCTGTTCAGCACTTAATGTGCATTGGAGTAGTGCTTCTTAACAGTCCTCTTGGCCACCCCAGGCCCACCTTTTCGTGACCACCAATCTCTTCGATTAAAAATATTAATTAAGACACTGCACACTGCATGCACCCAATGATTGGTAATCACAGAAATGTGGTGTGGAGGGGGGGGGTCACGTAGACTACAGTTACTAAACTAAACTTTTATTTTATCAGATAAGGTCTACTGAGCTATATAACTCTTTTTCAGAAGTGACCTAGCCATGAATAATTGGTCAAAGAAGTGGCTTATGTAGAAATTTATAGCACCCAAATACTCTAAAGACATTTTGATTTTAAATGTGGATTTAAAAAAACGGAGGACCCGGAGATAATCCATGCGACCACAGGGAAAACATGTAAACTCCAAATATACAGGCGTAAGTGTTCGGATCGAACCCACGATCTCCTGCATACCAGGCGAGGTAGTTAAAATTTCGCTACTGTGGCTCCCTGAGTTGAGAAACACCACATTTAGAGGGATCCAGATTTACACATTTCTGACACAGTGATAACTTTACAGGGCTGAGCCCGACTCTCATGTCTGTGACGCTGCCACAGCGCGAGCGCTACTCACTCAGAGGTGTGCACGTCACGGTGTAGTGGTCAACGGGGGCCGAGGGCTGGTACCAGGTCAGGGTGAGGCTGGAGGGCGACTCCCCGGCGACCTCCAGGCTTAACGGAGACACTGTGACGATAGCGCAGGGAGAACATTACAGGGCATCGTGTTCATAAGTCATTCAAAATATACCTATAACCTTAGCTTGATAGCGGTATAGGTGTATTTTTTATCATCATGTGTTTGGTGAAGTGTTTTCAGCCTGTGCATTGAAGAGTATGCGGTCACATTTAGACGCAATAGCAATCCTAATTATATAACATTGATTGTACTACATAGAGTAGTGACACACTCAAGAAAATGTAAGCAACAAGGTGTTTGGGTGGCTCAGAAGTCAGAGCTCTTAGATGGCACCATAAAGGTCTTGAGTTCCAATCTGGGTTTTGGCCCCTGTATTTACACCTGGCTCTCAGGTGTAGTAAGTCGATGGAATCAGCCCGCCCATCAATAGATGTTGTTGTTTTTTATCTTCATAGCATTATTCTAGTTCTTATTTTGAAATATTTTTTAATCAAGTCTATTGAAGGGATTTCACAAGATGTTAAGTGGCATAATTCAGGGAAGTTCGCCAACATAAAGTGGTGCACATCTCACAGAGCGATCTATGGGCATTCTTCCCTTCAAGACGCCGACAGAGCAACCGGAAATGCGCTCTGCGCTCCACAGGAGTGCACAAACACATTATGTCGCACTCATTACAAAGCTCTTGCCACAAATGAACCACAATACCTTTCTGATTTCGTCAAGAGGAATAAACCATCACGCCTACTCTCGTCATCCTCGCAGCAGCTTTTGGCTAGCCATCGAACAAAGATGGTCACCACATCGCACGCTTTCAGATGCGCGTCTGCGGCCGTCTGGAATGCTCTTCCTTCCGATATTAGTAAGACACTTGAGCAATGCACTTTTAAATCTAGATTGAAAATTAATTTCTTTAAAACTGCTTTTAATGTTTAGTTTATTGTCCTTCCTCCGCACCTCCAATTACCACGGTTGGTTACGTACGGTGCAAAAGAAGTTCAACATACATACAGCCCTAACGATTGCCGCCCGGCAGCGATGCGACTCACGTGTGGTGACACGTTTGACGACGGGGGTTCCCCGCTGGACGCCGTGGAGCAGGATGATGATGGTGAGCGTGTACTCCACACCGGGGGACAGCTCAGGCAGCAGCAGCTCCCCCGAATCGGAGCTCAGCTCGAGGGGGTCCGCGCTCCCCTCGCTTGGCACCAGCAGCACCTGTACAGTTCCATGACAAATTTGCATGCTCCGGATTATAATACGTTACAGTTTACAAAGCGCGGCATGGACAGGGGTGAGCAACCAATTAGACGGCGTGGGTTCTGTAAACGAATCTTGTTTGCTGCGGCGGTGAATTCTCATGTGTGTTGAACTTTTTTCGAAACGTACGTAGCCAACCGCGGAGGTGTGGAGGAAGGACAACAAACTAAAAACAAAGCAGTTCTAATCTCGTCAGAACGGATTATGACGTTTTAGTAAAATATACAAACGAAGCGCGCCATTCGTAAATTCAGGGCGTGTGACTGCCATGTGCCTGCGTATATGACTGTCGTGAGCTCGCATCTCAACAAAACAGACCCTTTGTTTATAACAGAAGACCTGGTTTAAACACAAGAATGAAAGCCATGCAGATAAAAATAGACAAAACTCCACCATTGATAACAATAAAAAAGGAATAAGAACACAATTATAGAAGTAAAAATGTCTGGCGGCCCTAAGACAGTGGTTGAAATTCCACATTTCAAATTGCTGGGAGCAGTCCCACTTGGAATGATAAAATAGTGGTCCTCATTTTATCATTCCCAGAGGGATGTTTGGCTATGTCGTCAACCCTTGACCGAGATTTGAACTCGCGGACTGCCGATAGTGATTCGAGTGCTCGAAGCACAGTGTCAGCCAGACAGATGATGGAGGTTTAACTGCGACATCACCTTGATAACCAGCCCAGGAAATGAGTTCCACGAGATTGTGATGGACGTCTCTGTCGTGTGAACCTTGAAGTCCGGGTCGTGTTTCACCTGCACCTCTGTGAAACAGGAAGAGGTCGAAAATTAAAACAACGAGGTGTACGAGGATGGCTGGCACACCTCCAACTCAAGTAGCTGCCCGCGAGTCCTGGGGCGTGCGTGCGGGCTTGCCTGGCATATTTGTGGTGAAGGTCGGAGGGACGCTGTTAAACCACTTGGCAAAGTCCTCGCCCAACGCTGCTTGATGTATTGAATCTGCCACAAGAAAGTTCTGATGTTGGTTTTACAAAACAACAATCGCCAATTATAACATGGGAATAACAGAAACTGGGTGTGGCGGTGCAACGCCCGTGACTCAGACACTTAGAGAGCCGATTGGCTTTGTGTGAGACAGCCACCAGCACGGCGAGTGAGGTGCTTACAAAACCGCAAACAGACTGGTAGCAAGTTTTAGTATTGTCCTCCTGTCCTTTTAGTTTTCTCCAGTTTCTTCTCACACACATACTTAAAATAGGAATTGGGTAACCTTTCTAAGCAGGACCCTCCTGAAAAAGGACTTTGAGGTTTTCCTGGGAAAATAAATAATCATAAATGTTACTGATTTCATGTTTTTTATTATATACTAGCTTTACTAGCCGGCTTCGCCCGGGACTTGGATTCTTGTCTTGGATTAATACATGGCCTACGTGGAGGGTTGGGGGGGGGGTGCGTGACGTCAGCAGGCACACTGTGTAACGTTACCGCATGCGAGTGACATCACAGATGTGACATCACAGATGTGATGTCACCGCTCACTTGTGCAATATATATCCATTATTGCGACCCCCCCCACCCCCAAATAGAAAAGTCTATTTTTATACTTTTTGCATTGTGTACAGTCTGAAAACTACCCGTATGCCAAATTTCAAGTGTATTGCATGTTGGAAAGTAAACATTTCGAACAGACACAAATATTAACAAATTTCCCTTTTATATCTTTAGCATTTGTTCTAATATGAAGACATCTCCAATGTAATTGCAAAAGTACATGTTATACTTTCTCACAAGAACAGGACACAGTCCATAGGCACATGAATGGACGACCTAATTCATTAAACACGACATCTGCAATTTCCCATGTGACACAGTTGTTTTTGTTTTGATTTCTATTCACTTCCTGGCTGTACTTTATTGCATTTGTTTAACTTTTGTCAATTTGATGATCCAGGTCACTCTTGCAATCGAGAAGAAACCCTGGTCTCCTCTTGAGTTCTCCACTGGTTGAACAAAACAACCTCTAAAACTCGAACCCACTACACGCATCGATTCACGTGCCACTCGCCCTCAAACGGCGACGTCACCGGCTGTGCTCGCGGACCCTGACCATGCCGCGGTGTGCCAGCGGAAGCTGCGCCGAGGTGGGCGATGTACTCGAGCCTGGCTCCCCTTCCTAGGAAACTGCACAACTCACGCCCAGGCGCCCACATCGCACGGACGAGCGCCCAGTGGTCTGCATGCCCGACGCAGCCGACACCACCGCTGCCGCCTGGCACCGCACGGCAACCCGGCGCCTTGGCGATGGCTCACGAGTTTTGACGCGCGTCTCGACGGGGGGTCCCCGCTGGACGCCGTGGAGCAGGACGACAATGGTGAGCGTGTACTCCACGCCTGGGGACAGGCCCGAAAGCAGTAGCTCCCCTGAGTCGGAGGTGAACTCCTTGTCCAACAGCCGCACCTAGACTCGGCAAAAGATTGAGGGACAACAAGGACGACCGTTGGCTCCGGTTACTGAGTCAGGTCTGCACGGCCATCCTCCGTGAGGCCGCGCTGGCACTGGATTTTCTTTTTCCAGGTATGGAGGTGCACACCTGTAACCTGGTGGGCTTAGCAAAGCATACAAAACACGCGGATGAGAATACGAAATTGAAGGTTACCACCTGCAGATGGCAGCACAACAAGTAGGTTTTCATTTATTTGTTTGAAATTTGAGCACGATCTGATTTTCTGTACGAGTTTTCTCTGTGCGCTCTGGTTTCCTCCCAAATGCAAAATTACTCAAAAAAATGGCAGACAAACATCCCAGGCAGAACCCTTCTTAAAAAAGAGTCTTGAGACTCAATGGGACATTCCTATAATATAAAATGGGCTACTGGCTTAAAAGTATTAAATTTAAAAAATAGCACAATGCACCCATTTTACATAACGAATAGCTACATATAGACACATCTCAGCCGGCGTTCGACACTTCACGTGGCATTAAAGTGCACATAGCCTGATACAAGCACCATGGTGATGTTACCGCCACTTTGTGGCGAATGGCGGTTGTTGTTGTGTGTAGGTGTGTGTGTGTGCATGCGTAGGTGTGTATGTGTGCATGTGTAGGTGTGTGCATGTGTAGGTGTGTGTGTGTACATGTGTAGGTGTGTGTGTGTGGCACAGTAGGGGGCACAGGTGGTGCATCAGCCAGTAAGTCGCACCGTGGCACCTGGGTCTGCCCCGTGACCTCCTGCCAGCAGGCGTTCGACACTTCACGTGGCCTCAAGGTGCACATGGCCTGGCACAAGCGTCGTGGTGACGTCACCGCCACTTAGTGGCGAATGGCGGTTGTTGTTGTGTGCATGTGTAGGTGTGTGCGTGTGTAGGTTCAGTATTTCTGATGCGGCGAGCGCCCACAGCGTGTGCTCTACCTTGATGCTCAGCCCCGGCACCGTTCTCCATCTGAAGACGATGCTCGACAACGTCGCTTCAATGTCAAACGTGACATTCAAGCTGGTCGCATCTGTGGGACGGGAGTAGAGGAGAGTTTCAGGTTTTCACACAGACTGTGTGTGTAATTTGTCTATCTGGCCAGGTTCTACTACGGCAGAGGACTCAAATCACGACTGTAAAGTTGCGAGTTAAAATTTTGTTTGGGAATACACGAGCCCATCATCCTTCTGCGGTCAATAAAATTGACACTGATTACCAAGAAGTCGGTGGTGCTTGTGCCAGAGTATAGAAAGATCGGCCCACACTGTGGAAAATTTGAATCGTTATCGTTGGCTCAGGGCTGCCAACAAAGAGGAGTGTAAACCACTGCTTTTCTCTGAGCCTGGTGACAGTTTCATTGATAAACGCAAGGACTGTAAGTGTGAATGTAGGATGGGACTTATAATCCCTGCATGTGCAGTTCTAGATTTCTCTGATATACTTTTTGCCTATTAATATACTCACATCTTGAACGAACTCTTGATTCACATCTTTTTCGAAACCATAAATAGTAATATCTCTAGAATAGTCATCAATAAAAAAAATTGGCAGCCCTTTGACAATCCACTGCTGGGCATTAAGGCCTTCCTATGTTCTCTCAGTCAAGGTATTTTTGCCATACTTCACGACCATGGCCAGTGTGGGTTGGTTGGATGGTTGGCTATGTATGGTGCAAAATAAGGTCTACATACATACATGGGGTACTTAGTATCAGTACAGATAAAACTTGCCACTGATTTTAGCCTTGGCTGGCAATCAAACTCGGGAAATTTGTTTCATAGCGCCGCGCGCAATCCACTGTGCCACCACTCCACTCCCACACCGTCCAGAGTGATGAACACTGGTGATGGATTAGTCTGAGTCAAAAGGTGCGTCCTCACATGCTGTCGGTGGCTTCTTGGTGGAAATGACGAACTGAGCGTTGACTTGCCGGATGAAATCTTGAGACAGACCACAGAGGACGACTCAGTTGGGGCAACCTCTTAAAATGCGTGCGAGCTCCTCTGTGTTACCGGCACAGAGTACTACACCAATGCGGCATGTAAATAATTATCAGTAAATGTACTTATTAATATATGCACACACACAACACACATGAAGACCCTTGTGCTCACGAACAGCGATGCACGCACTTTAGTACAGCGCATGCATCCAAACACAGGCGCACATTCACATTATGCAGCAAGTGTACACGCGCGCCCCGCGCGAGCAAGCGTATTGAATAGCCGTGATTAAAGAGGCACGTGGTGGGTGGGGGCGTGGAAAACGACGGCACGAGCTCGATGCGATCGTCTCACGGGACCCACCTGCGGTGACGTGCCTGTAAAGCGACGGCGCCGTCGGGAAGGCGAGGCTCTCAGGCTCGCGTTCGGAGAGCGGAACTACGGAAATAAATAAAAACACCCGGACGGTCGGAAAAGGAGACCCTGCGCGCAAACGCCGAGGAACCGAGCTGCACGGTGCAATACCTCACAGATTCACATTACTACACACGCAGTGTGTAAATAAGCGTACATACCTGTACTCAGTAATGCACACACGATACACATGGAGTTCCCGGTGCACATATACATCAATGCACAATTTCTTTGCATTAAAACGCGTGCACATGAATACACAACGCAGCAAGCGCGCACACACAGGCATGCACGTGTTGTTGCTGGTCCAACACTGGGATAGATGCCAGGGATACATCTCCCATAAAATAATGAAACACCCTGGAAAAAATTATTCCAAAACTATGGCGTTCAACCGAGTATTTTCAGACCCGGCCATTTTCAACTCAGCTACAGAACACGGAGATGAGAAGCGTGTGCGAGCTGACTCTTTGTGAATGCGCGCGACGATGCGACTCACGCGTGGCAATGTGTTTGATGATGGGGGGTCCTCGCTGGGCACCGTGGAGCAGAATGATGATGGTGAGCGTGTACTCCGTGTCGGGGGTCAGGTCTGGCAGCAGCAGCTCTCCCGAGACGGAGCTCAGCTCACGGGGGTCTCCGTCCTCCTCGCTGGGCACCAGCAGCACCTGCGGCCACAAGAAGCCAATGATTAAAAATGCAAGGCGCCAGGACCGCCACGTAATGTGGGTCATATTTCAGGTTGATGCGTTGAGATGTTGAATGAGAAGAATGTGATTTGGCGAGAAGATTTGACGAGGACCTTGATCTCCAGGCCAGGCCACCAGTCCCAGGAGATGTTGATCGTCGTCTCGTTCACCTCAATTCGGAACTCTGGCAGAAAATTGGTAGCTGCCACTGCAGAAATAAACAGCGGGATGCGTTGGATCATGGGTGTGCGATACAACTTTGTGAGAAAAATTCAAGATCACAGGTGCCAAACACAGCTTCACTTCTCATTTAAGCCAATTCCTTTTAAGACGTGAAAAAACGTTACTTTTTTTTAAAGAGAACACCTGAAAGTAACTGTTGTCCTATAAAACATAAGCGAGAAATCTTCATGCGATCAAGGGGTTCTCTCACAACAAATATTCGTCTCCCACTCAAATATGAACGTACATGTTTCTCATGCATTCCTACAAAGTTCCTATAACGAATGACAAGGAGAATGAGAATGACAACGATGACAATTGACAACACAACACCTGTGCACAGCGGTGACTTGTAGCAAAGAATTCAAGAAGGCGAGACGCCACCGCTGGCAGTGGAGCCGCCAGTGCTAGCAGAGCCCTCAGCGGTGCCCCCAATGCCACGAAACTGCTCCCCCCAGGAGACTCACGCGTGTCGATGGAGAGGGAGGCCGGTGGCCCGTGCTCCTGGCCCCGCAAGGCCGTCACCGTGATGACGTAGCGCTGCCCTGGCTGCAGGCCCTCGAGCCGGTGGCTGCTGGTGCCCGCGGGCAGCTCCTCCTCCTCCCGGTGCCTGGCGGTGCCGCCTTCGTCCTCCTCGCCTCCCGCCGCTGGGAGGCAGCGTACGCGGTACCCCGAGATGGGGCCTCCGGGCGGGGGCAGCCACTCGGCCCTGAGCGCCGTCTCCTCCACGTCCGTCACGCGCAGCTCGCGCGGCGCCGCTAGCTCTGCGTGGGGAAATTAGTTCAAAGCATCGCGGTCGTGGATAGACCATCATTTCTATTCTGTGTGTGTATTCTTATGAGGATTCAACTCTTGTTTGTTGTTATGACTTTCTGATCCTCCCCTACTGGACTTCTGGGAAAAAGAGCTTTCGAGCTCATCGGATTCCTTCCGGATAAATGAAGATTCTGATTCTGTTTGCTCCATTTTGTGTCTTCCAGAAACTAGACGGCCCTAATAAAATGCACACGTTTGAAAATATATCACTCAAAAACTACATACTTAGTGTGTGGTGCGCTGGTGTACACTACCACCACCGCAGCCATCGTCGCCACAGCCACCACCACCATGACTCACGTTGGGGTCGCCCCTCGGTGCGAGTTTGCCCCATGAGCGGGAGGCTCTCCTCGCGGCCATCCACGGAGATCACGCGCACCACGTAGTCCGTGCCGGGCTCCAGGTCGTGCAGCTCCAGCTGCGTCCGATCACCAGTCACCAGCCGCTCGTTGGCGTAGCCCGGAGCGCCGCCCTCGGGCCCGTACCTCACCCGGTAGCCCGTTATGGCGGCACGCGGTGGCTGCCACGCGACCGGTGAGCGATGAGTCCGTCACGTCCAAGAATTCTAGCTGTGTTGGAGAGTCGATGGCTGGATGGCGAGAGCGTGACATCGTGCCGAAATGCAGTGAATGTTTTGTGTGCCACTTGCTCCAGCGAACATGGAGCGGTGCTCATTTCTGCCAGCACCTGAACTGGTAATTCCACACTTCTGTGATGAGGCCAATCACTACACTTTGGTGCGTTCATTGGCACAATGAGAGATAATCCATTACAAAATGGGCCTTCATTTAGCTCCTCAAATCATTTACCTTTTTATTTCCTTTCTAGTGTAATTAGAAAAAAAACATTCTGAACATAATTTTCCAGAGGAGCACATCAATTAATTTTGGACATTTAACAAATATTGCTGCACCTCAAATGTTCGACTCCACACTATTAGTGGATGGCAGTCACCCATCCCATCAGGACACAGAGTAGGATTGCTTTATTTTACCACACCCTACTGAAGAGGCTCGTAGAAGGCAAAACTGGCTTAATGTTGTCTTGTATCATAAACACTGCAGGGAAACATTCAGGCTCAAAAGCTCACAGCATGCATAAGCAGATCACACACACGTTTTGTAATCACAGTTGGAAATGATCCACACTGCACCTCACCAGTTTTGTGCGTTCCACTCGCACCAGCGCTGAGCTGGTCTCCGTCCGCCGCGCGCACTTTCACCCGGTATTCCAGACCCGGGTGCAGCCCTTGGCGAGCGACAAAACCCCAAAAAACAAAAAAAAATTAGAAATGAAAGTTGGAGCCACTCGTGCTCACACAGAGAATTTTGTCGCGTGTGAGTGGTGGGGCCAGCAGGGGTGGGGGGGGGGGGAGCGCGCGTCGCCACACACCACCCAGATCCACGGACGTCGCGTCGCCCGCCACCACCACCTCGCGCGGCTCCGCGCTCGAGTACAGCGGCGAGTAGTGCACCACGTAGTGCGTGGGGGATGAGGGGGGCGGCACCGGCGCCCAGGACACGTGCATGGACTCGGCTCCCACGTGAGAGAAGCGCAGGTCGCTGGGATCGGCCAGCTCTGCGGGGAGAGTGGCAATGGCAGGGTAGGAAGAACCGCTTGTCAGAGTCTTTGATCTTCTTTTCTGTCCACTGGGTGATACTAGTTGGCTTATTGTGGGTAGTGTTTGTTTACATTGCATAACTGGAAACCTGTGGCTAAGCTGATCTTCCCCAAATCCATTGAAACTGGGCAGGTGGACACATTAAAGATCATGGTTAATTTAACTCCCTCAATTTCCCTTGTTCATTTCCTGTCGAGGCTTTAGACCTTTTTTTCGTCCCCTTGTTAATGACTTCCTCTTTCTCACCATAAAATAAATGCTGCGCAATGCTTCTCTACAGCGTCTTGAGATGCGGTCACTTCAAGAAACTACGTGAATCCACACAGCGCTGTATTGTACCGTGCGATGAGGTCAACTCACCGGACTGAAATTCCTCGTACAGGATGGGCTGCAGTTCTCCTCCACTGCCGTCATTCTCCTCCTCCTCTACGTAGGCAGCAGCTGGTGGAGGAAACACGGATTGACTGACAATGACGGCATAGCTAAATATCTCACGACGCCAAGGTTCAGAGGCACGCAGCTGTAGGCCATACGCGCGAGCGGCGCCAATTATTCAACCAGAGGAGCACCTCGGCTCAGAGATGTACATTCACCAGCAAGACAAGGTCAAAGTTCACAATAGCAGCACCGCCTTGAGCTGCAGTGGTGTTTATGTGCTATGGAAATGCAAAATGATTTGTTCTGTAGCGGCAGTTGTAGAGGGAAAGACTTCTCAAGCATTCACAGCAAGGTAATAATGTGCATTGTACTCCTTCTAAACACATAATAGTAGCAATTGCAATATATGAAGAAGATATAAAGGCTAAACTATGTTGTTGATACCATATGCTAATAAGCGGTGGTTTGTCATGAATCTAAAACAAACGTCTGTTATATGAAGATGCAAAACCATTCTTAAAAAGATTAGGCCTTTAATTCACTCGGTAAACTCTGCATGAACACAAAGGGAATGCATTGGAAGTTTAATATTGAAGGACTTCCATTGCACAACTCGTATTGGCAGCACAATAGGAACCGCTCCAGCTCTAGACTCAACATTCACAACAAGGATGAGGCAATGACTGCCAAAGCTGAAAAAGACAGCGACTCACCTCCCACTCAAACGAGTACAGGGGACAGGTCCATTGGTCGCTGTTTGGAATTTCCACATTCTCATAATAAGGACCAGCTGACTTCACAAATTATTGTACTTATTTGATAAATCCCAGATGAATCACCTTCCAATGAATATCCGTACACAGGGCTTCATTTCTCATGAATTATAGCGAGAGGCATACTGGATGTGGTGAGCGGGTGCTGAAATATATTCCGGATCGCTGACCCGGACAGACCCAGCTACAATTAAGCCTAACCCAATCATATCTGGTCTCCTGAAAAATGAGCCAAGGCTGAGGTCGGGCTGTTGCGTGGCCATTGGGGCTTCGAGACCCGCCATCTCCAAGGCAGCAGAAATGAACCATCGTACCAGCGGTGGTGACGTGCTTAACGATGGGGGGTCCCCGCTGGGTGCCGTGGAGTAGGATGATGATGGTGAGCGTGTACTCCGCGCGGGGGGACAGGTCCGGCAGGAGCATCAACCCGGAGTCGGAGCTCACGTAACGGGGGTCTCCACGTCCGTTGCTCGCCACAAACATCACCTGCAGGGGACGTCGCTCAGTCACGAACACGAGCTCATCGCACCAAATGCTTCTGGTGTTTAGTTTGCTGTCCTTTCCCCACACCTCTGATTAGCACGGTTGGGTATGTACAGTGCAAAATAATTTTGACATACAAAGCCGAGCCACAGAGGGGAAAAGCCACCTCGTGTAAACCCAGCAGTTAACGAAGATTAAATGTTAACCTGTTGATTGACAGGGTGCCGTGGTGGCAAGATGTTAACTGCCTCGCCTGGTATGCGGGTGGTCGTGGGTTCGAGTCCGACCCTGACGACGCCTGTGTGTTTGGAGTTTGCATGTCCCTCTCCCCGTGGTCGTGTGGATTTTTCTCCGGGTTCTCTATTCCCCCCCCCCCCCCCCCACATTTAGAAACATGCGCTAAGAGTATATTTGAAGTTTTCGTGACTGACGGGATCCATACTCTTTGGTTGTTTCGGTAAAGTCACGTAGGTATAAAATAAAATTAATTAAATCACGATGATGATCGCTTGTGTTGCAATCGAAACGTCGTGATTTAATTTATTTTATTTTATACCTACGTCACTTTACCGAAAGAACCAAAGAGTATGCGCTAAGAATATTTGGCTGCCATAAATGTTCACGTGATAAGCCCCTTCGTTGACCTATCATCATGTGGCCAGGTTGCTATTGAAAAGGAGCTATATAACTCAGTGGGCCTTATCTGCTAAAATAAATTAAAAATTGTTTAGTATTAGACTGGCGACACTGAGATTAAATTATATTTCAATGTCACATCAACGTTTGAAAAGTTGCTGAACCCCAGAGATTATCAGCATGGAAGGTGTAAAGGCGACTAAGCCAACATCATTGCCCCACGGCTTTAAAACTTATCTGGCTACAGTGAGGTTGCATTTCTTAACATTTTGTGGTGTATGCAAATATACAGTGATGAGCTCCAATGTAATAATACTTTAGTATCCTCTGTAAATTCATAGTGATAGAAAATCCATCATAAACGCTGCCAAACTGAAAACAATAAACGGGACAGTTTTATAGAAACAACTGTACGTGTGTTCGGGTATAATTAATGCCTGAGTTTATTAACGAATCCACTCTGGCCACTTCTTGTAAAAACAAAACAACGACATTGCTATAATATACACCCGAGAAGTCAGAGATGAGGGGCAAGACATTTCCACAGCAGCAGAATAAAATCAAAACCGCATGCACACGACGAATTGCATTTTCAATGCGAAATCACAACGCCACGCGGCCTTCTCTTTTTCCCCGTGAAACCTCACGCCAAGGAAAACACCAGCGCTGGAAATATGAAATGCCTTGCAACGCTCGCTGGCAGTGACAAATACGCCGCTTCCCGTCTAAATCTCAAAACGAGCACCATGTGCGGCGGCGCTCGGCAGACGCCCCCCGCCCTGCCAAGCCCTCGCGATCCCCAACGTCCAAGTGGACAGCGCCGCTACGCACTTGCACGGCAGCAAAGTGCAGCGAGAGAGGGGAGTGTGGTGAGCTTGCTTGCTGCCTTTTAACCTGCGGCGTCGCCGCTAGCGCTGAAGCCTCTTAAAAAAAAGGTACAAAGCAAAACCCGAGCTGTATCATGCGCAGAAAACTAATTTCTTGAGAACTGCTTTTGTGTTAAGTGTGTTGTCCATCCCCCGCACCTCCGATTAGCACGGTTGGCTACGTACCATGTGAAAAAACGTCAACATACATACAATCAGGGGCGGTTTCTTCATTAGGGCGATTGGGCGACGCACCACCAATGTCATTCAACCACAGAGTCACGCTAGCCGTTATTGTGCCTCTGGATATAGTCCAATCAGCGTCATGTCACGTTCTGTGGAGTACCGCCTCTTTTTGGGCGATTTCACTCTGGCTGAGAATCGCCCAGAGTGTTCCCATAGACTTACATTCAAAGATGTTTTTTTTCGAACGGTGGGCGCTGCAATACAATCTCTATGGCTTCCGGGAGGGCTCGCACTAACTGTGCTTACGTCATCATACGTAAGCACGTTTCAGTCAACAATATTATTTGTCGCCACCTAGTGGAATCTTTAATAAAATAAACTGAGTGGATTGTAATAATAGTGAGTATAGAAACAAACAAGATGTATTGTAAGAGTCACTTTATTTTTCATTAATATTAAAGAAGTGAAGTTGCCTTTACATGCTTAAGCTTTTAATTTATCCATTGCATGGGTGGACCTTATCTTTATCAATCATCCAGACATTTGCCCCCCCTGAGAGATTTTGCAGGAGCCGCTACTGCATACAATACTAATATCTTATCAATCCCGGAAGAGGGAAGGACTATGTGTAAAAACATTGTCTCGAGCAGCGTAATTATTAAGCAACTCAAAGACAATGGCACTTTGAATGTTCTGGCAAGACTTGAAGTTTTCTCAGGATGGCTACTCAATAAAGAGGATGATTACGGGAACACAAACGCAGGTGGAACCAGAGGTCGCAACCGGGTACCCGATACCCGTACCCTACCCGATACCCGGCTACCCGTACCCGGCCGGGTACGGGTACCCGTTTGCGACCCTGGTGCGGCCGGGTACGGGTACGGGTAGACCGTGAGTCACTGGTGAGTAACTGTTTGTCACTCATTTCCCAACGTCTTGTCTCTTCTCACAATTCAAGTTCCTAGAATCAACCCACCCGCGCCTGCAACATGGCTTCATCCCAGAGGTCGCAATCATGTACCCGATACCCGTACCCTACCCGTACCCGGCCGGGTACGGGTAGGGTACGGGTACGGCCGAGTACGGGTACGGGTACCCGTTTGCGACCCTGGTGCGGCCGGGTACGGGTATGGGTAAGGAATCAAAACCCGTTTGCGACCTCTGGGTGGAACCCTGCATGCAACGGTGGGAGCCTCGCACCGAGGGCAGCCACACAGAGCACTGACTTACAATTAGTGCCAAGTAGCACAGAGCTGAGCAATTATAATTATAGCAGAAATGTGAGGTGACGTTAAAATTGCACTTACATTGTTTGCAATTCATTACGAATAACACAATTCCAATTGTAACTTTCGTCAGCTCTGACGGACGGCGCTAACTTCCCTATTGGTCCACCCGCCACGCAAGGCATGCGATGTGACGTTGTTTCATCTGGCCAGGTGGTACTGTGGCAGATGGATTCACTATAAGAGTAAAGATCCCAACAGGGAATCACTTCAGCCAACTATCCCCCCAGGGGTAAGTAACAGTGTGAGAAGTAAACAGTGTGTCTCCTCTAGAGTGGCCTGTCACTCCCATGGGAATGTGAATTTTCCACCACCGGTTTAGGACTTCAAGTGGAGATGAGCGTTCATTGGAGTGTGGAGATGCAGTTGTGGTTTGGATTTTTCTGTTCTTTGTACGCAATTGGAGGCACATTCCATTCTACGAAAACAAAGGTCTAAAACGGTCAATATGTAGTCGTATTATATCACGGGAAGCGGTCATAAACAAAAAAAACAAATCAGAAAAAAGTGCACTGCATATGGTGTGAATTTAACTTGCCATTCTTGGCCACAGGGAACAGAAAAAAACCTCAGGCATGTATGCCGACTTCTGCCAGCGAGAATCATGAGAAACTCAAACAATACCTTGATCTTGAGACCTTGAATTGGGGGCCAGGAGATTACAATCATCGTGTCCTTCATCTCAAACTTGAACAAATCTTCGTTCAGCGGACGTACTGCACAGTCACACATTGCACAATGTTCTACAGGGTTAATATATTCCAATTGTACTTTTCTTTTCAAAAATGTATGCCAATGGCCAATGGCGTTTGCACAATACGTGACTCCTGTGTTGCATTCTATTATGGTCGTTTTATTATTATTGGATTGCACAGATATGTATCCTACGAATTACTTTTCAGCCTGTTATTTATCCTTGGTCTCCTTTGCAACATAGACTTATTTCTCCAATGAGTTATCAATAATAACCGAGGAAGGGTTGTAAGCCAAAACACGTTACTATTAGCCAGCAACTAAAATATGACTTTAAATTAAAAAGATATTTTAAAAATTCGTTTACAATCCTTACTGAAATATAATCATTGACATACTTCATTCCAATTCCAATTGTAATAAGAGCCTATGTCGGTTTCACGTGGTGATCGGCTTTGTTATTACACAATTAAAGACTGTTTGTTATACCTACCGTATTACTGCATGTAATATAGTTAAACTGTATTACCGTGACCCTGACCCAGCAGTGGATTGACATGAGGACCACGGGTCGTGAACCGACGCACGGATGTGCCACGGGCACGTGGTGCGCTCTTTACGCATGCACACGTGGTACGCTTTTTACGCATGCACACGTGGTACGCTTTTTACGCATGCACACGTGGTACGCGCTTTACGCATGCTCACGTGGTACGCACTTTACGCATGCTCACGCGGTACGCACTTTACGCATGCTCACGTGGTACGCACTTTACGCATGCTCACGCGGTACGCGCTTCATACATGCTCACGCGGTATGCTGTTTAGGCGTGCTAACACGGAACGCTCTTACGCGTGCTTGCGCGTCCCGTGAGCGCGCTGCTCTGCTCGGCCCCGTGCACAGCGTGAACGCTGATGATGTAGCTCCGGCCCGGCGCGAGCTCCTCCAGCATAAGCGACGTCTGATCCCGGGGGAGAACTTCCTCCCGGCTTGCTTCCCGGCGATCTGCCGAGTCATCAACCGACAATCGCACAGTAACCAACGGCTCTGAAGTTGACATTCCAACCGTTTTCACTGAATATCAATAATCTTGTCGTGATCATACTCAAAGCCAATTTAAAATGTTAATGTCAACTTTCAAGTTTTGAATAGATCACAAAGTGCAAATTTCTACTCTGAATCAATCAATTATTCTGCTGTCTTGCTTTCTCTCTCTCTAACTACTCTATATAACTGTTTCGGTGTTAGTGATAAATCTGCTCAGGATATTTGTATTTTCTGCTTGCATACAACTGGTAACACAGCTGCTTAGTTTCTGGTTTGACACCATCACCAATCTGGCCAACGTGGCACTGCACTCAACCACCATACGGCTTGCAAGTTCTAATCTCAGTCAGGGATCGACTCTATCACAAGCATTGCTTTTATTCATTGTCCAGCTCTGCGCTGGCCACTAACACAGCTCTAGCGGAGAAATAGAGAGGGAGGGAGGGATCGCACCATCGAGGTCCTCCGTGGAGCCATCCCAGATCGCCGTACGGCTCGGGTCCTCCTCAGTGGCGCAGCGCACGCGGTACCCGGACACCGCCGCCTCGGCTGGAGGCAGCCATTGCAGGTTCAGCGACGAGTCGCTCACCGTCACGATCTGCAGCTCGCGCGGCGGGTCCGGGGCTGAGGGGGACAATGCTACGATGGTCACCGCCGCCACTGACCGCGCAAACAAGGGGACTCAACGATGTGGGCGGGGGGTAGGGGTCGCGAGGTGGCGCCAGGGCGCTTCTCACCAGTCCTGTGCGTCCCCATGAGGGCGACGCTCTCATGCTCCCCCACGATGGTGTGGACGGCCACCTCGTACTCCGTCCCCGGCCGCAGCTCTAAACACCACGTGCACGCGCGCGAGAAGCACAGAAGCTGTGTTTCCTGCGTCTCACCGACATGTCAGATTTGTGCATCTGCCCGCGTGTGAGGGGCGGTAGCGGACTTATTTAGCAACCCAAGGTCGATTCCTGCCCTCTCAGCGAACATATCTGAACCAATTCTGGACCTCCCTTAGATCGATTTAGCCTTAAATAAGTAGCTGGTGCAGTGTGTCAACGTCAGCACTAGGGAGACAAAGATGGTCAGGCGCCGTCCTGGCCACACTTCGCCCTCGTGTGTCGGTTCTGGTCTTCATAGGATTTCATTAACGGCACTTGCCTCAACAGTCTATGTGCCGATAGGAATGATGGGGTGGCTGTGCAGAGCTTGAATAAAAACCCCCTGTACGCGCGCTGTTCATTCCAAGAGGCACTCCACTTTCCACTTGCATGAATACGTTCAACAAACTGGACCATATGTTACGATGAAAAAGGGTCTCGAGACCCAGGGGGGCTCTCCAGCGTAAACAAATACATTATTATAATTATTACAACACAAGTAATGGAAGTAGTGGAGCGTGGCTGGCTTGGGCCCTGGTGTAATGAATTAAATGAGGTCCACTGTCCAACTGCGCTCCCTCTTTCTAGCCCGTGCGTGGTCCCCGGTGCAGCTGCACCACCTGCACACTTGACGGCTACGCCACCGATACGCAAACGGGAATAATCAATCCCTGCATCCCGGCGCGCGTGTCGGCGGTGCCGTTCCCCTGCCTGTGAGAGTCGTTTCAGTCCCGCTCCCTTGCCCGGGCACGCGCGTCTCCTCGGGTTGCTCCCACCCGTCCACCTGGGCCGACACGACGCGGTAGAAGGAGGGAGGTTGCGGCAGCGCGGGCGCCAGCCAGGAGACACGCATCGTGTCGGGCCCCACGGATCCAAAGCGCAGGCCGGTAGGCGGAGGAACGACTGCCGCAGGAGGTGACAACGGAAGGTGATTGAGAATTGCACTAGTGGCGCGGCTGCAGCAGCAACAGCGGCGACGCGCTGTAGCACTCATGTTACCCACGGCACAACAAATCAATACTCTCGAATAGCTGCTCGACTCACGCACACAAAGCTGTGTTTCATTATACCACATTCGGTTGGCACAATGTACAGACTATATAAATTAGAGTCAAATCCGCCAGCTGCCTTTACTCAAAATGTGAAAATAAAATGTCAACCACGTTCCCCTGCTCAAGCAAACATTGGGCAGTGCTTGTTTTCGTTGGAAGTGCTGAGCTTGTGCTGTAAGATCCGTCTTTCCACACAGCTCAACTACTGAAATTTTTTCACCCAACAATGCTAAATGAAACAATTTTGGAGGGCTCCCATAATTTCCATCCCTGATGCCAGTGGCGGCTCCTGCAAAATCTCTCAGGGGGGGCGATTGTCTGGATGATTGATAAGGATAAGGTCCACCCATGCAATGGATAAATTAACAGCTTAAGCATGTAAAGGCAACTTTACTTCTTTAATATTAATGAAAAATAAAGTGACTCTTACAATACATCTTGTTTGTTTCTATACTCACTATTAATAAAATCCACTCAAGTTTCTTTTATTAAAGATTCCACTAGGTGGCGACAAATTATATTGTTGGATGAAACGTGCTTACGTATGATGACGTAAGCACGTTAGGGCGAGCCCTCCCGGAAGCCATAGAGAATGCATTGGAGCGCCCGCCGTTCGAAAAAAAACATCGTTGCATGTAAGTCTATGGGGCCACTCGGGGCGATTCTCAGCCGGAGTGAAATCGCCCAAAAAGAGGCGGTACTCCACAGAACGTGACATGAGGCTGATTGGACTATATCCAGAGGCACAGTGACAGCTAGCGTGACTCTGTGGTTGAATGACATTGGTGGTGCGTCGCCCAATCGCCCTAATAAAGAAACCGCCCCTGCCTGATGCTCTACCAACTGCGCAATACCGTTAACAAAGCAGACATGATGGGGCAAATTTTAGACTGCAGATAGGTCATAATCCTGCTCGCTATGCTGCTTCCTAACGTATGTTCTCTAACCCGTGTGTGATTTAAGTGTTTGGCGAAGTCCGCACTCCTCCTCGGTGCTGTGCATGTGCCGGACCCTGGCCCTGCCCCCCCGCACCGGGCGTGGCGACGGTGGAGACGGGGTCACTGCGGTGTCGCCCGTGCACTGTGGACACCGAAACGCGGTGAGGCACGCCGGGCTGCAGGCCAGAGCACGATGCCTTGCTCTGTCCCGGCGCCACCACCACCTCCATGCCGCCACCACGGCCACCAGCCACCTCCATCGGAGCGTCGCGCCGGATCACGACCGTCGCCTCCTCCTGCTGCTCCGGGCTTAGCCGGGGCTCCGACTCCATGGGGACGCAGGTCACCCAGAAGCCAGGCTCTTCTACGGGTAAAACAAAAACAAAGATCCCCCGTATAGCCTTCACAGACTGTTGGGGCAAGCGCTGTTAGCGAGCATTTATGTAGGCCGCCATGGCACACAAAGGAGTTGGTGGCCAGCACCACGCCCGGATGCCTTTGTCTCCCTCCTATTGGCGATGTTTACATACCGCATCAGGTACTCATTTGAGGCTGAGTCGACCTAGGGGAGGCCCAGGACCGGTTCAGATAATGGTCACTGTTGTTGGCCATGAGCGGGAATCAAACTTGGGATGCCGGGTTGGTAGCATAATGCGATGACCACGATACTACCGCTCCACACATACGAGCACACACACACAAAGTTAATGGTTTCATCCTGATGCACACGTATAGAGGTGGCATCATTGTAGTGGTAAAGTAGCAAGTGACATTCCATATTACATACACCCTAACACCGCATGTGATTAATGTCCAGGATCCAACCTATAACAGGCAGGGTTCACAGATAGAGTAGGGATTATCACGTGTATGAGACTCCCAAGCTATTGTGTTAAGAAAATAGAGGTACAGCAATCCGTGCGACTCTTCTGCATGAATAGGATCTCTGAGTACCGTGAATTCCATCTATATACAAAACACTCAATAAGGAATTGGCCAAACATCCCAAAGAGCTCTGTTGTTATTATTGTAACAGTTGTGTGCATTAGTGTCTCTATTTTTGAAACAATTTCGCCAACACTCTGAGAGGCACGGAGGTTTGTAAACGAGGTGCGGCGGAGTGACCTGGCATTTCAGGGGCGATCCAGGAGATGCGCAGTTCGCCCGTGTCTCCACGCGGCTCCACGTCGAGACCCCGCGGAGGCGGCACCGCTGCCGCCGACACAAGAGGAGAGAGTGGTGCTGCTCACGCTGGGCTCAGAGACCGGGGAGGAGGTTTTTGTGAACAAATCTGAGAGCGCTGAGTGAGCGCTCAAATGCGGCGTGTGGGATTTCTCGCCGGGTGTTGGAATACAGAGATTAATCGACGTGGCGATGATGTTGTGGAAAAAATCCAAATCAAATCCACTTTCGCTACATTATTTTCTCAGCCAGCTGTATATAATGTTTAATGTTAGCCCATTGTGGATATAAGGCTTCCCCCGCCTCACCCAGTACTCATTGCATATGTGTAGTGGAGTAACGCGTGTGGGGTTTTGCAAACAGTGTGCAGGCACGCATCAAATAAGACCACTACATATTTGTAGCCAATCTACTGCTAAATAAAAAAAAAGAATTACTGGGTTAATTATCTCTCCAGACTCGTGAAAAAGAGTCTGAAGAGACTTGGCCAAGTGGAGTTTTTTCCATGTAAATAAACAAATAACACTAACAATGAAACGAATCTGCATGATAAGCACGCAACGATGGCGGCTGCGAGTAGCAGTGGAACAGCAGTGTAACTAGAACCGGCCGTACAGGTGGTGACAAGTTTGACGATGGGGGGTCCCCGCTGGACGCCGTGGAGCAGGATGATGATGGTGAGCGTGTACTTCGCACTGGGAGTCAGGTCCGGCAGCAACAGCTCCCCTGAATCGGCGCTCAGCTCGCGAGGGTCCGCACCCCCCTCATTGAGCACCAGTAGCACCCTGACCACGAGGCCAGGCACGCTCGCCCACGAGATAGTAATGGTCGTCTCCGTCACGTCCACCTTGAAATCCGGCGTCACGAATGGTTCCACTGCGGAACATACAGAAAGGTCAGAAATGTAATTGCTGTACTATCTCCGACAGGCACCTTATTGCCCAGCAACCCTACCACTCAGCTGCTTTATTCCATATGTAGTGAGTCTAACTGAGTCGCAGATGTTATTCTTCAGCGGCAACACATTTATTGTAACACGTATATACAATAGGTAACTGCCCCTTTACCAGATACAGCCTGGGGTGGTGACCACCCAGCTAACTACACTATACATAGGAGTTATAGCTACGAAGGGTCGGACCCTCACTCGGGTCTCCGGCCACGTGTTGATGCCTCTTCAGACGTAGGACGTGGAACTTCCAGCTTGTAGAACGAAGCGACCCCGGTCCCTCTCAGGGACCCACCTTTAATCCTCCTGGGTCGGGGCCGGCTCCGCCCTCGGCCCCGCCCGCCTTTGAGAGCGTTCTAGCTCCCTCTCGAGAGCTCTCCCTGGACACGTGATCACCCCCGAGCCCCCCCACCTGGGGCCTTCTCTGTGGACACTCCAGATCATGTGCTTAAGGGGTCAACCAGAGTGCCATGGCCTGGGGCAGCCCTGTCCCTGGGCTGACATTCTCCCGCTCCCCCTTGTGGGAGCCTGCACTACACGCTATGTGCGGTGCCATCGCTATCCCAGCGCTCACCAAGCCCCGCTAGGGCTGGTACGACACCCATCTATGGGGTGTACGCGATGACGGTGCATCGCACGCCGTGCTATGCTAAGGCCAGCCTCACACAGCAACCCACACGGTGCTGTCCGCGACGTAAGTACATCGCATGCCACGGCCCTCCCGAACCGGCACCACACAGTGACATCCCCGATGTCACTACACATTCACCAACACGCCCAGTACATCTATATATATAAAAGGGAAATTTGTGAATATGTGTGTCTGTTCGAAATGTTTAGCATGCTTCCCAACATGGATATATGTTGCACGGCAAGTGAGCGGTGACGTCACATCTGCGATGTCACCCGCATGCGGCAGCGTCAGTGTGCCTGCTGACGTCACGCATGCCCCCCCCCCACCCTCCGCGTAGGCCATGTATTAATCCAAGACAAAAATCCAAGTCTCGGGCGAAGCTGGGTAGTAAAGCAATTTCAATTTTAAAAAATACCCTGCATCTGTGGATAAAAGTATTTGGGTCTGAGACCAATCCCGGATAACAGGAGTTTGCAGAGACTCACACGTGTCGATGGAGAGGGAGGCCGGTGGCCCATGCTCCCGGCCCCGCACGGCCGTCACCGTGATGATGTAGCGCTGCCCTGGCTGCAGGCCCTCCATCCGGTGGCTGCTGGTACCCGCGGGCAGCTCATCCTCCTCCTGGTGCCTGGCGGCGCCGCCCTCATCCTCCTCGCCTCCCGCCGCTGGGAGGCAGCGTACGCGGTACCCCGAGATGGGGCCTCCGGGCGGGGGCAGCCACTCGGCCCTGAGCGCCGTCTCCTCCACGGCCGTCACGCGCAGCTCGCGCGGCGCCGTAAGACGTCCTGCATGCACGGAGCCGTCTCACTTTACCGGAGCGTTTTCCACCGCTGCTTAGCAAGGTAACACCTCTGGTTAGTTTGGTTGGCTATGTACGGTGCGAAAGAAGTTCAATGTACGTATGTAACACTGCGGTCAGAGCCAGTGGCGGCACTTCGTTGAGATCATTTCGGAAGGGGGGGAAATTATTTTTGGGAATCAAAATGTATTGCATGTAAATTAAGTTAATTGTAGAAAATGAAATGCATCTAAAATGTAAACGTACATAAATAATTAGGTTTCTTTTTGGAATTTAGAAAAATCTCTAAAATTGTCCATGACAAGCAGCAGTCATCTGCAAATTGCGGAGGGCCTGGGAAATAGCATATTTTGCTCCCCTGGGTGAACCTCTGGTCAGAGCACTCAAATGTAATAAGGGAGGTCGACTTGGCCCATCAGCTCTTCAGTTCAATAAAATCAGTACCACTTTGCGGGAATTCATGGTGCTTATTTTAAGTGGAGTCTGGCCCCTGCCACAATAATGTGTAATGTCCATCGATAGCTCAGACAATCACCATACAATACTCATTTACGCATGGAGACAATAACTCTCTGTTATGTAAGAGTGAAATGAGTAATGTTTATACACCAAAATTGCTTAACTGCATAGCAAACAGAGGATCGTTTGAGCAATGGCACTATTATAAATATTACGGATGAAATCGTGCCGTTCCTCACCGGAAAAAAATAAATAAAACAAATGACACGCAAATACTCTACAGTTGACAGCGTACCACACACGCGGTGCACACGCTGAACACTGCGTCATGTGTCAGCATCACTGACGACGGTCGCTCATGACCACTTGACGCTGACACACATGGTCACTTTCTAGCGGAGCAGTGACCTGTGCAGCGCGACGTCCCGTGGAATTACTCCGTTAAATCACAGCAATCGCGCTACGTTCTATGACCCGTGCTGCGGTTAACGCACACCAACGCCTGAGGACGTGACCTGGTCCCGGAGTCGGCTGCGTGTACGTTACACCAACCCCGCGCTGTCAAATGTACGTTTTGTTGTTTCACATGTGCGCATATGCGTGGCGTCAGCACCGCTGTAAAGGCCAATGTTTTGTATAAACATGCGCGTAGCATTACGCCCGTCGCAAGCGTGCATCGGCTGGAGTCGTTTCACAAATATGTATTCCATAAGTTTTGTTCTCCTTACGATTTTCATGCTTGTTTTCAAGTCGGCTCGAAGTTTTCCGTGGAATTGTGGATCCAGACAAAAACCTCACAACTGTGTGTAACGAACGCACTAGATTTATCGATTCATCTCGCGCAGGAAGGACTCTGGGTCACGAGTCTCAAAGCCGTGCACAATTAAGACTTGACACTGGGCCAGCAGCAGACTGTTTGACGTAAATATTCAAGGTCACAAAGTCTACAAGAAAAATACCACGCTATTAAATTTTGGTCAGAGATGTCTATTAAAACCTCTGTGTGCAGCAGTTTGCTTGTGCGCAGCTTAATGTACATCTGATCTGCGCACTGGCATTAATTAGAAGCGCACGTGGCATCTTAATGATCCATGCCCTCTCAATCAGTGGTTGGGAATCGGACTCCGTACCACTTTGGGCGACCACTTATTTTGAAACGGTACAGTTTCTCTTTAAAACCACACATATCTGGTAGAGTTTATGGTGAGGACTCAAGCCATAAGATGCCTCTCAAGATTCGCTCACATTTCTGCCAGAGGAGACGTGCTTACATTAGCATGCACACATATACAGTTACACATACAGCTCATGTGTGCGTGTTTGCAAAGTAATCTTAGTAAGCACATAAGTAGGAGATCGTTTCCAAATTTGTGATTTTATATATTGAAATTGCTACACGACAGCTTATTTTAGTAAATGATATCGCAATGCTTGGCATGTTATTTTTTTGCACAGGGAAGACTTTCATGAATTAATTGAAAAATGTATGTGACTTTACCGAAAGAACCAAAGAGTAATTCCTGCAGTCACGAAAGCTTCGAATCTAGTTTGTTCCAGGCAGCTTGAGGAATCGAGCTGCGAGTCATTAGCTGGTTCACCTTGCAAGAGGTGTTGCACCAGGTTGACAAAAATGTACAACTGCAAGCAGTCGTTATAGATTGATTATATTTCTTACTCATACATCAGGTATTTCATATTTGTATGTCACACCGTGGTGTCTGCTGAGCAATCTGCCTGGGAAAAGTCGTCTAAAGCTGCAGAGAAAGTCATATATTACATTATGCACATGACAAAATAATTGTTCGCTAACATCATAAATTACATCGTAACATCCACCCATTGTCATCAATGACATTTTGTAAGTTTCTGACATTGTTGTTAAAATCCTGGCCCTATAATGTATTACATTGTTTTCATCATTGTTTATTTTTGTTATCAATGCTGTATCCATATTGTGGCCCATATCTCAATGGAAAAGTTACTTTTAGTCTCACTGGGTTTTTCCCCTGTTGAAACAAAGTGTTCATCGTGAAGGCTACTGACACAAATGGTAACCGCGTGCGTCGCTGTGAGCGTGAGTCACCGTGGGTCGAGGCCTGCAGGCTGCTGGGCCGGCTCTGCGCGTCGCCACTCACGGCGTACAGCCTCACGGTGTAGGCTTCGGCTGACACGAGATCCAGCAGCATCACGGACGTCGCGCCCGGGTGCAGCATCATCTCCTTGGGTGCCCGCCCCATGCCGGGCAGCAGCACAACGCGGTACGCTACACCAGCCAGTCACCACCACCGCCATTACCACGGGCACGGGCAGGAGATACATGAATCAGTGGCGTGTGCAATGCAAACCATCTATATATATATATACTCCTAATCCCACTGTTCGAGTCCAGACCTCAGAATCTTGTCATGCCATCCACATATGGCTTTCTTGTCTAAACCACGTAGCTTGGTGTTGCTGGACAATTTGCTCTATCGACCTTTGGGCCTGTGCTCAACCAATTTCATTTAAAACCAACCTGTTGTGTTGTATTGTTGCAACTACTGAGTGTGCAGGCAGTCCAACTGCACCCAAGCTCACATGTTGAAAGCGGGGACAAATCCTGGCCCTGGGGGCCCCGCATTTCATTGCTTGCACCAGGGCCCATGCCAACCGCAATACACGACTGCCCGTGTTTGTGACTACACTGCGCGTAAACTCACGGCTCTAAATCCTCACGGGACAAGTGCTTGTTCCTCTCTCGTGATCACTCACCTCCAACCTCACCACCACTCACCCATTGATAATCGCTCTGTCATGCAGTGTCTTAAGATAGCTGTGTTTATCCGCAACGGGAAGGCGATTTGGACTGTATTTGTATTTCACGACAGGCCTCTCAAACTCGGTGTGTGTGCACGCCATGTGAGCACACCGTGTGACCATGGTGCATGCATGTTGTGGAACGTTTGGAAGTTGAAAGGGCACCTGTAAGTTGCTCGTCCGTCCTGTCCCACCCAATCGTGATGGAAGACTCAGTCATGTCCACAACCTTCAGTCCCTCAGGCGGCTCTGGAGCTGTATATTAAATAGATTACATGGAAGTAGTATCTAAACAAGTACCAAAGAAACATAAACTACTGCTAAAGTACCATGACATTCCTAACCTGGAAGAGCATTTATATTACATGGCACTGGAGGTGGAACTAATAGAGGATGGCGAATTATCATGTTAAACACAACTTGAGAGACCACAAATTTGTCAGTAGATAGCTGTGCGGCAAGTAAGTATTTTCCTTATTTTACGGATCGTTTCGCCTCATTATCTCATGTAGATCTGCTTTCTCCTTCAATAATGAATCATGACTCATCTGACCATCTCGTATAATACCCTGGACAGGTATGGACAGGTACAAGAAATCATCATGACGACAATTAGTGTTGTGGCCGCACCATGGCCAGGGAGGTGCGGAGCCCCCAGGGTACGCACGTGGTGTGGCCGATGTGCTGAACTGGAAGCTCGTGACGTCGCGGTGCCCGTCGGGCCGGAGGGTGAACAGCTGTCCCTCGTACGTGATGCCCGGGTCGAGTCCCGTCACCACGTAACCATCCTCCTCCACCCCCAGGTCCACCTCCCGCCAGCGCGCCTCGCCGTCCTTCTGTAGAACGATGCACGGGCAAACACAGCCGGGCGTTCGCAACGCGTCGCTCGTGACCTGTATGTGTGCAAAAGTGATTTATGGCACCAGTCTTTTGGTAACAACTTCGGAACACTCTGCTGAGTAAGACCAGACATATCTCGCTCTGTAATTGGCTGAAATGATGACACGTGGATGTGGCCATGTCTGCACAGAGCTATTATCAATGACCAAGCTCTGCAAATGTTTATGGTGAGAGTCTTGGGCCCAACCAGGCATGGGTTTCACTGTTGGAGGTGCTGTTTTTTTGCTGTTAGGCGATACAGACGCTAAAGAATGCAAAAGATCAAAAACTTTAATGATGCGCATCAACCCTCAGTTATGAGGATGACACTGGATACAAGTATCGATGTGTGGACAAGGAGAGAGAGTGGTGTTCAGCGGGAGGGAACTCTGAACTTTCACAAATAGGATCGAGTCGTTCCTTATAAAAAAATAACGGGCAAAGTTTTGTAAAGTTTACATGGAGAAGACCATGCGTTGGTCCTTGACACTCACCGCCCTCCACTTGAGGTTGTAGCCGATGGCCGCGCTGCTGCTGGGGTTGATCCAGCGCACGGGGTGCGAGTGTCGGTTGGTGGGACTCTCGCTGATCATCACCTGCACCGGCTGCACCGGGTCTGCGCATAGAAAAGGTGGAGTGCGTTATGCACAAACCAGGCGCACGGAATCTCAGCGTCTCCACGCACAAAATGGTTGCCACAGATGAACCACAATACCTTGCTGATCTCGTCAAGGAGCATAAACCATCACACGAACTCTGATCATCCTCACATCGGCTTTTGGCAAGCCATTGAACAAAGACGGTCACTGCATTGCATTCTTTCAGATGCACTTCTGCGGCTGTCTGGAACGCTCTTCTTTCCGATGTTAGGAAGCTACTGGATCTCTTTACTTTTAAATCTAGACTTAAAACGAACTTCTTTAGAACTGCTTTTGTGTTGAGTTTGTTGTCCTTCCCCCACACCCCTGATTAGCACGGTTGGCTACGTACCGTGTGAAATAATTTCAACATCAACGTACATACAACGCTGCACTTAGCGGAGACGAGCAAGCAGGCGCTTTATCTCGAGAACATTCTCTCACAGATTTTACAATGGAGGTATTTATACTTTCGGCGTGCTATCCTACAACTCTGGGGTTGACTGGTTTAATCCCCTCCGTTGGCCTCTTGATATAAGCAATGTGTTTTGGATTGATTTTTCATCTGTTTACTTGGGCCATTAAACAACTTTCAGCCACATTGTAAGCAAAGTGTGTGCAGATTTACGAAACTGCCCTTGACGAGACGATGGACTTGATTAAAATGAGGCAATTGGCCCGTTGCTCAAAGAGTTTACTGCTTTCTACCAAAAATGCACTTCCACATTTCCAAACAAACAACTCTTACTCCTTGCGTGAACGAGGTTGCGACGTCAGCAGTGGCATTTTCCACAAAAAGCTGAGCATCTCTGAACCTCGGACAGTTTAACGTGCGTGCGTGCACATCATAACGAGGCCACAAGTCAGAGACTTAATATCGCAGCATAACGCGGGACTGCCTTCTGGCGCATCTACAGATCGCGAGGCCAAAATGTCTCCTCCCTCCTGCATCTGTTCTGTCTTTGTGGCCACCCCCGGGAATTACATCTAGCATCGACATGAAACACACTGGTGGTTAATACACAGAAAATACTTCATTGTCAAATACCACCCATTCTCAAAAGTAATTATTAAATAAATATGAGCACAAAGCTCCACTGCCCCTCGACAAAAGTGCGCTATTTGCGTGCGCAGTTAAACAGCGCTTACTTTTTCGAACAAAGTACAGTAATGTTTTCAAAGCCAAAATAGAGTTATGTTGAGGCGAGAGGAAACCATTACTCTTGTGATTTGAATCCCTTTTTGGCATAACAATCACTGATATTTATAGCATGGTCTCAAAACAGGTGCTGTTGATTTGCACTGCCACATTTCCAGTGTGTACAACACAGTGTCCTTATTTACGGGACACTTCCTGCCACCAATAAACTCTGGCCCAGTGCTGTGAGCAGGTCGGATTCACGATCATGAAATGGCGAGCGGTGTCGTGAACGACGCTCAGTACCTGTAAGGGTTCATAATCACCCACACCGTTCTACTGAGGAGATCTCGTGCATCGTTTATTAAGGGAACATGAGGTCTTAGCAGTACAATTGAGGAGTGCGTGCTAATTAAGACTGTGAGAGCCACAATGGCGATGCCTGTGACTTCTGTGTGCATGTAGTGCATCTGAATGTAACCGTTTGAGTGTTGAGCTACATTTTCAGCAAACTGGATTCGGTCCCGGGTCATGCACACTTCCAGTGACAACTGGCATTGAACCTGGTTTGGGCTTCCCCTTAGCCAACACAACCTGAAAATAAGTATCTATTGGGTACAAGTTCTAAATCAGCACTAAGGAGATAAAAGTGGACGGGCGGGCGTGGGTGTCACTGATCCCATTGCTGCAACATCTACCCGTGCTGGCCTTACTGGGTGCTCGCTGATAGGACGTGCACCTCCAAGCTTTCAGGATAACCAGCGGATCCGTGCGTGCGTGCATGCATGCGACGCTATCGGGGATGAGAATAATTGGTGTGTGGAACTCACAATCCGCAATGATATAAATCAAATCCGTACGGCATGCCAGGACGCTCACCCTCGGGAGGAGTCGTGCGTTTACAGTTCCACTCGCCGATGCCGTTGCCATAGCAATGGCAGCGAAACTCCAGCCCATCCACAACCTTGGCCCAGGTCTCCCCGACCTGGTGGTAGTCCCGCGAGTCCGAGTCTTGGCACTGGTCTGCACACACACACGTAAAGTACATATTTCAAAAATACGTCCAGTTTGCAAAGTGAGTGCTCGAAACAACAACTGCTGTGTGCATGAATCAGAATGAAAGCAATTTCCACCAATTGTCAGCGGTAAAATATCAAACTTTGTAAAAAAAACACACTGCAGCTGTTCTGGACATTTTTCTATCAAATGTGAGCAGAATATGCTTTATTGGCAATACATGAATGAGTGCCACTGTGTGTTTTGGAAGAAGTGCCTTACCTATAAACGTTACTTATTGGAACACGGTAGAAATCAATAACACAATACAATCTAGCATGAAAAGAGACATTGACTTTGGGACAATTATCATGGCTCCACACTGAGCTCTTTGTCTAGAGATAAACGCACATCCTGCTCAGCCCGCCCACGCTCTCACCCCGCGGACGCGACACAAAAACACAAAACCACACGGAGTGCCGCGTATCCCGCCAGGGGCGCGCGTGCCACGTACCCAGGCCGTCACACGTCCACATGCCGCGCCCACGCCCGTGGCACGTGCAGTTCATGAGGTGGCCCTCCTCGTGCCGCTTGAAGAAGCTCCTACCACTGTCGTGTAGGACCCCGTCCACGGAGCACTGGCCTGCGGGAGGCACGCACACGCCACGCACCGCCTGAACCCTCCTTGCGAGTCAAACCGCGATGATCGGACGCACAGTTTATTTTCATACTCCATAAAAAACGCAGAATTTTTTAAAGTTAATAAGCTTTAGGTGGTGCTCATTACCTGTCATGGTCTAAAGTCTTTAGTGGAAATTCCTCTTATCTATGGCAGGGAGTAAGCATTCTATATAACAATCAATGATGGGACTCACTTCAACCCTGTAGAGATAACGAAGATGGGGTTAAACTGGCCAAAATTTTAACTCAAGAATATATGGGTGACGGCCTTGCTGCCAATATGCCAGACTCAGCAATGGGAGATCAGCTACAACGCGCTGAGACAACTTTCACAGATGAAAGAGCTGCACCATGCACAGTCTGTCAGAAAGCACAATGATCCTCGGACGGACGGATGGACGGACAGACAGACGTCGTGCTGTCATGCGCAGACTCACCAAGCATGGGGCAGAAGCCGTACTTGCCATCGCCGTCGAAGTCTGCCGTGGTGGAGCACCAGAGCTCGCCATCGTCGCGCCCAACCGCCGTGCACTCGCTGTAGACGCGGCCTCCGAACGAGAAGGGCAGCGCGCAGAGTGCCCCGTGCGAGTTCCCTCCCTGCGAGGGCACCAGCATCTCTGCGTGCGCAACCGCGGAATGCAAACGCCATCATCACCATCGTCATCACCGCCGTTGTAAACATCATCATCACAATCATCCTCGCCATTTGCTTTCCAACTATGAATCTTCACATGTTCACTTATTCACTTTGTGTGTGGTCTTTCTAACGCCAATAGACAACAGATGGGTGCCATTGTGAAGATGATGGTGACGTAATTATATTTCACCATCATGATAAGTAACAGAGGTGGAGGATGATGTTGATGATGATCATGGTATGAAGAATAAAAACATTTGTATCAAAGTGACGATGAGTAATTGAGCCAGAGTTGGATGACAACAACGATGATGAAGATGATGGTGGAGAGTCTGGTACCCATTTCGTCCACGCAGTACGTGTATTTGCTGTCACGGTCGAAGTTGCTCGTGGTGCCGCACCACTGGCGCCCGTCAGTGCGGCCCCGTGCCGTGCAGCCCCACAGCGCCATCCCCTCGAACACGAAGGGGAACACGCAGGGATCCCCGTCGGCGTTCCCTCCTCGCGTATGCGCCACTCCTGCATCCGCAGCACCGCCCATCAGCTCAGACTCGCGCTCATACGGCCTCACGTCCAAGGACGATACAGAAACCTGCTGGGAAGCCCTCACAGCTGATCGATCATGGCTGATAACGACGGTGGTTCACGCGCTGCGAACCTCGTGAGTTTGTTCTAGATTTGAGGTTATCGTGACTGCAAGGATCCATACTCTTTGGTTCTTTTGGTAAAGTCACGTAGGTGAAAAAAATTGAAACAAATCACGACGTTTCGATTGCAACACAAGCAATCATCATCAGGTGTGACAACCACAGCAAGAAAAACTCGTGAGTCTGATTCCCGGTCATGGCTAATAGCCGTAGCGAGTCATTATCATCCTGTATATAACAGGCCTTCCCACCTAGGTCGATTCAGTCTGAGAAAGTGCAGTGTGCAAACATCGGCAATGGGGAGACAAAGGCGTGTTGCTGGCCATACCGTTGGCATTCGCCGAACCATCGCAGCTGCTCGCTGACATCCCTTGCCTCAACAATCTACAACGCTAACCGGGGACGGAGCGTTCATGAGTGCTCACACTGTGGATGCGTGTGCACGTGCGTCTCACTGTGTATACCTAGTGGAACACACTTGGCCTCGCCTCCCGCGGAGCAGCTGCAGATCTCGCGGTGCTGACCCTGGGCTCGCGTCCAGCGCTGGCCGCTCACGAACTCCACGCCACGGCCGAGGCGACACCGCGTGCGCCTGTCCGCACCGCCGCCCGCTTGGTCCCTGGTGACCACCTTGCGGACCCTGCCCGTGTCCGAACCCTCGGCTCCAGACTCCGCGGCCGCCTCCGGCACCGCCTCACTCCCACTGGTCGCGCGCGGTGAGGCAGCAGGACCCTCGGTGCCCACTCCCTCCTCTACCTCATCGCTCGTCACACCTCCTCCTGGAGCATTCACTGTGGTCGGGGATATTAATGATGTCATCGGCATCAATTCATTATCGTGATGATTATGATGATGATAATCACGGCAATGATGATAATTATGATCATCCCACAGTTCCATATATGTCATCATTATGATCATCTGCCAGTTCCATTGCACATCATCTGTTCACCATTTGTATACACAAGACAAGACGAGTTCCGCAATTTGTGCACACGCTCGGCGAACGCATTCTATCCTCGTCCCTGAACCATCAAAGCCGATCGTACTGCGGCCCCCTTTATCACGTTTCTTTGACTCTACCGCGCACCTTGCTGCTTGCGGCCCTGGGGATTCCCCAGGGTGGTCCGGGTCTGGTCCGGGTCTGTGCCAGGAGCTTTGCGCACGCACGTCCACTGGCCCTGCTCGTTCCCCCCACACGTGCAGAGGAGCGGCACCCCGGCCGCGTCGCGCTTCTGCCAGCGCTCCCCGGCGCGGTACGAGCGGCGAGTCGCAGCGTCGTTGCAGCGATCTGTGCAGCAGCAGGAACGGCCTCGTCAGCAGTGGCAGCAGCAACAGCGGTGGTAACAGCAGCTGCACCTCCGATTAGCACGTTTGGCAACGTACGGTGTGAAAGAAGTTCAATGTACTGTACATACAGCAGCAGTGGTGGCACATTCGGCGCTGAACTTTGTCAACGCACGGCAAAGTCGCATTGTTTATTGTTGCCATGGCAAATAACTGTGTTAGGCAAACAAACAAACAAACGTGCATACATACGTACAAACACACGAATGGACCGAGTGCCCGCAGAAAAAAAGATTTGACGGCAAAAGCAAAACTGTCGGTGCGCGGTGGCGATGTCGGTGAAACGGCGAATCTCACTGCGGGAGCTGCAGTGGATGTTGCCTTTGGAGATGCACCGGCAGTCGAGCAGCATCCACCCACGGTGGGGCCTCTCCCACGCCTGGCCCACGGAGAACCAGCGCGAGAGCGCCGTGTCGCGGCATGCGTCGCCCTCCGAGCTGCCCGCGCCTCCTCCGTGGCTGCCCTTGCCTGCCTGGGTGTCCTCTGAGTGCACACGTACGAGGGGGCGGGGGGGGGGGGACGCGGGAGGTCACCGAGCTGGACTGCCCCTCAGCATGGCAGCCAAACACCACGACTATGAAAAACGACGGTGTTGCTGCTGACCAGTTTTCCTTTGGCCTCAGTGATTGCCGTGTTAATGGGCACGAGATAACCACGAATGGGAGAAAGGGGGTCAAAAGGTGGCGTTAACGGATGGAGTTGGGGTTAGGGACATGGTTGGGGTTAGGGATGGGGTTCGGAAGAGGTTTGGGGTTAGCGTTACCGATTAAGGGTGCCAGCACTGTTTCATCGTAGTATAGTATTTTCATTACATTGTACAACTGTAATACTGCACTTTGGATTCAGGGTTAGTGGTTAATTTGAGACGAATAACCTCTAATGCAGCAAGGTCAGCTGCAGAGGTAAGTACATCGAGCGGGTTGCCGACCTACGTGTGTATATTTGTGTTATCCCATCGTTTGATTAGGATTTGTCCAGATGCTAAGAGGTTTCTTCCCACATGCTAAAATAGTCAATCTTAAATTCACCAAACATGTCCGATCAGGACGTTCCTGAAGGAGAGTCTTGAGGATGTCTTGAGTAAATAATGATAAAGGGGTGCACAACGCCAATGAAAATGGAGAAAAATTAATATATCTAAAGCCCCGAATTTTGACACTACGCGGTAGCCAACAGGAGTTCACGTCCTGGCCAATGTTTATTTTCCCGGGGTGGGGGGGGGGGTAACGGGCCACCGTAGAAGTGTATTTTGGAGGAAATCCTAGACTGGTGTAATAAAATCCATGAAGGCATTGATTTTAAATCACGTGGAGAAGGTGCTGCTCGGCGTGCTCTTCCGAGCATGCTCATAAACCCATAAAACCCCGGCTATCACTACTGCCGGTTCTGCTTCTGCTGCCCGTTCCAGTCCACTGACAACCACTCCTCATCACCGATGCCAATAAATACAAATCTGCGGAAGCCCCCGAAAATGTTCTTACAATTAAAGTCTCATGATTTGTTGATTTTAAAAAAGCTAAATAAATATAAGCGTAAAGAATTTGGGTGATTGGTTGTATTTCCATTTCAATACTTTGATTTATGTTCTTGAAAAAAATCGAAATGTATCCGCAGACTTTCATTGCTCATCATTGTTCACAGGTTCCACCTCCATCATTCTGACGTGAAAAAGTCTCACTGATCCGCAAGGCATGTTTTTTTTTTCCAGAATATTACTGGTCAAACTGTCCGACCGCTTTATTGAAATATTTTTTCCACAGAATAAATGGAAGTTTATCAAACCTACACATGCGTGGGGATAAACCCCAATCTCCACACACAGCCTGTCAGAAACCAACTTGCTATGCACACTCTTATATGCACCTCATTGCCCTGCGTTTACGTTTCTTACTCCAACAGTAGCCTCCATCTCTGCATGATCTACCAACCCCACTTCCACCACTATCTTAATTACATCTCTCGGAGTCCCAGCCTACACCACCTGGTATTCCCCGACAGCCTCCCATCTAGATACCAGACTCAAAATCTGCCTTTACTTCTTAGATCTAACAAGATTGGCTGCACTCTGAGTAATTTGTTCTTGAACAGGGCTTAATTTATCACTGAATATTTTCTGGGTCACTGGAACTCTGAAAGAAGGTAGGCAGCACGTGACTGGCAGCCACAAGCATAGTGAGATTTGTACTGGGCGTGGTGTGCCGGGCGCGGAAATATTTCCGGCTCGTCGACCCCAAACAAACCCGTCTCAACGTTAATCCCTAACCCTTAGGCACCTACACCGCGCATCCCGCCGCAGGATGTTGCAAATGACGAGTGTTGGGTGGGAGCCGAGGATGACCCGTGCTGAGTGTGCAACCGGGATATGGATGGGGGTGGGGAGGGGGGTTCTGACCCGAGCGGAGCGCCCTGCAGTGAACGCGCCGACCGCCCAGGCAGGTGCACTCGAGACGCTTGCCCTGGAACACGCGCTCCCAGCGCTCGCGTGGGGCCCACCACCTGGCCGCGTCCAGGCAGCCCCCTGTGCGTCGACACGCGGCGCAGCACACGCCCGCAACAATTTCAAACTCGCACACAACGACGGCGGCGACGACGGCCAACATTCGCGACACGGTGCTCGTGCCAGCGCGGGTGCACTTTGAGGTCGCGTCATAGATTATCGCGAAGGCGCAGGTGTTACGTGCTGGCTGACTGAGACGGCTGGTAGATAAACCACCACCACCCTGCTCCCCTCACTGTGCCACCTCGTCCGCTGCGAATTCCTGTTGCACGTCCACGCGCGCCTGACCAAATGACGCACACGCAGGCTTCTCGAACGGTTACGCGTACTACGAAGATCACCCGTGTCGCCTTTAACAGACTGTTTGAGCAAGTGCTGCTAGCGAGCACCTATGAAGGCCGACACGCCACAGGAAGGAAGGTGGCTAACACAGGACCCGGCTGTCCGTGTCTCCCCACCGCACCAAGTACACATCGAAATCTGAGTCGACCTAAGGGGTGCCCAGGACCGATTCAAATATGTGCCTCAGTTTTACTGGTCGTGAGCCGTAATCGAACTCGCAGTCCGCTAACCACTGTGCCACACACAAATACAGTAGATGCACAAAGAACAGAACCGAACATCCTTATTCACATGCCCCCTTGACCAAAGCAGTTGCACTCGTGACGCATTTATCTCTGGAGAAATTGGCAAATTATGAATATTAATATCTCAACGCACAGGCAAACCCGCACTAACCATACACTAGCATTAAGTATTTATCAGTCAACTTAACCGCTTTGCATCCCTCCGGACGTGAGTTATGGAAGCGATGGATTATGAGGCACGTCTGTTTGCCTATTTACGTGTCAAGATCGACTGCATCGGGGAGTCGAAACGGGTTGCTGGTGAATCGGGGGTCAGTGAAACGCGATGCACGCTCCACGGCCATCCAAGTGATCGCACCCTCTGGGAGTGGAGGGCCCCTGCTCGGCCACGGCTCCACTAATTAGATCGACGCAACGCACGCGGGCCGTGGGAATGCAGAATGCAGAATCTCCGAGGTCACTGGGGCAAGCCCATAGAGTAAGTGAGCCTTTGCGACGTCGCAGCGAGTTTTGAAGTCGCCTAAAGGGGATACGCGTGCTATTGTAGTACAGAGTTAGACTGATGGCCTTAAAGTAAGTTGTCTTATGGTTGTTGTTGTTGTTGTTTGACTTGCATCCCACTGGGATTTTTGCACACAGCGTTGGTGCTTTTTCTGCAATATTTTGCTGTTTTTTCTTGGATTTTTTGTTTGCACTTAGTCACATAGTCACTTTAAGATGTTTTTTTGTTCATGTTTTTGTCTTTTGTTTGTTGCGGTTGCACCCGATTCAAGAGCCGAATGGCTCACAGAGCTATACCTAATAAATGAACTTGAACTTTAAATAATGGCGTTGTACATGTACGTATTATTTAACAATGGAGTAGATTTGCATTAAGATGTTAACATACCCGATTCGTCATGCGTGTCAATGTTCATCTGTGTTTATTCTACATCGTTAATTGATGCCTTGCATTGTTATTGAAATTATTACATTTTACTCATGTATTACCCGTATAACGAACCATCGATCGTAATTGATCGTGATGATCACGGTACACGTGATCGAATCCCGCATGTACGAGTCGATTCATGTCTTGCATGTAATTTAATGGGCTCACCTTAAACCGATTGCCCCTAGAGGTCGCGACATTCCAAATAAATAGCAAACATTTAATCTATTTTTAAATACAATCAAACATCAATGGATTACAAGCGGGTGCTCTTGACAGCTCTAGCAATGTACGCACGTCTTGTAAAATGCGTTGGTCTCATTGGGCTCTAAGCTGGCTACATGAAGACTGCGAATTGTTCCAAATATTAGTTGGCCACTGTTAAAACATAAACATTGCAGCCTCGATGTGAATTCAAGAGCGACTGATGTAAAACATGCACGCCTGCGCGCAGATGCTCCACTCCACTGCAGTATTCATCTCCAGCGCCACAGGCCAGACATCCCCGGAGGCACGGTGCCAGGGACACCGGGGGCACACGTGCCGTGTTCCCACGGCCATTAGCGAGGGTGCTGGTCCAGCGCCGGCATGGATCCAGTGTCCCAGCCCACGGCGGCTGAGCTGGTCCCGCACGGGCCCCCTCTACTGAGCGGTGGTTCCCCATGCACATACTTCTCACGCTGCTCCCATCGAGGCCCTGCGCGCTCCAGGGCCACAACTTGTATTCACATTCTTTGGGTCTTTCGGAAAAGTCACGTAGAAAAAAAATTTACCCGTAAAAACAAAGTTTTTCACTATAAATCCTTTATATGCGTGGCGGCTAGAGTCCTCTCGTCCTCTGGCTTGAGATGGCTGCCACCTATGGGTCAGATGATTGCCTGCCACCATTAAGCAATTGGTAATTAAATATAATTTATTTTTTCCTAAAAAGTGTAAAATTTAGGATTCTTTTTTCACGCAAATAAATTGTCACGCACAACGAGTCTGTGTGCAAAATGTCAGCTCGATTGGATCACGGGAAGTGGGTTAAAAAACGACCGAAAAATTTGCACGGTCGTAAGCGCGCAAGCAAGCAAGCAAGTGAACTTAATATAAAGGATTTAATAACAAAAAAAACTACGAAGTTTCGATCGCAACACAAGCGGTCGTCATCAGGAAAAGGGGGTTCGCTTCTAAAGGCAAACCATTGAGAAAGGTTTGAAATGGGCGTAGCCCAAATGTCAGCAGCATGGGCGGGGCAGCTAATGTTAACGTAGGTGATGGGCAGCCACAACTCTATTCACACCCTCCCCCTCCCAACCGCCCCCGACCCCCCACCGCTACCCCTGCCCCGTGCACCGCCCGTCATCCCTGACAAACGTTCTTTAAACCCTAAAAAATTATGGCGTCAGAATATTCGAGGAATACATTCGGCCCGATTTTATTTTTCTCCGTGGGGCCATGCGAGCCCCCTAATTCGCAGCTGCCTAGTCCCTAGCCACGAAGTCCCACGCGTTTGGCGGCTCCACGTTGGAGCCATCAATTCGTGCTCCACGTCTGGCTCCATAAAGCCTCTCACAATAGAACCACGCATCCGCCCGGGCTCGAGCTCCTTTGGGCTTACAACTCGACCCGCGCGGCGACGCCACGAGCCACAAGCCGGTGAGATGTTAATGCTGATATGGACATCTGCTGCCCACGTGGCACGATCTCAAGGCGATCGCGACCTCGCCTTGAGGTGAACGGAAGAGTTTCTCGTGTGGAGCGCATCTGGGCCGGATGCAAAGTCATACGCGACCGACTCAGTTCTGTGCCAGTTCCGCGTGATTCCTTCTTTCACGGCTTTATGAGTGTCCACGCATGAAGTGCCCCTCTTAACACTGTACACATGAGGCCTTATGGGTTTTGATACACGGTATAAATGTTGATAAATGTCTGCAAAACGTATTGGATTGCGTGGAGACAATGAACTCACATGGTTACATTAAAATCTATTTTGTGCATCCTAGCTTTGTCGTTTCAAGTACATTTGAGGCTGAACTATTGTCCGAGGTGAATGCATAACTCACGAGGTTCAGAATTTCCCCGTCAGAGCAATGCGCCAGCACCACTGAGAGCATGTGCTCAGATCCGGGTTCAGTCGCTTCATGTTAAACAAGGTCCTCAGGTCTAGCGAGGTGATGGTGATCGTCTCTTGCCTGTCACAACCAATGGCTGCAGAGAAAAATCTAAAGTTTTCATTTGTTTTCACGCTTCATCTGGCTCTGATAATGAATTAACCATTGCGAGGAGACGGACACTGCATCGCGCGCTTTCAGATGCTTTCAGATGCGCTTCTGCGGCCGTCTGGAATGCTCTTGCCTCCGATATTAGGAAGCCACTGTAACTATGCACTGTAACTATGCACTTTTAAATCTAGATTGAAAACAGAATTTTTAGATCGGATTTTTGTTCATTTTTATTACGTCCTTCCCCCGTACTTCCGTTCAACACGGTTGGCTAACGTACGGTGCAAAAGAAGATCAACATAGGGACGTACTGTACATACATACACGACGAACACTCTTTGCAGAGGATACTAGAAGGATCGTTTCTCGAATGGATAAAGAGGCCGACTGAAGTAACCCGAGAAGCAAGTACATGACATCATCCTCCGGGACTCTGCTCTGACACAACAAGGCGGTGATGCACTACTCGCTGCGAGCGTTGCGAACGGAGCGCACGTGGCGTCACGCCAAGAACACACTTGAAATAAAGTTGGGGAATAAGACAAACATGTTTTGCTCACCACTTAGGTTGCGTGAACGCTGACCTTCCGCTCACGCTGACTCGGGTGTCTGACTGGTACAGTCCTATACCAGAGAGTCTACACTCGCAAGTACTACAACATCACGCACTATAGAGTGCTGTGGCAGTGTGCGCTATAGAGACGTCTAGAACAGAGCGCGTCGCACGGGCACACGTGTCGTGCACGCCCGCAAAATAATGCGCGCATTCGTTGAAGCCTCCCTGTGTCGTAATTCTGGGATTTAACGGGGATCTTCGCGGCCTCGGACACGGACACATGCGGACGAGTTCACAGTTGAACCCACCTGTGGAGATGGAGCGCCGCATACATCATCAGTACACAATTGCATTACTCTCATGATGCGCATGGCAATGTGTTCAAGAGCTCAACGCTAATGTAAAGGTCTGCTCGGTACGAGAGGGCTTCAGAAGAGTTCGTTCGTGCAGTTTTGCGATTCGTCCTCCGTTGAAGCAGCGCAAACTACAGCGGTGTATGATATGGCCCATACTATACGGTCCAGTAATCACGGTGATAGCCGAATGCAACTTGGTGATTATAAATGGCGATGGTTATTCAACCAATACGATGAAACTGATTGTGACGAGTCAGCCAATAATGATTACAATTCAACTGGCGATGATCCAGCTGATGATGCTTCAGCTGATGCCGCAGAGGGTGAATCGATTGACAACAATTAACATTGAACAAATTGATGTAATAAATAATGCTGACTCAATGACAAAACAAGACAATCGTCATCATCCACACGCTCAACAGCACGGATGCGCTCTCGTTACCCGAGCTGGAATCTGGCTCGGTCGTGGCGGCGCGGCTCTCTGTCGGGGTGAAGCGACGCTGCGCGCTCCTCGCTCGGTGGGAGGGACTCGGCGATCCTCCGGCTCCTCCGGCTCCTCCTCCCTCTCCTCTGAGCGAAGTCTTCCCTCGAGACTCCCTGAGCCGAGCCCTGGCCACTCTGGAGAGCACAGCGCCGAGCGCTCGCGATTCGGCCGACGCTAAGGGTCTCTTCACGGTCTTCCCATCGTGCCGACCCAGTGACTCTGCTGCTGCTGACGACGACGACGTTGATGCCCGTGGCCATAGTCCGTGTCGAAGCGGCTCGTCCGATAGTTGCCTCCGCGCGCTTTGTGCCCCGGGCACCACCCGCGAGCTGGTTTGAGCGCCGAGCCTCGCGGCGTGAAGGGAGCTGAGTCTGGGAGAGCGCATGGGGTGCAGCAGGGCTTGGCGCGCACCGGGAGGAGGCGGCGGCGGGGCCGCGGCGACAATCATCATCCCGGCCAGGGCGAGCGCTGAGCAGAAGAGGGGCAGCGTCTCCCGGAGCACGAGTCGCAGCATCTTCGTCTCGCGCCTTCGTCCTCGCCGCTCTCTCGCGATCTTCTCACGCCCGCGACTCCGAGACCTCTGTGCGCACGACGATTCGCACGGTTGGCTTCGTGCGGTGCGAAAGAAATTTAACTGACACGCATCTCCGTGGAAAATCGATGCCAGTGATCTTTTGCGTCGGGCCTTTAAAGTACGGTACTATAACAGGTATATAAAATGATTAACGCGATCCGATACTAAACCACGTCAGCAGAGATATTATCTCAAACGAGCTGGTGCGTGCCTGGGTCGCAATACTCAAGTCAAGTTCATTTGTTTAACTGGGTGAGAACTCCAATTCAAAAGACCCCAGCTTCGTCTCGTTTGCAAGTGACCTGGATCAACGCGACTTAGCCGCCAGTACAGTTCCTCTATCTGGACAGAGGGGGAGGGTAGCGGTGGCGAAGTGGCGTGCTATGAACACCTGGCAACTCGAGTTAGATTCCCGGCCACGTGTAACATCCGCGGTGAGTGGTATCTGAGCCATCAACTCGCACTGACCGCCAGTGGGGTGAAGTATGGTCAACGCAATCAACCCAAATGAAAGACATACAGCAGGACTGTATACATGTGTATAATTCCTCTATCGGGTATCTTCTATACTCGTTTAGTTCCATCTCTCTGATGGTCCCCTCGATATGACGTAGTTTTCTCTAGTATAGGTCCCTCTAATTAGGAATCAGTTGTAAATATAACGCGAATACTACTGGAAATGTACGGTGAAAGTTTTATATATATATAAATCTTCATCCAAGGCACGCAAGTCAGGTTTTTCATTTACACGGCAATGTGGCACTGGCAGAGCCATTCCGCAGCCAATTGTCGTCATGTACAGGTTTGATTAATTCCCTGTCTGACGATGAAGCTTGCCCAATCGCGCCAGATAAAATTGGGATTCATTTCACGTCTTAATTAACTGCAGGAGACACGAGTAACCAACTAAAGTGGGTCAAATGGAAATCATTCTGAAGGGCGGCTTATCTACTTACAAAAAATACAAACCATTACCACATTATCATCCAAATATTAAGGGGCAACAATGAAAAATAAATCACCCAGCACGAAAGACGCCGATTCGTAGGGCCCCCAATTCAACCACAATCCCACATATGGCCCTGATCACCAGTCCGTACCAATGACCTAAAATTTTCGTGCGGGATGCTTTGTAATTAAACTTAAAAAAATCCGCATAGAACCATGCGCCAGCGCACACACAAACGCTTATTTTATAATAATAATTATTATTAAACAATCGCAACTCAGCCTGAGAACAATGAAACATTCGGACAAAACGGTAACTCACCCGGAGGAACAGGCGACTGCGCGCATTGAACAAACGCCCGACTTCTCAACCCCGTGTCCCCTCCTCCTCGGGGCGAGGGGAGGCGGTCAGACGCGCTCATCACGGCGTCGCGTTATTTCGAGCGAGCAAAGCTGATGCGGGGGAGGGAGGGCCCCCTCCTTACTATGGGGTGGGGGTGGGGGGCTATGGAGCGGGTGGAGAGAGCGTGTGTTTGAGATGGAGGGGGAGATGGAGAGGAGAGGCTCGGGGAGAGTTAAGCAAGGAGCCACCCTGAACTGTGGCCTCGAGATGCACACTTCTTGGAATGGAACAATGGCTTTGTCCGGACGTGCGTGTACCACTTTTAACTTTTTAATTCTTTGAGATTATATCTCGCACGGTGTTTTGTTGTCTGTTTGGACGTTGTCAACCAAGTGACCGTTTCTTCGCATCCATACAGCGTTCAACCCCCACACTGCAAGTCACAACTATTATATTTATTCGCAATGATCTACATTATAATTCCCTCCCATCATCTATTTTCAGAAGTTGCCATTATAATATTGTTCAAATAAAGAAACGTACAAACTCTTGGTCCATTATCGAGTGCTGTTTGTTGCTGCCCGCCTTAAAATTTGGGAATTTAGTTTTGTGCTCAGCAACCATATTATTATGATCAAAGAATCTCCAACGATGAACTCGTGGTGTCCCAGGGCACCACTGGCGACTTGAGGAGGCAAGTAGAGGGAGGAAGGAAAGGAAATAGGCGCGTGGAGGCGTGGAGGAAGAGGTGGGAGCTGGAGGCGTCCCTGTAAAACCTTCAAGGTCGACCCGCCCTCTCATCCACGAGGAGGAGTACACTATTATTAGCAGAGACACAGATGATCCACGCACCCACTTCCCGCCACGTCTCGTTCACCTCTCTCTCTGCTCCACCCGAAACCATCCACTCCTCCCGTGAGGCGTATTTGCCGTGTGGACATTAGTGTACGCCAAGTGTTAGAGCAGTGTGGTCACAGTTATCTTGCGCTACCCAACCGCACCCCAGCAGCATTTACGCGGCAGGAAAATTGTGCACTGGTGTGCGTAGGGTTTATGGGTATGTGGATGAGCGATTGTGTAGGCATGTGTGTAGGTGTTTGAGTTGGTGTTTGGTCACGGGGGGAGGTGGGGCGGTTATAATTGTGTGGTTGTTTGAATGGGTACGATGTGCTTGCATGTTGGTGCTGTGAACCATCGGTTGGCGACTCGCTGGATAGGCAGCGTTTTAGGTGGCACCTGGCAAAGCCCCCCACCTCTGAAGCACTTTGACGAACTGCCGAGACGGCCAGCGCTGCTGACCGGATTGCTGCAGCTCGGTTGCCATGCAGTGTCGAAAAAGCAGCCGTAAACACAACCCCTGGACACCCCCGCCTGTGGACCGTGTCAGCCTTGCAAAATATTTTCCACAAAATAAAAAAAATAAAAACTGTGCAGATTCCTAGTTTTGTACGTATTCGTTTACTCCGCACTGCCGAGGCACAGAGACTCAGGCAGCAGAACTCACTCCGGCCTCCGCTTAGCTCGCACGAGAACAAGCGCAAGACATTCTTTTAAACTGATTATTAGGCTTTCAAACATCAAGCCCTCCCCCCTCGCACATCGTTGCACCGCGCTAAGATTCCGTGAGTTTTGTCCGTGGATGCGAGCCTTCTGACGTCTTGATAGCGATGCCTCGTGCTTTACACGTGCCTGGCAGCTATGTGAGTTTCCTGGGCAAACAAGTAGGTCAGCGGTGGTGCCCTGCCGCAGCAGCAGCAGCCATCGTAATCCGCAGCTTGACTGCGTGGAGCGCTCTTTCCAAGTAGACGCGCCAATTTCGCAATGTGTTGAAAAAAAAACAGCTGTCCTCCAGCATGGCGTCGTGTGCGTGTACACGCACAGTATCGCCAAACCCGAAGGGTACCGTATGTACGTTGAACTTCTTTCGCACCGCACGTAGCCAACCGGTGCTAATCGGAGGTGCGGCTGGACGCGCCGTTTGCCCTGCGCGTTGCGACAATTGCAGTGAGCCGGTGCTGAGAAAATAATTGTGCTGTCAAAATTAAGGGGGTGGGGGGCACACTTTCACGCCGTGACTCACGGGAGAGAATAAGTGATGGCCATAACCTGAGAAGGAAGGATGACCATCACTGCCTCCAAACATGATCTCAATACAAGGCCCGTGCCAAAGCGGACTTGGCGCGAGGACTCTGGTGCAGCCCACGGACAGGAAATTAGATCAGGAAAAACCACAGCGTGATCAGTGTAGCGAGTTTCCCCTGCATCTGGGATTCCCCAGGTCCACGATGAATGTAGGGGCCTGTGCCAGCACTTGACCAGTGACCGTGTTCACCACTCACTTCGTCACGGCGTCTGACGGAGGCAGAAAAAAAGAAGGGAAAAAAAAGCCACTCCTTTAATTGTTTTGGCATTTTCAAGTCCGACACAGGTGGGAATTCTGCTAATTTGCTACTTTCCATTGAAGCAACAAATGGAAAGGGAAATCAAGTCGTGTGTGGTGTAGAGTCAGCAGGTACCATTCTAAACGATTGCCCTCGCTGCCAAGTTTGTTATGGGATCACTGCTCGAGCGTACGTGAGCGTATTAAACAAGGCAATAATAACACTGGGCGGCGGGTGATTAACAAGCTCTGCTAATAGACCAACGGACGGCGGGAACCGCATTGGTAAGGATTTCATTGAAATGAAAATAAACTTACATTTTTAACAGGTGTTCAAGTTTTTTTTATATAAATATCAATAAAACTGGACTGACACCAACAAGTTCGCGAGCCTCAACAATAGCGCCTTGCTAATGAGGGCCAGATGTGGAAGATATGCCCCTGCATGTCTCCTTGCAAAGGGCTGACATTATATGTGTACATTTACAACTGCAGTGATTGCATTGATCTTGCGTAAGCACGATAGATTCGCTCAAAGACGATGCTTGCATGAGGTACGTCAGTGATTCGCATGTGCCATTGAGGGTAGATTGGTACTCTTAAGAAAATGAAATATGATAAACGATCAGATCAGCCATGATCCATTCACTCCGAATGAAAGCCTCAGCCCAGGGCTCACAATCCTCCATAATATAGGTTTTACTGGTAGGAACCTCCTGGTTACACCAGCCCACAGGGGATTATTGTGTCCGTCCGTCCGTCGTGCATCAAAAAATGGGAGGGGTGGGGCTGGGTGGAGGGGGGAGGGTGGGGAGGGGCTGGGTGGTGAGGGTGGAGAGGGGCTTGGTGGGGAGGGTGGGGATGGGTGGGGAGGGTGGGGCTGGGTGGGGGTGGGAGGGGTGGGGCTGGGTGGGTATGGGCTGGTCACCCCGTGGTGCCCTTATAAAACTCAACGTTTAACCTACTCACGCCGGCTTGTGCCCGCCCTCACAGTCGGCCATATTTGCGGAATACACCACACCGCCGTAGACCCTGGCCATTGTATTGCTTTGGGATGCTTGGCCAGTTCCTTATTTGCGCTGTGCTGCTGCTGCCCACAGGGAACGGCTCCTGGAGGAGAGAAAGGGACAGTACGACGCGATTCCTGTGCCGCATCGCAACACCCAGCCGCCCACCGCGGGTTGAGATCCCACGCGGAAACCCAATGGGTATGGTTTGCCGAACGAAGGCCGACACCTCAAGTTAGCAATGGATATAGCGATAGGCCGGACTTGGCATTGCCTACCATATTGTGCCGTATCGCAATGCCTGAAATTGGCGACAAACAAATGATTGTTCTTATTTTAAAACCAAGAACCAGTTGAGATCAGAAGGCTCTTTTTCAAAAGAAACCTGGGTGAAAATACACCAAAATGCACACATTTTTCCGAGTGCAAAACAATTTACAATGCAAGAAAACATAATACAAAACAAGCCTTGGCATTTTATAAATTAAAAACTTTTAAAAAGCCTTTATAATTGTATATATCAGAACAAACGCCCAAGCGCGAACAATCTTATAACAAGCATTTGGCTGAGCGCCCAGACCTCATAACGCAACGTTGCTACATTTCTTCAAATTCACAGTTGTAAATGTAGATTACTTTTCAAGCCATTAACATGCAGGCAGCCACATTCGGACAGGGCGCGTTCGAGCGTGCTGGAATTCACACATCTGGTAGGATTCAGCAGTGGCTTTCAGGGAGATTTTTTTTTCTTTAAGACGACGCTCGTGATCTTGATGCAATGCGAATGGCGCGGCGCCAGCGGCCCGCCCTGCTGCCCACCGCGCAGCGCTCCTGCATGGAGGAGTGCCACAAAGGGCAGCACGATGCCCCGTGCCCACGTATGGCGGACACCCTACCCCAGACCGGTTTCACGCCGCACGCCAAAACGGAATATATATGGTTTGCCTTACGCGGGTCGACATCTCACAGTCAGTGGTGGACAGAACGATAGGCCAGGCTTAGCGTTGCCAGAATGTCCTCGTATTCACCCGGTGCGTTTACTCAAGGCAGTAACAACACAATACGGCACGTTATATAATTGTTCCTTCACGTACAATCTGCCTTTTGCTCCAATTCAGCTCGTCGCCATTTCACTGCTGGCTCATCGGTTTAGAAAATAGAACGTACGAAATACCATAATAATGTACGAAATACCCTGAATTAAATCAAACTTCCAGGAATGCATATCGTGTACAACAAAGTACCTTGAAGACACAGGTGCAGCAGCGGACAATGCCGCAGTGCAGGTAAATCTTTCAAAAGGCTCCTTTCAGATCGGATTCTCGGCTGCTTTTAATGACACATTGTTGACAGCGCCCTGCCACTGTACCTTCCCAAATTGAAACGTTTACCACAAACATTAAGAGTGAAGAGCCTTTAAAATACTCTTCCGTTGAATAGCCTTGCCAATCTGCATCCTGTTAATTTTACACACCGATTATCACTTGCACACTATGGAAAAAGGTTTATGTGTTCCATCTATCTGTTCGCCAATGGTCAATATTTTTTCTTAAAATCCCCCCCCCCCCCTGCAAGCAATGAGCCACTGCACTTCCCTATTTTTGCGGGTTGAGATCGCTCCATTGTTCTGCACTGCGTCCCAAGAGAGGGGCCCACTGATA